AAAAAAAAAAAAAAAAAAAAAATAAAAGTTGCTTCCTTTGGGCGGATCAGGCGAGAGAAAAAAAAACATACTTCAACACAATCATGCATATCAGCACAGGCATGAGCCTAAAGTCGACCTTTCGTAGCAATTTCCTTTCGAGGGCCGCGTATGCCTCTTCTGTAGCGGGCAACATGGCAACCGAGTCTATTCCAGCTCGAGCGCTGCCGCTGTTTTCCATTGTTGGAAGTTTTGGAAAAACGACAAGCAACGACAAGACCAGGAAGCTATACTTTTGGATATTGTCCCCGTCAGCATTGTGCCCGCCGATGCGGGGAAGAGGAGAGGAGCATGTACAATTACAAGCGGGAGTTTTCGGCCCTTGAAAGCACGCACGGCTGTTATTGGCGCTAGATTTCCTAGTTGTACCCGGCCAGCTTGGTAATTAGGTAAGTGTGTGTGATGAGACAGGCTGTTCAAGTAATTCTAGAAAGGGTATAGAACTTGTGAATAATCCTCAATCTAATTGTATTTCTTTTCTCTTCTTTTAATTTTCCCGATTTTCTTCTTCACATAACCGGCGGCGCCTGCACATTACCCCGCCCTGGACGGAACACGGCAACACGGGTGTGGCGCGATTAGATCTAGCTTGGCAGGCAGGCTCAAAGATGCGGCCCTCATTCTCATCAGCGGCATGCATAAATCGTCAAAAACAAGAAAAAAACATCAAGTGGTATGTGAACTAGGCTCTGTTGAAAGCAATGCTGGTGAAGCGGTTTTGAATCCGACAAATCATTACATTTTGCACAGCTCGTGACCAGCCAGCAGCCACTTACAAGCCATCGACCAGCTTGTCACCGAGGCACTTGATGCTCTTGGCAAAATCCTCAGTGTTCTTTGCGCTCCAGTCCGCACCGTCTTTCCCAGGGACGGTATCATTACCCGTGAATGCAATGTACATGACGTCCTTGGCGTCGTGGCCATTGTCGCCCGAAAGAGGCTCATCGGGGAAGCACAACTTGGCCATGGACAGAGAAGCTTCGCCGGTGAGAACACCGCCGTTGACGTCGCCCCAGACTCCATAATGCTGATAAAAAAAAGTTTCTGTTAATGAAGAATCAACACAACATGACGTTGAAAGGGAGGAGTCCTTACCACTTGGTCATTGCAAATAACGGCCATTACAGAAAGAGGCTCAATGCCATGGTCTTGGGGGACAAAGGACGGATCCGCCTCGGCGTTACCAAAGACGACATAGGGATGGACATTGGCGTCAAGATCTGGAATACCATAGGTCTTGACCGTGTCCATGAAAGCCGTCTGGTCCTGGCCAGTCTGGTCGTTGGCGCAAGCACCCGCGCTTCTGTTGACACCGTCGCAGTCAATATCCATGTTGTCGTAGGTGCCATTGCCCTTGAGGAAGATGGCATTGGGGATATCGCCGCAGTAAGAAGCGCCGCCTTTAAAGGTGCCGGACAGCTTGTTTGAGCAAGGCCCAGACTGTTTGCAACGTCGTGTGAGCGTTTATTTCCCACGAGCTGCCTTTTTTCTTTCTTTTTTTTTTAGCTTCGTCTTACCTGGTGTTTGTCATAAAGAGACTTTAATTTCGCGGGGAGCTCATAGCTACAAGCAATGGAGCTAAGCGTGGTCAGTGTGAGGACAGCAGAAGATCGCATCATGAAGTTTGGGTGAGGAAATCGTGCGAAGTATTCTGTGTCGAGAGAGGCTTGGAGACTGTAGCGACGAAACGTCCTTTTATAGTCTCTGCAGCCTGCTTCCCAGTTTCATATATACTCGATGCAACTGCATTTATGCTTCTGGCTGTAGAGTATCCTCTGGGCGATCAATCTACTTGTGATACACCAAGTGACACCAAGTGAAATGACGGAGGGAGATTGGGTGGAAAGCAATGAGCTTCCATGTTTGGCATATTATTGTACAAATTAATTACAGTACATTAAATAGCCACATGTCCATGGGTTAGGACATGCTAGGCCAATCTCCTGGTCGCTCCTCTCAGCGGGCCTCAGTCTATGAAGCACTACATGTTTTATGTTTAGTAGGAAAATAGACCAAGCACGGGCCGCAATCACAACTTTAAACCCATCTCTATTCCATGCATTCTGTGCACTAGAAGGATTCTCGAAAGATAAGCCACGCAGAGAAACGCATATCTAAACTCGGTGTGTATCGCCTGGTCGTTGGATCGAGCTCGAAGATGGCTCGCCTCACACTTGATCTCCTCTTTGGGTAAAAGGTGGCTATTGAGGTTCCGCATTTTCAGGGCATCCACTTGATCTTACGATGGCAGTGGAGTAGTAACAGTGCTATTAGCGATGCTAAAAGCTGCTTCCGCATGAAGAATCCATGCCAGGCGAGGGACAGCTTAGCAGAATCTTTGTAATAGCTTATTATAAGAGAAGTCTGAAACAACATACCGCCTCGCTACCATCTCAATGACGAATAACACCAGGCCGTGATGAATATAGATTGAATCTAGCTTTTGGACGTCACCAGTTGGCGATGGCGTAGCTCCCATTAGGCTTGATAATGTCGAAAGCCTCTTAGCATGACAGAACCGGCCAGTTTTGCGGTCGCGAAACCACTCGCAGTTATTGTCAAGGGGTTTACAGTATCTCATGTAATTCTCAGGCCCAGCGACTGCATAGCTGGGGTTGTGGTTAGACTTGCTCAAGCCCACTGCGTCACTCTGATCATGGCAGGCAACAAACATGCGACACTATCACGAGCCGACACAAAATGACTTTAATTTTCAAACTATATTCATCTCTTTACTTCAATCTATGTACTAGAGAACAAATTCTCGAATTTGGTATGCATTCAACCACAAAACATCCGTCGCTTCACGGGCCCAATGCCGCGGAAATCAGCGAATCGATTACAGCTCCTTAAAGTAGGCAAGCATCTCGGGGTACTTGGGGGTACCGAGACCGGTAACAGGGTCCCAGCCAGAAGCGGCCTTGAATCCTTTTCCATTGCAATTACCGCCGCCGCCGCTCTGGTCGCCAGAAGTAATGTCGTTGAACATGGACGGGTTCTTGTATAGAGCGGGGTTGACGAAACCGAGGGGCTTCTTGCCAGCCGAGATGCGCTCCTCGTTGATTCGGTTAATGATGGCGGCAAAGATGGGAGCAGACATCGAGGTACCGCCGTTGAGGATCTTGTCGCCGTTCAAGACCTCGGCACCATTGTCGCCAAGAGCGGCAACGTCGGGGAATCCGCGACCAGCCTTGTTGTAAATGCCAGTCTTGGGAATGACGCCATCCTTGGTAGAGTAGTTGGGGAAGCCAGGGTCGTGCTTGGAGAACCAGGTCGAGACGGCCGACTTTTGGTAGTCGGGCTGGGACCAGATGTTGCTGAATCCACCGCCCGAAGCAAAACTTGTCGTGGCAACTTCGGCGTCATCAAGAGAGTTACCCTCGGGAATGTATACAGCACCGACAGATGTCACGTATGGGCAAGAAGCAGGCGCTGCGGGGTTGAAAACTTGACCGTTGCTTCCCTTGCATTCGCCGCCGTGGTTGCCAGCAACACCACCGTCACCAGAAGCAAAGACAATCGAGACGCCCTGAAGACCAAGCTTCATAAACTCATCGCACTGTCTCTTTTGGTAGTTGACAGGCCACCAGGCCTCGGACAGCCCGTAAGAGACGGAGATGACATTTGTAGGTTTAAAGGTGCCACACTCTTCATTCTTAGTAGTGCCATCGACCTTGGGGTCGTCACCGGTCTCACCGTAGGCAGTGGACGTGCAGTACGAGCCATCAATAGCATCGAGGAAGACGTTGAAAAATCCAGGCGTCGAGCGGCTGAAATTGTCCTTTGACTGGAACAGCTCCGTTCCCTGTGGATAGATGATGGGGATCGCCATGTCAAAGTCCAGTGCAGCTTCGCCTGCAGCATACTCAGGATTCGGCTTCTGGCCATTGAAGTTGAGAAGGTCGACCTTGGGTCCAGTACCCTTGGGGATGCTAGGGGCATAGGCCTCGTAGAAAATGTCAAGGTCTGATTGCTTATACATTTCGTCGTTGTCCTCAAAGACACCCAGACGGTTGCTAGTCGAGTTGAGGGTAGCCTTGGGGATCTTGTACTTGTCGGCAATACACTGAGGGGTAATGACAGTATCGCAGTCTGTGGATTCTTTTCCTGAGGGATATGGCTTGATATGAGAGGGCCTGCGATTGACGTCGTCCCTCTTCTTGAGGGCGCCAGTAAAGATGGCCGGAGCCACGAAGTCGACAACGTCGGAGATGGCACGGGGCAGATGATACTCATCAGCTCCGAGATGCTGCGATCCGGTGCTTCTGTGCTCATAGACGTGATACTTGGTTTGTAGGAGCGACTCGAGCTTTTCGGTTGTGGCCTGAAAGTCAACGAAGCCTCTGCTCTTGGGCACGGTAACCTTGTCGATTCCAGCCTCCCTGAGCCACTTGGTGACCTTGTCAATGGAGTCGGCATCGGGAGCAAAGAGCTCCGTAACCTCATCCGAGGTGTAGTGCTTGCCGTAGTTGGGAGAGGCAGGGTCGGAGACGGCCAGAAGCAGCTCCATTCCGTGCTCAAGGTTACGCTGCTTCAAGGCGATGCGGGCCGGAATCGTGACCGTGCCATCAACAGCCTCGGTAGACTTGCGCAGAAGAGGATGCGCCTCGCGCTTCTCGTGCTGGACATGGTCTCCGAGAGGGATGCCGAGGGCAGCCGCGCAAAAGGCGCTGAGGAAAACGGCGGCAATCTTCATTTTTCACAAACGATGCAATGGTGTCCGACTTGGAGATGGATAGTCTGGAAGATGAAAATGCTGTGAGGGTATTGAGAGCTGTTGAGGACATAGAGCACGACGACATTTTATAGATGACGGAGACGGAGAGCCGACTCATGATTGCCGACGCCCGAGCGCTCTCGAGGTTCCGACGTGGAGCAGGTTGCGAGCATTGTTCACATAGCTTACGGAGCTGTCGCGATAAACTGCCCCTCCATTGTAAGGCATTGTCTCCTCTTGTCCCTCGTGTTTTGCAAAGGGCTAGGTGATAACAAGAAGGTGCGGGCCATCACGGTTGGGCCTTGTCCGGTTATCTGACTGAGGTCGCATCCATCTAGTTCACCTTCCTGATTTGCTAGGTCTAGAGAGAGAATGAAAGCGGGTATGGCACCGGAAATACGATGCACAATGAGATTAGCGTACATGGCCAAACTTGGATGCCCGGGTGGCTTCATTATCGTTTACCGGTTTGCTATAAAATGTTGATGGCGGCATAGTGGTGGCGTTGCGTAGAACGGCGATGCTCCCCTCTTGGCATCCATGTATCTCGATCTCATCTTCTTGGCGAGGTGTGCGTCATGGATGCCAAGGCTCTCTTGGCAACTGATCAAAGAGGAGAAATGCGCTGCTTCGGAAATAGGAAGGTCTTTGTTTTTGCGTATGGGGTGTTGCGCAGAGGGGTCAATGCGGACATGGTCAGAGAGTGGTTTTGAGTCCCTTTCAAACTCCCGTCGGTTCGTCAGTTGCATTTGCCAAGAAATCCATTTCGTAAGTTTGTATGCAGTAGAGTTGCATTCACGTGGAATAGAGCTAGAAGCATGATAGTGTGGGCGTTTTGTTACATCTTGGATGGAGTTGTCTTCAGTTGAAGCAGGTCAAAGGACAGTCTATCAATCATGAGTCCGCTGATCATGACAAGCGTTACCCTGATGATTGCACTAGCATCGTTACTATGACTTGATATGATAAGAAGGTCCACTGTAGAGCCTAGAGTTGTGTGCACAACAAGAAGCCTATAAGCCCATCTATGCGTGCCATCAAGTGCAAAGTTTATTAGACGCTAACTTGGCTGCCGCTCGACCATGTCAATGGGTAGGTATGACGCTGTCTAGGTAGTTGAGGATCTAGTATGTAGTGCATTTATTTAGCTTCGATGCATAGGATATGCCGAGGATCATCGCGGAGGGTCTTTTTTACTATTCAAGCACTACTTTGCAGTATGCTGAGTGAGCTCAAAAAAGGTCGATTTTGCCATGACATTATTCTCTCCATTGTCTGGCCTTGAAAGAATTGCCACGGACTCAAACTACATGTCCTTCACTACTATTAGCCAATCCCGAGAGCCAATATTCGCGGCACAGTTATGCTTTGCTCCGCCTGTTCTTGCATCTTGTACATGGCTAGCTACTCTCTCTTGCTAGCATCCAGCTTCTCCAAAGCATCCAGCCCGCCAAGCAGTAAATTGACGATGTTAGCGTCCCCTCGAGCTTGAGAAAACGCCTCTTTCCCTGTGCCAGCCGCATCCACACCATACTGCGAGCCAAATTCGCCAACAAAGTTGTCAAACGTGGTAGCGGCCTTGTTGCGGCAGATGCCGCACATGAGATGGGTAAAGCCGTCGACGGTGAAGCCCGCGCGCGGAAATAGCCCCATGACCGCAGAGTACTCGTCCAAGGTGATCAAGTTGTCGCCTCCGGGGCCGTTGGGGAAATACGGACCCTGGAAATCGGCAAGGATGCCGCAGGCGGCGACGGCGACCTCGGGGGCGGCGTACCTCGCAATGCTGAATGTGGTGTGCAGCGCAATAACGTCCCAGCATCGCTGGATGCGGCTCTGGTCCCAGGCCGCAGCCTCGGGTCCTTGTTGCTGTGCGTTGAATGTGCGGATAAAGTCGCGGGCAATGTTTGCGCCGTCCACTTCGAATCGCTTATCTGAAGACAGCAGGTCCTCGGTCTCGGCCCAGCCCATGTCGTGCAAGATGCAGCTGAGAACAACCAGCTCCAGGTCGAGCTCGCTTTCGGAAAAGGAAGCGTCTTTCTTGGCGATAATGGCAGCCCAGTAGGCCGAGCGCACGGCGTGGTTGAATGTCAGGACATTGCAGTGCTCTTTTGCATATTCAAGTGCCGCGTTGACGATTTTGGTGCGTGGAAATTCCACTCCGAAGCTGACAAGATTGGGCAGCGCGTCGTACATGGCTTCTATCGAGTATTTATTTGGCTTGAAAAGAGGCAACACAGCAAGGCCACTTCGTGTGGCTTGGAAAAAGAATGTCAGTCAACCCAGTGAGTGCATGGTGGGAATCCTCGCTGTAGCGGGTTAACCCTAGCGATACATTCCATCATTAAACCGCTCCATGGCAGCTACTTTTATAATATGACTGGGGCTTATTATCCATTTCCAATGAGACCCGTACGATGATGCCTGCGGATCGAGGCAGTCCGACTTGCTTACGATACCCGATTACCCGAGGGCCGGTCATAAGCGTTATCCAGTATTAATAACTACAGAGATGGTCGTGCGTCGTGCGCCTTTGCATTTATAGTTCTTGGCGACCCCAACATCTGCTCGTCCAATTCATTTATTTATTGGCTCTCGGGCTATTTCCATATATTACTACCGGGAAGCTGACTCGTGGCCATGTGAACCGGCGATGCATCGGCTTTAAAACGCCACAGAGGCCGATCCCACTTTAAGCTTAACCGGCATCGCAACTACGGGCGACGAAATCGACAATTCTGTCAAAATTCTATAAAAAACCCTAGTATCTACTATATTACCCACTATACAGCTACTATACTGACTGAATGGCTATACGGCTGCTGTGCCAGCCACTAAACTAGCTGTACTGCTGTACTGGCTACTGTACTGGCTACTGTACTGGCTACTGTACTGGTTATTGTACTGGCTGTACTAGCTACTGTACTTGTTAGGCCCTGTGGAGGCCCCCACAGAACCTAGAGAATACAACATCATTACCTCCTCTGACAGTACTGGCTCTACTAGCCACTGTACTGACCACTGTACTGGCTGTACTGGCTGTACTGTCTACCGTACTGGTTGCTTTATGTAATAAAGCGATTCTTACTGTACAGAATACCCTAGAGGGTATATGTATTGAGAATAACTGAATTTTGACAGAATTGTCGATTTCGTCACTCATGTCTCCATGCTCCATTCTGAAAACTAAAAATACAAGACTTTTTCACTCCCACTCTCAAAGCCGGCTCGTGCTGGACAAGTACGAGTTGCCGACCTGCAGCACTCGCACCGCCTCCTTGACCATGTCGTCGACAATCTTGGCGGCGGGCTCGACCGAGTGAATGGAACCGGCAACCTGGCCCATGATGTGGGGAAAGTCAAAGTCGCGGCCCTCGTCCAGATCGTGCTCAAACGGCACGATTCCCTTTTCGCAGAGCGCCTTGATCTCCTCGGGCCGCTTGTGCCAGCCCTCAATGTACTCGTTGACCTTGAGGCGCAGCGGACGGCCCGAGATGACGAGCGTCGGCTCGGTCTGGTCGTACGTGCAGCTGACAACCTCCTTCTTGTGCTCCTCGCTCGTGTTGCCCTCGACCGAGGCGACGAAGCGCGTGCCGACCCAGACGCCGACGGCGCCGTTGACGAGCGACGCCGCGAGGCCTCGGCCGTTGGAGATGCCGCCCGCCGCCACCACCATGGCCGTCTGCCCATTCAGCAGCGGCGGCCGGTAGTTCTTAGCAATGTCCACGACGGCGGGGATCAGAATCGAGGTGGCGATGCTGGACGCGTGGCCGCCGCCCTCGCTGCCCTGCGGAATCACAGCGTCGACGCCCAGGTCCAGCGCCTTCTTGGCGTGCTTGGGGTGGCCGACCATGTTCATGACGAGGATGCCGGCCTTGTGCAGGCGGTCAATGACGCTCTTGGGCGGGGTGCCAATCGCCGACACAAAGACGTGCGCGCCGCTCTCAATCGTCAGGTCAATCAGCTCGTCGAGCTTGCCGTTGGTGTAGTCGTGGTTGGTCTTGCGCGCGCCGTCGCCAATCTTGGGCAGCGCCAGGTCGATGCCCCACGGCAGGTCGGGGCTCTTGAGCAGCGACTTCATCTCGCCGATAATCTCGCGCAGCTGGTTCGGCGAGTACATGATGCCGCCAATGACGCCCAGGCCGCCCGCGTTGGACACGGCCGCCGCCAGCTTGCCGCCGGCGACGTGCGCCATGCCCGCGAGGATGACTGGGTGCTTGATGCCCAGGCGGGTGGTGAGCGGCGTGGTGATGGGGCCCGTGGGTGCCATGGCTGATGATATGTGAGTATGGGGTTGAAATGAAGAATAAAAAGAAAGATTGAAAGGTAAATCTGTTGGTGTGCTGCCCCCCGTCACCTTGATATAAACCCCATGGCCTCGGACGCGGTTATATGGTCTGACAAGGTCTAAGCCAACTTACAGCGGTCGTGGCGTCCGCTATTAGCGGATGGGCGCGCTAGCTTGACACCGAGGTTCGGCTACTTGCCACTGTTGGGAGCAACTCCCCACGTTTTTACCCCGCGCTGTAGAAGCGGACTGTGGGGGACGACTTGTATCCGTAGCCGTGCGCCATCGAGACATTCCTCAATATCAGCTGGCATTTTCCAAGATTCATTGATCTTCTCTGTTGTGCGGCGATTTGCGGATGAACCGGATAAACGTACACGAGCCGTGGTCTAGTAATCGAGGGGGAATGCGGATAAATCGGCCGACGACGATACTCTAGGCGCTGGATGGACCAGGTTTGCCGCGGATCGCGAGGAAGAACCAGGCGTTTATAAAAAAAGCCCGACAACCCCGACAATGAATCACCGTACGATTTGTCTAATAGTCCCCTAGTAATCAGATTGACTCCCCGAGCCCCGACTGACGCTCCCCGGACGAAACTCAAACTACCCACCGACATGACATTTATTGGCATGTAATGGATGATAGTAGCAATGTTCAACATATCTTTTCGCAGTCGAAAACACATTACTGTAGTGTACATTGGCACTATTTACGCTATGTGGTATCTTTAAAACAAAAGATTCGATCGTGCTTAGCAGGGGCTCATTTTACTGCTTCTTATCATCAGTCACATTCTTCTGCAAGACCTTCTCCGTGTGCGCAACGGACGCTTCCGAATCGGTCGGGCCCAGACCAAGCTGCGATACATCCCAGCCCTTGCTCTCAAGATACTGCCGGAATTTTCTGTCTTCCTCAGCGATGGTGTCCTGGCCGACGTTGGGCAGACAGAAAAAGGCGACGGCGGCGGAGAGAAGGGCGAGACTAGAAGCGACCCAGAATGGGTACTGAGCAGACTGCGTCTTGTTGCCGCCGGCTTTTTCAATGGCAGGGAAAGCGTACGTGCCAACAAAGGCACCAATCTTGCCAATGGCGGCCGCAATGCCGTAGTAGCGGCCACGGACACCCGTGGCGCACGTCTTGGCAGCCAAAAGACCAATGTTGTTGCCAGGGCCGAGCTCGCCAAGAGCCTGGAAGATGCCATACACCACGGCGAAAGCGGCGACGTGCTTGGAAATGGAGTCATAAACACCAGCCATGATGTAACCAACAATAGCTTGGGCCGAGACACCAAAGATGAGGGCATATTTGGGCCCAATCCAATCACTAACAAAGGCACCAAGAATAGTTCCCGGAATATAAAACAGATTAATGACGGTGTTCCAGCCGAAAATGGTCGTCAAAGGGGCGTTCTTGGGGTAAATGGAGCTGAGAATATCGGACGAGTATATACCAAAGGCGTAGGCGGAGAACTAGGAGAAGATCAGTTGATATATCTCGGCTGAGGTTAACCAAAAAGCTTACGTCGTAAAGGAACCAGATGACGGAGACGGCAGTCAATCTAAACCAATAGTATTTGAGGACCAGTGAATATGGAGTGGCGCGGCGCATAGACTCCCTGGCAAACTCCTCGGGCTCTTTGAGGCGGAGTCGGAGAACAAATAGAATGAGGGGGAAGACGACCCCAATGCCTAAGCTAGTGCGCCAGATCGTCTCGTAATGGCCATTGTGGGCGGCGGCGGCGACAACATCTAAGGTTCGACAAGTGAGCAACAAGACGGTGCAGGGGAGCGAAAATGGAGTGTTGACAGTACGTACAAGGGACAAAGGCTCCGATAACAAAGCCAACATCAATCATGGAGTTGGTAAAGAGGATGAACCAGCGGTTGCGAGTGCCACGCTTGAGCTCACCAGTGGACTCGGCGCAACCGACACTACCAGCAGGGTATTCACCTATGCAACAAGAGTTAGTCTGTAAGTTATTTACGCAGATAGGGCTGAAAATCGGGTATCATACCTCCAATGCCGATACCCACAAAGAATCGCCAGGCGGCAAGCATATTGAACATGCCGACGGCCTCGCCATGCCAGTAAGAACCAGCCGCGAGGGCAGTGAAGATGATCAGAATGGCGGTCGAGGTGACGAGCGAATTCGATCGTGACCAATGGTCCGAAGTGAAGCCAAAGATGAGCTGGCCAAGCACGGTACCGGCGAATGCGACGCTGGCGACAACGTCCTTGGCGCGCGAAGTGTCATAAATTTTGCCATATTGTCTTGACAGGGCGGTATTGACGGAGCCAATGACCTGAACAGAATTGAACAGTTAGCAAGAGACGCAATGCATCGAAGTAGGAGAGCGCAGGTGGTCAGGGCGTACGTTGTTGATGTAGCCATCGGAAAAGAGACCAGCACCGCAGGCAAAGACGGGCAGAGCAGCCTGGAAAAAAGTCTTGCGCTGGAGAGCATCCTCAATGGAGGGCTTCTGCAGGTCCTCGGTGTGATCGCCAGAGTGGACGACAGGGACGTCCTTGGATTGAATGTCTGACATGGTGGCGGGTGGGATTCGCAACGCCGTGCAGATGGAAACCCGTCAAGCGGTCCGTGGCGCGGGGAAACGCAAATCAGAGTTTGAAACGCTAAAAAGGCCAGCACAGCACGAAGGGGGAAAAAAAGAAGAGAAAGAGGAAAATGGGCCAAGTGTGGACTTTTTCAATGAGAGAAAACAGGCTGAGGTACCGTAATCTGACAGTAAGTAGCGCCAAACGGTTCGGGCATGTTAGACCGGAAGACGGCACAGACAAAGACGGAGCCCCCACAGCTAGTGTGAAGAACCAAGCCGGGCATAGTGGGGCGAGGCGTTCGGCCGGGGCTGCAGTGAGCAAATGAGAGTGCGGAGAGGCGCTCCCAGTGGCGCATGATAGAAGGAAGATACAGTGGCTGTTAGCTGTTCAGTATATTCCCGTTTTCGTTCCGTTTAGCGTCTTCTGAGGTCGTAGTGAGGCTGCCACCCTGCGGCGGCAGTGTCCGGCTTGGACAAAACCGGGGGGTTGCTCGCGCCATCTGCACACCAGAGGTGCAGGCATTTCTTTTTCCGGTCTCTTTTCCGCGTTGGTGGCTGTTTTCATCCTGCGAAATAAATAAATGAGGAGGCCGTAGGCATTTTCGTGTTAGAAAAAAAAAAGAAATTGCTGACTACCAAGTCAGGTCACTGAGGTGGATGTTGGATGCAACAAGGCAATAGAGCGTCTAACTAGACTCGCTTGCCGGCCCTCGTTGAATGCAGCACGTGGGCGCAGCTATTGGTGCTGAAGCTGCAACGACACTCTGTGAGCGATGCCCGGTTTGCCGGTGTTTATTGTGCATTCTCGACATGACCCCAGTCCACCGGGGCCATGTTGCTGCCCTTGCCCTCCATGACGGCCTCGAGCTTATCCTCGACGGTCACCCAGCCCTGGCGCTTCTGAGCGATAGCATAGCCAATAGGGCCGCGCCATTCCCTCCACCACGTCTCTTCGGTTTGAACGGCACACTTGCGGCCGGGCTCTCCACTGCGAGACGAGGCAAAAGGCCACACGGACTTGACAACCTCGTACTTGTTCTTGCCGGCAAAGAGGCTGGTGACCGAGGTGAAGAACTGATTGACCTTGTCGGGGTTCTGGACGGTAATCTTGCTGTGGGTGACGACAAATGTGATTTCAACGTTGCCCTTGTACTTGAGCGAGGCGATGAGGCTGCGCATCTGGCCGTCGATCCAGCCGACATCAAGGTTGGCGACGACACGTTCGAGGGTGAAGCTCTTGATACCGGCGGGATCCTCGACGAAACGGCGGCACCACTCGTCGAGGCCGCCGTCACCGACCTCGGGCAGGACGTCGGGGCGGGTGGAGCCGCGGTAGGCAACCTCGTTGTGGCCGACACAGCGGATGTAGTCCATGCGGGCCCGGCCGTCCTCGGGGATAAGCAGGGCCATGAGGTTGAGCTTGACCTCGAAATCGACCTTGCGGCCGCGGTTGCCCTTGACGACAATGTAGGGCTTGGGCGGGACCGAGGCCTGAGTGCGGATGAGGGTGACGAGGGCGGCGGCATTGTTGGACAGATACTCGGCTTTTGACGTGAGCGTCGTCAGGTCCGAGGAGAGCTTGAAGAGCGGCGGCGAGTAGATGCGGTAGTCAACCTTGGGCAGACCCGGATACTGCGGGAAGCCCTTGGCGGCCATGGTACCATTGTGCGGGTAGCTGTCGTCGACGCTGGGCTGCTCAATGGCCGCAGATGCGGCCGGGTCGGACGGGCCCGAGTAGGGCGGAGGTGTCTGGGGACGAGAGTGCGCCTGGTGACGGAGGTCGACATGGCTACGATGTACCCGCGGCGTATGTGGTGGTGGTGGAGGCGATGGCGACAGCGACTGTGACTGCGATTGTGATCGTTGGCGTGGCTGCTGCTGCAGTTGTTGCTGCGTTTGCTGAAGTTGATGGCGAGCGGCGCCTTCGGCCTCGGCGCGGGCAGCGTGTGCGCGGGCGAGCTGCAGCTTTTCCATGTTGCGGACTTGTGTGCAGGGAGCGTCGTTGAGGGAATTGGAAATTTATTATGTCGTCAGGGGTCGTCGAGTCGTCGTCAATCGTCAGAGAAAGGATGAGGAAGAGGAAAAAATTCGATCAATGTTGGTTTGATCGTCTGTGAGCTGGACTGGGTATGGCTGCCTTTTGCTTAGCCGCTGCCTGATTGCCTGGTTATAGGCTGCCTAGGTAGTTACAGTGGGTGTGCCTAGTGGCTCCAGGCACCCTTGTTGTGGAGAGATCCCTATAGGTAGTTTGCCAGCGGTGATGAAAAGGCTGCCGAAGTACTCCGTAACCATTAGCGTGCGGGTTGTCAAATCCACGACACAGAGAAAATGACCAGCTGATGAAGTCTGGAAAGAATATTCGAAGATTTGCCAGGATCTTTTTACGCTGATGTTAAGCGAGCCCTTTTCATCAGTCGTCTGTTTTTCTCACCGTGGCGCAGGCTGACCCGCCGTACTATCGCCTGTCTTTTTGCGTCAGCGCCCGCAAAACAGCATTCAGCTTCTCGCACAAGATTTTCTCTAGTTTGGATTCTAGCGCAGGCTATTCGCGACATGAGGACTAATCCGGTTAGTTGTCTACGTTGCTACAGGGCGTCCTCGACAGTTTCACATGCTTCCACTTATCACAAGTTCCCTGGGCCAGTGGATCTCGTATTAGCTACTGGGAACTAACGTTATAGGTTGCTAGGTTGCTAGGTAGTTTACAAGTGGCAACTCTCGGCCCGCAAACAAGGGTTCGGCAAGGCAAGGGAAAAGGCTGCTGACAAGAATAACGGATACAAAGGCAGATCATTTGGTATCAATCAAACAATCCCTCTCCAGCAAGTTCTCAATATTTTACATCATACCTTCACTGCCTGGCTTCTTTTGACACGTCACCCTCGACGCCACGGCTGGGAGTTACCAGTAGTCTGCTGCGCCGCATCAGCTATGCAGCAGCAGGCATATATTATTTGCAGCCTCGTGAGAAACAGGGAATAAAGCTTACTGCCGATACTATCTATTAATGGGCCTTGAAGCAATATGTACATATCTATACGTCCTTCATCATTGCCTACTTTTCGATCCCTCACTGGCTACTCGGTCTTGGCTTTCGCAGCATCAGGCAGTTTTCAACCTTGTCAGGGCCACCCCATTTACTGAAATCAGTCACCAATACTTGGACAGTCTCGTAGCCAAACTTTTCGTACAGCGGCCGTCCCTCATCCGAAGCCTCGAGATACGACTCCAGGCCGTGCTTGTCAGCCTCGTCCGCAAAATACTGCAAGACCATCGAAGCCGCGCCTCGTCTCTGATATGCCGGGTCCGTATGAAGTAGCTTCAGGTCTGGATAAGCCAACGGGGTCAGCCTCGAGCCAATCATTTCAATCGACATGCAACTGGGCATTACTTACAGAGATGCGGCTTGTTGCCCATCCGCTCATTCCACTCCCTTGTCATGCCACCAAAAAATTGCTCACACGCCTCCGGGTTAGACCCGGGCCCCCAGACTTTCTTGGTCGGTGGCGGCGGCGTCGACTTCCAGAGGTAGGCCATGCCAAAGCACACCATGCCGTGCAGGCCCTGCGCGATCCGGTCCTCATCGACCACCTTGATCCACAAACACGACTCTGGATCCGCGCGGAGGCTCTGGAGCATTATGTTCTCCCGTGCGGCATCTGCGTCGTTCCCAGCAGGGCCGGGGAAAATAATGCTACTGATGGGATCACGACTGTAAGCCAACTTTTCAATCGCCACCGACCGTGCGGCGTCTTGCTCGCCCGCAGGCATCACTTTGAAGCCCATGGTTGCAGTCTAGTTCAAAGGAGCAAGTCCGAGTCGCGACACTATTTATTAGTGAGAAAAGATGAAGAGAGTTCAGAGTCGGCAAACAAGAAAACAAAGGAACAAGATGCCAGGCACTTTTATGGTCTCCCGCTAAGCTTCTCCAGGTTTCCATTTCCCGGCGTGCTTGATGTGGCTAGGCGCTGGTGCCGCTATTATTGGCTACTCCCAAGTAATCGTCTGCTTAACAGGATGAATCGGTCCGCTTGGCATATCCCGTAATAAATAATCAAAAGAAATTTCGCCTGCTGGAGACCATCTTCTCATTTTCAAGGCGTGACCAACATGCACTTGACAGTTGGGTGCTGGCATCGGTGAAGAGACTGTCAGTCTAGGTTACGAACTCTACTGACGATATCTCATCATGCTTGTTCTGTTCGGCCACTTGCACAGTAGCTAGATATATGATTGCTATTCAACACATATGAGAGTGAGACTCGCTCCTCGGAAATAATTGAATGTACCTGCTTAGCACCCGATTTCGTGTCATGCAAAATGCTAGAAACCTTTTTAACGCCTCGAAGGGTCTATTGAGAGGACCTCAGCGCTCCACTCGAAAAGTTGTCAACCCACGACTTGTCACGAAGGGTTCAAGTTGAGCTAAGCAACATGAAACTTTGCCGTTTATCAGATGATCTAGGATATTGCTTAAAAGAGCCATGGTATCCGCCAGAGAGTCCATAATGCCCATAGTCCCCGTCGGCAACAGATCCATTCACCTCATTCAAAATGGTCGCCCTCGGGCATCTCATCATACGTCGTGTTTGACCATACACTCATCGCCGGCTTTCCCTCATCATCGATCCACGCACGATACATGCCGCCGGCGTTGTAACTCATGAGAATCTCGCCGCGAGCCTCCACCACCACGCCTCGCTCGTCGCGCGTCACCACGCCTTCGATGCCAATCATGCCGCCCTCGCCTTCGCCCGTGACGCCCCAGCGGTCGCCCGCGCTGCGCTGCAGCTCACCCCCGGGCCCGACGACTGCGCGCAGCGCCGCTGCACCCGTCTCGGGCTTCCACCGGGCCATGGCCGCGACGGTGCGCACGGCGTTGACGCGCAGGAAGGAGTCGCCGTTGCCGGTGCCCGATGCGGCCAGGCATCGCGTCGTCGTCAGCGTGCCACCGCCGCCGCCGCCGCCGCCGCCGACAGGAACGGGTGTGTACAGAAACGGTGTCGGCATGCAGTCGGCGAGAAAGCTCCGCAGAGAGCCGGTCAACTCGATCGGTGCGCGTGCGGAGCGCACCAGCCTGTCCCATGCCGTCGTCGTCGTCGTCGTTGTACCTGTGGGGTCGCCCGTCTCCGTCCACTCCTCGGCCCAGAACCCCGCGCCGGGGACGGGCGTGTCGCCGACGCGGCCCGTCAGCTTGTTAGTCATGCCGCCGGTGCTCGTCGCCGCGCACACAACGCCGTGCTCGTCCATGGCGACGGCGCCGCACGTGCCCTGCGGGAGATACTCGTCCGCCGCCCACGTACAGCTCGCCGCCCTCCCCTCGCGCTCCTTTTCCAGTGCGCGCACGTGCTCGTCCCAGCGCTGCCGCGTGAAGAAGTAGCTCGGCTCGACCATGGCGCAGCCGTACCCACGCGCGAGCTGCTCAGCCGCCTCGCCGTAGAGCTGCGTGTGGCCCTGCGCTGACGGCGCGTCCAGGCTGCTGCTGCCGACAAGAGCCGGCGGCTGTGACTCGTGCCGCCCGATGCCGCCCCCGCCAAGGTCCTGCTCGCCGTGCTCGAGCATGGCGCGCGCGAGCAGCACGGGGTTGCGCACGTGTCGCAGGCCCATGACGCCGACGCCGCGCTTCTTGAAGCCCCGGGAGACCATGACGGAGGCTTCGAGCTCGTTGGTGCCGTCGCGCGTGAAGACGGCGCCGTGGCCGCTGTTGAACAACGGGTTGTCTTCGAGCTGCACCACGGCGTGCGTGGCCACCTCGAGCGCCGAGGGCCGGCGCGGGCCCGGTGTGGAGCGGGGGCCGTTTTTGTCCTTGGGGTCACTGATGGTGGTCATCATGTACGCATGCGTGCTTGTGATCTGTATCGCGGCGTCGGTTAGTTGTCAGCGGAACTACCGTTATATTTGTGCGTAGATAGATCACTGTCAACGTACAATCCTGAGAAGTGCCGTTCTGTACTGTTCGTACTTGTTGACCGGGAAGCCATGCCGGACAATGTTGCCTGCGCCGCCGTGGATAACGATTCGAGGCGTGACGGTGCCGCCCGAGCCGTGCTTCTCGGAATACATGTCGGCTGCTGAGTATCAGAGCACTCACTCTATCAAAGCAAATTCATAGAGTTATATGCTGCTGTATATGATTGGCACGCCCGAGACGGCCATGTATGGGGTAGAGGCAAGGTCACGTATGCCTCGGTTCCGGTACCCTGAATGTATTAGATTAGGTAAAGCGCCGTTGATATGATACCAGGATGTCCCCAGCCCCCCCACACACTAATTTGTTGGGGCGGTAGCGGCTAGCAAGCTGGGGTTGACAGTTATCCATTCGTAGTTACTGGTATCAGTAGGTAGTGTAGGCAATTAGGTAGGTAGGTGGGCAAGTCAAACGCGCAAGCAGAGCCTTCGATCAAGAAAGCACGGATAATCAACATTCAGATTTGGGCCCTATATGCTCCATACAAGTAAGTATGCAAGGAATTGCCATGTAATGTATTGGATCGCGCCAACTGTAGTCGTTTGCCTCCAGCCACAACATCATGCGGCTAATGAGCCCTGCCAGGGCCTTACCCATGTACTGTCGGTGACGATCAGCGGGAAGAAACCCCTTGTGAGCAGCGCCAGCTTTCCCAAAAAATTTATTATGCTGAAAGAGGAAAAAAAAAGAAAACTCATTTTCAAACGCCTGCTTCTTGGCCATTGACGGCCGGATATCGATTTGCTGAGACTGTCAAGTCGCCATAGTAAAACTCCGTCAGCGCCCCCGAACAAAATTTCCGTCAAGTGATAGTAATTGAAACATGTCAAGTCGTTATTGAGCCATAGAGTGCCTTTATGCGAGGCCAGCAGCCACCCTGATGGCGTTGTTGACGTCCTTGACCCGAACGCCTGGGTGCTTGCCCATGCAAACAGACCTTGAGGCCAATTCTGATTCGCTTGTTAGCAGAGTCCACCTCGATAAATTTCGCCGGATGAGACTGACCTTCGACCAAGACTCCCACACTGATAGTCAACTTTGGCTTTTGCCATGGAGTCGCGCTCCAGGCATTTTCCATGCCAGGTGCGCAAATGTAAGGCAACAAACCAGTAGCCTGAGCAGAGCTATTGGGCTGCATCGGCATTTGCTGAAGTAGCACGTGGTTGGCGGTCATGTTCAGCGGCATTGAAACAGAAACATGTGTATTCTGGTTGTCAAATCCGGACGATTGGGATGAATAGGATCCATGAGCTGTTAAAACTGGAGGCATCGTATCGGTCAAAGTGTTTACATCCACCTCTGCATCAACAAACTCCACCTGCTGCGGGATGTTGATTCCAAGCTGGCGCAAATAGAGCTCGATCTCGTCGGCATTCAAGAATTCCTTTTCGAACCCAAAAGTCAATCTGATGCGCTGCTCCATCTTTTCCTCAAGAGGACCCTTTTGTGGGTTGGCCTGGTCCTGGAACGGCATGACCAGGTTGGCTAGTTGCTGTGATAGACGTCGCGCGATCGTTTCTCGAGATTCAAAGAGCAGTGAAAAGCCAAAGACGGCGGCGTATCGCTCAGGCGGCGGGTTCGCCATCGACGCCAAAAATAGACCACGCTCTGTCGTCCTCCTCTGCAGTCGACGGCCGAATGAGTGTTCATGGTATGATAAAGAGCTCGTCAGAGGCAGCGTCGCAAACGGTGAAGTCATGGCTGCATATCCAGCAAGATTGGGCACGACATCCATATCGGTGTAGAGCGGGAATGACGCATTGTCGGGCGTAGCCTGCGCGATAACCTCATAAGAAGTCATTGAGTCTACTGCCGTCCTACTCCCCGGAGATGGAACCAACTGAGTGTGTCCGGAGGTGTCTTGCTGAGATTTTGGGGAGCTCTGGGTTCCAATTGATGAGCCGCAGCTGGCCTCTGGTGGACCTCGAAAGCCGTCGATGACTGTTGTGCGTTCATCCTCTGGAGAAATGTAGCCCGTCTCCCCTACGTTCCGGCCATTGATCCGGAGAAAGTTGTCCGTGACGGCTCTGAATCGGTTAGCAGCCTCTGATGATGCATCCAAGAGACCCTGCGCCAGTACGAGATCGTGAAATCTGTGAAACTCGCGGCTCATATCGGCATTGCTCTTTTCCAGCTCCTTGACCTTTTCCTCCAGGCTGGTAATGGCATTATCCTTTCGATGCCGATAAGCCCTTTGCGCAAGACGAATTTGCGTCCTCCGCCGCTATGTCGATATTAGATGTGATAGGCCACAGGCCGTCATATCAAGCACTCACATCGGCAGCAGTCTCGTCTTTGGTGTCTAATCGCGGCCGTCCACGTACGCGCTTCTGACTCTGCTCTTCTGTTTCCCCGTCAATTTTCTCTACGCTCGGAGACGACTTCCGCTTGCCTGTCACCGGCTTGACGGCGTCCACGACGGCCTGCCCAGCCAACCCCGTCGCATAGACATTGCCGAGAGGCGACTCGATCACTGGCGGTTCCGTCTTCATGGCGGCGATGGTAGATGCACTGAAAGTCCCGGCAGAGTGATGCTGGGTGATTGATACGACGAAAAAGACGTCGTCTTGGCCGCTCTCTGTCGAGACTTGCTCATGCACGGCTGATGCCGATGGCGACTCGTGGGTGGAGCCTCACGGCGGTCGATAGTGTAAATCGGCTGAAATGCGTTCCTAAGGTTGTTTCCACTAGGCTCACATCACTTCGGTACCTACATTCCCTCAGTATATGAATACTCATGTATTTTATTTCTTAGTAGCAGCCACTCACTGCCCCAGGCCAATTGAGAATAACTTTGAGCCAAACTGCACTACCTATCGACCGCCGTATAATAAGCCTTGACTTTATCGCTCTCGGAATGCCCCGATGACTGTCACAAGTCGCAGTCCGATTTCCGCGCGGCCTGGCCCAGTGATCTCTCGTTCTCACCGATCCTGCGCGACCAGCGCCCACGTCAGGCTCGCCTCGGTCGCAATACACAGCATGTCATCAAGCCACACAAAGCGGCGGCCAAGCCGACCGTCTACATTTGAGTCCGCGCTCATGCGCCATCGAGACTGCCACTACTGTCCTGTAAATTCAATACTCTGACTTCCTAAATGTCGTGTCGATTCAGGCGGGCCCTCAGCACAGCGACGGCGCGGCATGATGCAGTGTCTGACTACCTTGTTGACTTCCCCTCGACGGGTATATGCTGTATGGGTCCCGTGCGAACACACTTTGACTCCCAGAAATGTCACGACGATAACATGCTGATACTGCATTGGTTGACGAAACCTTACGTACTTGCGGCGGGCGAGTTTTGAGCGTCGCTGCCCGTGGAACCACGCTGGAAGCAGCTGTAAAGATAGCTTATCAAACCATTGAGGCGGTGTATTTTGACGGCATGTTCTACAGGAAGGACATGGCTTCCGAGACGATTGATAGAAAAAAGGACGGAAAATAACTGTACAGTAGGGATGGTGAGTACTATGTAGGGAAAGGAGCTCATGACGGCTCCATCTGCAAGGGATTGTAATTGGTGGCATCTCCCCACGTTAGTCTCGTCGCTAACTGAGGTGCCGGTTCGCGCTAAACTGCGGAGACACTGGATGGCATAAGCCATTGAAATATGTACATCGAGATCCATCCAGCCTTGGTTAGGCCACGGAATGCCAGGTCTATGGATTTACGTTTTCAGCGGAAGATTCCACGGAACAGCCTGGCAATTCGATTACACATTCGATCTGTGCTTTGGGTTCTGGAGCATGGACAGCTAGTGGTGCTTCACAGCACTGTCCCTTAGGTCTCAGAGGCTCGGTAGATCATTAGTGGGGCAACCGTATTAACTGGCAGACGTGTTTGTGTTGGTAATGGCAAGATGACTGGAGAGTTGAGAATTGATGCCTGACAGAAAAGAAAAATACAAGGTGACATAATTACCAAGACGTGAGACTACCGGCGGCGATGACCCCAACACGCACAGTCCAGCCAACGTCTCTCGCTCCTGTCACCAGCATCGTAGAGGGGTATACGGAGAAATCGCGTACGGGTTTCTAAGCTTCTAGAGATGAAAAGGGTATAATGCGTTATAGATGAATAGTTTCACACAGACTGCGCTTTGCTGCCGCGCGGTTGGACAGCCCACGCCCGCATCGAGTTATACTTCAACCTGACGTGCGCAGCCCAAGCCGGAGTTGAGAAGATGTCGTGGCCATCCATCCCAGTTTTTTCACCCGGGAGCGTAGGTGGTACTCGAGATATCAATTCGCGAGCGGAAACTTTACCCGCCGACGGAGGCCTCGCGTACTCTGGAGTCGTTGATGCAGGCTTCCAAGTCTTTCCAGCCTCTTCATCAGCAAGTTTCTGCTCGGTGTCCACGATGTGTTGCAAAGCCTCGCCTCGCGCAATCCAGTCCTGCCATATCGACTCAGTCTTCCACTCCAGCCATAATCGAGAAAGGTGCAGACTCCACGTGTAGGTCTCATCGACGTCCGGTCTCTCCTCATGCGGCAGACGCTCCTTGCGCAGCTGTCGCGCGACTATGCGCTCCCACTCATCCTCCGTTTCAGCGTCTGGTAAGAGTTCGTCCTGGATCTCGGTGATTTTTGCAATCTTTGATTGGAAAATTGCATTCTTACGCCCGACCATGCGGGACATTTCGTGGGGCTGCACGAATGATGTGCGCAAAAAAGGTAGACCTTCAGCCGTAGTCGCCATCATGGGGACGCGCCGTGTTCGAGTCAAGGAATTCAGCGGTCGAGGATACAAGTTTGAAGTATATTTCGCGGCTTCACCAGGTCCAGATATTTTGACCAAGAGTGGTTCTTTTCGTTCGGCTTGTTTAGTCGCAGGCGCGCCGGCTTGCTGGGTCGGGATCTCCTTCCTGGAGGAGAGGTATTGAACGATTTGTCGATATTCGGCCGAGCTCGCATTTTGAGACTTATGAAGAAATGAGAGGAACTACATTGTTCAGTCAGTGGCATGAACAAAAGACCAAAGCCCGGGTATTGCGTCGCTCGCACCTTGTAGCCAGCTGTCAACGCGGCAAAAACGAGCCTGGGGCTAGTATCGCTCGAGTTCTTTTCAAATCGGCGGCGCAGTACCGCACGTATAGAACTAGAGTAGGTGAGAGCATCACCGATATGGTTTTGCAGGGGAATCTTTGTTGCCGTCTTGGCCAGCGCGCGATACAAAGCGAGGACAGCTGCGCGATGTCGGGAGTCGCGTGCTGGGATGAAGTGTGTCCGGGCCATGCTCGCGTCCGGCTATAACACCCCGTTGGCTAGTTGATATGGTCCATGCATGTATGCGGGCTTCCTGCCGGCCAGCAAGTAGGTAATTGTGCGAACGTGGTTGTCGATCGAGGTTGTTCAAATTGTTACTTAGGTGGTGCAAGCTCAGAAGATTGGAAGATTGATGGATGCCCCACTCTACAGATGCACGCACCTTGGAATTGCAGTCTGTCTAAAGTGCCAGCTGCCAAACGTGTGGGTGTATGTACAAATTATTTAGATTTTCTATGAAAAGTCGTTTTATACCTGCCTTTTTATGATACTAAAGTTGGGTACCTCTGCAGTAATAAGAGCAGCTTTCAGATCTCATGAATATGGACAGCAAGTGATGTGTTATGGGAGCAGCTGAAGTACTGAGTAGACGCCAGTTTCGCAGCTGCACGTAAGGCGAGAGACAGACTCCTGGCCGTTATTTGTTCAGTCAGAATGTTCGAGGAAGAATTATGGGCGATAAATCATCTAAGCTGGCATCTCGAAATATGCATAACGGGCTTTGGGGAGCGGCGAGTAGCTTAAACATCGGCCATACCCACTGTATCGGATGGCCCGGAAGTCTTTGTTCCATTCAAGCAAAACTCCGTCGTCAACGGCGGAGATTGATTGCAAGTTGCACCCGACCCCCGACGCTCCATGGAGCAGATTCAACGCCGGTGGGATGCAGAGTCCGTCTCGGGTGCGAGAGAATCATCAGTCTCCGAGCTCTCTAGCCAGGAAGCCAGGTTTTGAGTGTGGCTAGCGTGTTGGCATCTGCAGCTGTGTATACGCGGACGGATAGCGGGCAACTTGTTATGCGGTAAGGCGACGCGCGCGACCCGGCGCGCCTTCTTTAGCGGAATGTGCATACTTCTGGGATTCGGACAATGTGGTCACGCGGCATCTTGATACTGCAAGGTAAATGACAGCTCGAATTCAACCTGGTGGAGAAAATCACCGGCAAGACCGGGGCCACGTCTCAAAAGGCGCGTGCAGTCATATTAGGAATCGGCTAATCGATGTCGGGAAAAGGCTGGAAAAGACGACTGCTTGAAATAATGGAGAGCGCGATTTGCAGTTGGTAAGAAAATAATGTATGTACCAAGTCAGAGAAAATGTAGCTTTGTACTGAGATTCAGCCGAGCATAGCGGCCTGCCATTATGACAGGACGAGTGGTCTTAAAGCGAATACGCCGAGTCCGACGTCAGGCGCAAGTCTATTCCCAAATCTATATACTGTGGTTCAAGGGGATGCCTGTAATGGTGTGGGCGCGGGGCTGAGACAGTCCTGTGAGCGAATACGACAAGCTGTGACCTGGCTAACAAGTTGATAAATTGCAGACACGATTAAGTGTCATTCCACGAGAGAAATAAATGGTGCAACTACGGAATTTTGAGAAAAAGATGCAAAAATCCTACTTTTTCCAAACTTGCCATTATTAGTATTGTATGGACAAGGATGCCAGGAGCGGAAAATAAGTTGAGTGGATTCAGAGAGAGAACTGCAACAGTCGGTGACAGGAGGCTTTTTTAGGTTTTACTGGTCTTGCGGCTGTCTTCTAGGGCTGGTCTGAGGCTGGATGGCTGATGATGGCTGACGCTGGCTGACGATGACTGGATAGCTGATGGCTGATGGACTGAATGGCTTGAACAAATTGGCTACCTGAATCGTATCCGTTTTTCACCCAATGTCCTGTGCCGACGGTATTTATCATTTAGCACTTTTTCATGCATACATACACTAGAAACTACAATGGCGTGAAAAAAGTTGCGGACAAAATCCACTCACTGCCCGTCCGAGGCTGTCTCACGCCGCACGCGCCACTGATGAGTCCGATCGGGCGCGGCTCTACCGGAACACAACAGGGATCCAAGAGCCTGGATTGATTGGATATTTGCGCGGAATTTCCTCCTCTTCTTTTTTGCCTTTTTATTTTGTTTATTTTACTCTCCAACTGACTAGCTCTTAAAGGGCTATAGGGTCCAGCTCCAGCAGTCACTAGGCCCGCTTCAGCGCTAGCCTTTGCCGAAAAGCTTTCTCCGACAGTCTGATGACTCGGCAAAAGGTGTTATCCGACCGTTTTATTCTTTTTTTTTTTTTTAATTTGACTATTATTTCTTTGGCTGGTCCTCGTCCGCCTTGGCCGACCTCTTGGCCGCTGACCTATCTATGAATAAACCACGAACGCCCCAAGCTCCTCGCCATCCCTTTTTGTTTGCGCTAAACTTGCTCCTATTTGCAAACTTTCCCAAAGCTCTCCTTCTTGTATCTTCCTGGACAACTTAAACATCCATCTGCCCTCAACACCATTCGTACCTTCCACCTCCACTGATACCTGCCGAGGTGCGCCATCTCATCGTTGGCCATCGTTGGCGATTGACCCGACCCGGTCAACCAGTCAGCCAAGCCCCATGCTGTCTTGGCGGCCTTGACTTGCACGGAGTACCAAGCAGACCCAGAAACTTTACATTTTCGTGGAATTTTCGTTTTGTTTTCGTTCGCTTTTCTGTTTACTTTTCCTCTGTCATCAGTCCATCAATTTATCAGCTTGGCTGTGCTGCTTTAGTAGTGCGCACCCCGCTTGATCCCGATTACGAGGAGTATCCCCGAGACATCGCTGTCTCACCCTACCTTTAACATCTGGAACGCGATCACTGCTCAAACAGATACAACCTCGAGATCAACCAGCACGCGTTCTTGAAATCTCACTCCTCTTTCTCGCCACCTATAACGCGTTATCATCCTCAAGAGAGAACACCAAAAACAGGCCTATCTCGTACCTCTGCATTCCTTCCCACCTATCGTCGCCAGATACTACGGGCACCCTCGTTCAATAAGCATTCAGGCTACCCGTATGAATTTCCATCATTCGGTGTAGCCGTATATCTGGGAGTTACATGCAGCTGCAGCGCAGGCTCGCATGTTTCTACACTCTGGTGCTGGCCTCCATGGCCACGAATACACTAGCCAGCGCCGATCTTCCGAATTAGTACCCAGAAAACAAATATTTGTTCGATCCAGAATGCAACGACCACTTACAGACGAGACTCAAAGGTTTTCCGCCTCCTTTGCTAGCCCGGGGCCGCATGAAAGACAGGAAAGTCTTCAGGAACATGGCTCTTTAACTCCTAAACGGCGCCCAACCTCGCTACCAGCACAGGCTAGATCGGCTTCCGAGAGCGCAAGACACCGAGACTACTCTGTTCGGTTTCGAGACGAGCTACATGTTACTCACTTATCAACGCCTTTATACAGCGAAGATGAGGAATCCATTGCTGGATCAGAATTGACAGCGGAAAGCGATGTCTCCAGCCGACGCCAGCGCAAGCAACGCATACCCCGGAAATCGACGACATATGCGCTCGCGCATCCTGCCCCTGGCCTTCGAACAAAACAGCGTCGCCTGGTACAGTTCCGGCCCAAATTGCTTCTCCAGCTTCAAGAAGTGGGCGAGAAGCGCGCTGTCCCGGCATTCGACATTGTTCCGTCTAGTCAAATTGCAGGAAGTTTCATCATACCGGTCCTGGCGAAACGATTTCCCCGAATGTTTCGGGCCAAGCCTAACCTCGGACAGAACGACTTGTTGTTAATGCGCAGCGAAAATTACAATATATCAACACCGACTGTCTCAGGCATTGACGATACAACAGAAGCCATGGGCGAACGAGACGTTTTGGCAGTCGTATCTGTAAACCCTCACGAAGGCACGGATCACGCTGAACTGACATTTCGTGATGGCTCTACATGGGACATTGGGGCTAACTCCAATGGATCATACGAAATGAAGAATGCCGATGGCTCTGCTTCTCCCATGAGAGGAAGATGGGTTCGCCGCTCGACGCCTTTGCGGACAAATAGTATGGACGCTTGCAATACCGGGCAAACGCAACTCATGCAGGACAAGTGGACCTTTAGCATCTTGGACCCTGCTGCCCGTCGACATCCCATCATGGGTGTCCTCACTTCTACGTCCCTAGAGATATATGACAATTACAACACAATGTCCACATCGAGCAGTCGTTATCCGCCGACCAAGTCGTTCGGAAGCGGAGTTAGCGTTGCACAGGAGGAGCAACAAAACCAGCCCGCTTCTGCCGTTGCGGAGAAGAGAAAGACTGAGACGGTGACTGAAGACAGCAAAATGTTAATGATGGTCTCAGCTACTTGGATCAGCCTTCGACAAGCCGGATGGCCCGCAACGGCGAATCCGAAAATGGCTCGTTCCATGTCGCATTGCTGCAGTCCGCAGAGCGAGCATGTTGCAGGATCCGTATCCGATTCACGAGAGAGCTCGAGAGAGTTCAAGCCTCAAGATGGCATGAATCACCAGCGCAGGAAATCGACAGGTGCCTCGTCTCATGCTCAGCCACCAGTTCGAACACTATCCGCGGCTAGTCACTTCATGAGAAAGCAGCAAGAACAGCGGCGACGAGATTCGTTGCACGCTGGTTCGAATGATGGGCGGGCTACGCCTGATAGCGTGGACAAACCTGTTCCTCGGCGAGGAACCGTAACAAAGCTGGCCTCGTGGCTGCGTAATTGTTTTGGCGGGGAGGGGAGCGCACAAAAGCGTCATACGTGAATATAGCAAACAATATCAACTAGCAACAAAGACACACATGTACACTACTAGCATAGCATGAAGCATTTAGATACCCGTCACGCACGTGGCCTGTATTACGGCGAGGATAGGTTTATACTGAGGAGGTGAATGAAAGACGATTTATGATTGACCAGTACGTGTTTGGGAATTTGGTGTGATGTAATTCGAGGTGACGTAGAAAGCTTTGGTCTTGATGCCGTTTCATCGAGTTGCACTGATGTCTTTTTTCGCGCGGGGTATGGAGTTGGGAGTGTAATTGTTGAGTGTCCTGTGAATTTTGGTAGCGGGGTCTTGCTGAGGCGGCCCTTGGCAGCCTGGGGTGTATGGAAGGAAAGGATAGTCAAGATATGACGCAAGAGTCTGATCGTCCATGTCGTTGCGGCCGACACGGGATAGTAGCCTAAATTCAATAATTGAAATGTCGGTCATTGGTGTCATAGTCTGAAGTCACACATTCCAGTTTTAGCCAGCTGACATGGTGATGTAGGCCGGTGCCGGGCAAGTTGAGCGTGCGGAGCTGTATAACCTTGTTGGCACTGGTGACTGGCACGACTGGTAAAGTATTAGGTATGAGTGACTCGCTGGAAAGGCAAATGGGTTGATTCTTCTCCACAAGAGAGGGGACTGAAGTAAATTGTTTTGTCAGCAACTGAAATGTTGTACTGCTACATTTATAAATTTACAATGATTGAAAACAAACAGAAGGCGATTACCTACGTACCTACCTACCTACGGATACCATGCTTGCCATTAGGTATCCGTCATACCTAGGCAAGAAGCGACAAGCTGCCTCGCAAAACTAAGGTACTTCTAGTGGAGGTGACAAGGCTAACCGCTTCAACGTTGATCCACTGAACCAGCGGTTCAGCGCTCTGCCCCCCCCCATATTATCTCCAATCCAAGTGGCAATCCCAGTGTATTCCCCCCCATCTCGCTGGGTGCTAGTTTTCCCTGCAGCTCTTCCCGCGTTCGAAGCTCCCATTTATTTTTAGTCAATCTTGCTTGCCTCGTTGTCCCTTGACCTCGAAACCCCCAGTAGGAAGAAAGCTTTCTCTTCCGCTTCAAAGGTCCTGCAACGACATCATCTCAATCTGTCCGCGCCGTTCCATCTTCGTCTCGGCGTTACCCTGTGCCCCTGACGGATTATTCGCTCGACCATTCACACGCGGTCGCACGCAGCAGCGCACCTCTTTCTCTGAATTTCATTAGGCACCGAGTCGCCGCCGTCATCGCAGCTACCACACCATCTCCGAATTTCCATCGCTCGAGGTACGGTTACGACGTCCTTTGCCGCCTAACCATCATCCGACCGCCGACCCCTCGAATACTCTTTCAATGGGACTACACGTTTCGACTTCAGCTTTTTGCAACCATTTCTAGAATTGCATCAAACGACGGCCCTGGTGACAAGTGCACGCTCTAGATCCGCCACACGGCGACAAACAACGCCGTTTGGCAGCAACTGTCATCAACCACCAGTCATACAGCAGCGCTCTCTGACCGCTGACAGTATCTCCTACCTTCATACGATTTATTCGCAATCTGCCCTTTCCATCTGTCATGGATGAGAACCCAGGCCCTCACCACGAGGGTACGCTCGGCGCCCTCTCTGCCACGTCGGCATCGCAGCTCTTTGCCAATTTTGCCTCCTACGAGCCCATCTCGCGAGCCACCACCCCCGGAATCCCCTGCTCCAAGTCGGATGAGGATGACAAGAAGAGATATCGCCCTCGCACATTTGCATACTTTAATCAGTTGCCCTTCCTCGTCGAGGAGGAGCAGCAGCGCGATGTCGCACTTCAAGACATCCTCAAGCAGCTCTATATTGCCATCCGCGCCGAAGACTTCTCCCCTGGTGCCCTGCATTGGACAAGGGAACTTCAAGGCTGGCTCAACCTAAAGTTTGAAATGACGCGCGAGCTCAGAGCAAAGCTCGCCAAGCTGTATTACTCTCTCGCACTGGCCCCGGGCTTGGATTCCACGGCGGCCGACCGTTTTTTGCGCATGGTTGTCACGCTGACAAGGTAAGAAACCCCCTCGAGCACGCAGATCAGTACGCGAAAGTTTTCCCACTCGCTTACAATGTACTTCTTCCGTTGGCAGAAAAAACCACTACCTGAAGCCGGGTGAGGACTTGACACTCGATTGGAGGCCGCTCTGGAAAGAGGTCAAGACTTGGGTGTTGCCCGCCGAGGTTCCTTCTCATCAGAGCAGCCGCCGCCGATCATCAAAGCAGCTTCTAAAGCTTTGCACCCATGTTCACACATACTTTGACCCAAAGGAGCGTCCAGAGATGCTGCAAGAATTCCTGCCATTCTTCAGCGTGCACGAGTTACCAAATGCTTTCATTGTCACTGGAGTGCTCAACACGCTGCTACCTAGTCATCCGGCACCCCCAACTGCCCTCGCTGCGCAGCCCGACGCCTTCTTTCCTACCCTCTTTCATTTGTGGTCTATCATGAACCGCTCAAAAGTGGTCGACATCTTCTTCATCGACATGTTTTCGAGGCTGGCGCGAGATCACTTGCATGCTGCTCACGTTCCTTTTGGCGAACATGGCATCTTCACCAAGGCGCAATCTGATCTCATCTTCACAACCATTTTGCGACTGACACAGATCCCCGTTGGCCAGTCCAACTCCCCCTACTCGCCGCTCGATTATCTGTCTGGTGCCGGCATGTACATGGAAAAGGACAAGAAAAAGTATCCAATTGCATACATGATGGCGCGTTTGATTGTCAGCTCGCTGTCGCCGGCCTGCTCGGGTGAAAAGGACTCCGTCATGTCAACACTCGAGGGCCTAATGGAGTCAATCGACACATTCTTTCACCCGTCTAATCAAGGCGCATGGACGTCTCTTCTTGGCCAATTGACGCTCTTTCTGACAGATGCGTTTGTTTCTCGCTGGAATCGAGAGCAGAGCGGCGAGCTCGAAATACCGCAAGAGCGCAAGATTGACGGGGAATTGAAAAGGCGGTTCGTCGAATCGCTCAAGGAAGTAACATTCATGGGTCTTTTCTCCAAGAGCAGTCGGGTATCCCATTGCTACTATAATGCGCTGCAAGGGCTAGCTTACCTGGAACCCGATCTTGTTCTACCTGGTGCATTGCAAAGGTTTTATCCTAGTCTTCAAGGCTTGGTTGAAGTTCACCGAACAACCTCGAGCCTGAATAGCTTACAAATGATTGCCAATATCATGTCCAAGCTCAAAGGCTATCGATGCCACATGACTGCTCTCCTGGCGCTGGCTCTCCCTGGCATCGATGCCAACGATCTGAGCAAGACACAGTACACGCTCAACTTTATCCAGAGCGTCGCCTACAGTATTCCCTTTGCTTCAATGGTTAAAGAAGATAGTGCTGTTCACGATACTAGTCTGGCTATGCAATGGGTTCAGGCCGAAATGGATCGCATGGAACGAGATGGCCAGAACGTTGTCATCGACTACGACGCAGAACTTACAGACGAGGATGAGGCCAATATTCTGCGATCATCAACTGCAGGCTTTGGCGAGTTCGTCATGACTCTGCTTGGGAAGGTGTTTACTTTGCTCGAGAACCTGCCCGATGCGAATCAGGTTCGTGGTGGGACCCCTGAAGACAATGTTATTAACGCGCTTCCGGCTGCGCTATCGCCCTTGTTTGCGTCATTATCGCCGGACTTGTTTGATATGGTCGTTGAAAGGCTCGCAACGTTTGTGTCGTCGCATGTTGTTCACCAGGCGCGAGATGCCATGGCTTGGATTCTCAATGCACTCTGCAAAGTGAACCCGGAAAAGACGCTAAAGATCTTCGTTCCCATGCTTGTTGTCAATATCCGCAACGAGATTGATCACAACCATGCTGCATCTGATCGAACATCGGGCACCGATTACCTGCCCCGCGACAGAGCCCTAGTATGGCACGTCACCATGTTGGCCATGGTAGTTGTCCACGTCGGACGAGAGGTTCTCAGCCACAAGGATGAACTTCTCGGAATTGCTGGCTACATGCAAGAAAAGTGTCGTGGCCTGCCAACTATTTTGGTGTCCAACTACATCCACCACCTACTCCTGAATCTAACTCACACCTATCCCATTGACCATGCCCTGTACGAGCCAGAGGTTTTCAAGAGGGGTCTGGATATCTGTGACTGGGGGAAGACAACGGCGCCCTCTGATTTGACTATCAAGTGGCATCAACCATCGCCGCCCGAGGCTGAGTTTGCCGTGGAGTTATTCGCAGCCCAGACCAAATCCATCTCCAAACAACTGGCCCTCCTTCTTAGTGATAACCCTCCCGTCAGCCGTAAAGGCAAGAATAAGGAGTGGTCCGATGAAGTCTCACGGCTGATGCAGCAGATTCGTCTGGTGACGTCAGGAATGTCTGTCATGTTTGATCCAAAGCGCGCGTCTGGAGTTGCAGTTGACGAGATCGAGGATGATTCCGTTGTTGACGCTGACAAAGATGAGATGATGGTTGATGACGATGATCCTCTTGCCGAGGTCGCCGATGATGAGGAGCTGAGACCCCAATTTCGCTATCGTGCAGGCTATCCCCTCAAGCGAGATGATCCGGCTTACGAGCGGACGCACCTTCTGCGCGAGGAACTCGGTCAGCTGTTGACAAAGGCACATGCCTTTTTGGTTGAGCATCAAGAGGACGATGTGAATTGCTTCACTGCGCTTTGCTCCGCGTACCGAACATGGATCACAGACGTCGGTATTGAACGCTCTGCACACCCTCTCGAGCGTCACTTGCGGCTTTACAAGGCCGACATTGCAGCCTTCAAGGTCAAGGGACTGAGAAAGGTTTATCCACGCCCTCTTCTCATCAAGAGAGCAGAAGCCTACTTGCTCTTACGTCTGAAGCATAACGCGTCTTCCAGGCAAAAGAGTGAACTAGACAAGCAGCTTCTTCTTGATCTGACACAATCCTGCCTGTCTTCTTATGCCGACGTTCGCCGTGTCGCTCAGAACGCTCAAGATTCATCGCTCAAGGCTCTTGTAGGCGGCAAGCCACTTGTAATTCCGCCGCTTCTGCAGGGACTCAAGAAAGCACTCCAAGAAAACGATCATGATCGTATCAAAGGCGGCATGTACTCGCTTTTCTTTACATCGCTTCTGAAGACGTTGTTAAAAGACTGGAGGTTTGCTCCAGAGGCGATGAGACTATACATTGAAACCGCGCGCATCGACAAGCCGTCCATTCAGAGCCTGGGATCCTCTGCGCTCTATTCGCTAATCGAATTTGGCAAGCCATTTGAGCGAGCTATTATTGTAGACGAGGACGTTGTTGACACTATCCGTCCCAAAGAAGACTCGACATCCGCGATTGACTCGCGACACCAGTTCATTCTTCAACGTCGCAAGAGAGTGGAAAAGTCAAAAGCAGCCCTGGGCCTGGAACTCACTAGAAAGGCCAAGGATGCACACTGGAAAGTCGCAACCAGATGTGCCATCTTTGCAGCCAACTTGTGTCTTCGATTCGACACAATTGCACCAGCTGAATTCATTGCCTTGGTTGCGAACGGCACAAACGACCCTCACCCCAGCCTTAGAGGCTACTATCTGAACGCTTTCACGTCCATCTTTACCGCCGTCGACTTGCGCGCTGTGTATGAGCATGACTACCGCAATTACTTGCTCGAGAAGGAGAGCAAGGATCGCAATAAGATCACTGTCGAGGTAAAGAAGGGTGATGCTGAGTACACCAGAAAGTTTCTGGACTCTTTCAAAGACCCCAACAATGCAGAATACATGGTGGATGCGGATCACCCTGGTTGGCTGGTGTGGGGCAAGTCTTTCTCTGCCTTCCGAGCCAGGCCTATGCCATTTGATTCGTACGATGACAAGGAACGCGCTGTACGTTCTCAGATTGGAAAGATTTTAAACAAGGACTGGTTCCGTCAGTGTTTTGATTATTTGAAACAAGAGCCACGAGACAGCTCAGCAGACAGATTTCGGATGAGCAGCGTTTATCTGCTGATGCATGTGTTTGACTTGATGCATTACGAATCCACGGCTGTCAATTTGGAGGAAATCAAGGAGCTCATGGTCGAAGTGTATGGTGACGGCAGCGACAAACACCAACATCGCGCGACTTCAGAAATTCTCGGGGCATTGTTGGCCGGATCCAGCGATGACCCGCCAGCGATCCGAAACAGAGTGTGGGAGTTTGCAGCACCCAAGATTCTGGAGATATTTGCCGACGGGCTTACTCCCGACAACCTGACGTATTGGATGACATGCTTGCACTTCATTCTAGACTGCAAGGACCCTCGTCGCTCTCATGAGCTAGTGGATGCGCTGCGTGGCTTCCGCCTAGACATGAGCTCTAATGCTGCGTTCAAGGAATCTGCCAAAATTCAGCTGGTCGAGTTCGCCATTGCTGATGGTGGGTGGCATTTCCGTGGTACACAGCCTATCCTGGACAACTTTCTGGCACACCTGGATCACCCTTACAAGGCAGTACGTGAGTCGATGGGCCGAGTAATCTCGGTGATTTACAAGTCGAGATACCATGAGTCGTTTGAGAGTGTCAAGAAGCTACTTGAGGAAAACAAGGCGGACTCGTCTATCGGTATCCGACCTTACAAGCCCGACGATGAGTTCAGTGCTGTGATCAAAGACGTCTTTTCGCGGCTGGAGAAGTGGAGGCACGAGCGCGCGCCAGGCCAGCAGACGCAGTCTTCGTATACAGCGGGTAGCAAGACGGTATTGATGTGGCTGGACTGCGCCTTATCATCGCACGAATGTACCCAGCTTGTGCCGTTCTTTTCTACGCCGTTCATGGATGAGCTACTTCACATGATGGACGTCAAGGAGGATCCAGAGCTGATGCGCACTGCGTACCATGTGTATCGTCATTTGCCCAACATTCCATTCAGAGACGGTGAAGATGCAGACTTCATCAAAGGTTTGGTTCGTATAGGGCGTAATGCCGCCAGCTGGCATCAGCGCCTTCGAGCTCTTGTCAATATGCAAGTCGTCTACTTCCGGCGCATCTTCGTGACGGAGAAGAGCCTTCGAGATGTTTTGTTTACCACAGTCTCGGACATGCTCAGCGACTCGCAGCTGGAAGTGCGAGGGTGTGCAGCTTCAACATTGGCGGGCATGATCCGTTGTTCGCCTCGGCGCGTCCGGGACCCATTGATTGAACATCTCACAGCCAGATTTGAGAGAGAGCTAGCGCAGAACCCCATGCCAAAGCGTGGCCCCAAAGTAGCTGGAACAGATACACCAGTGGATGTGCAGAAGCAGATCACGCGCCGACATGCAGCCGTCCTTGGATTGGGCGCGTTGATAGAAGCCTTCCCGTATGCCACACCGCCGCCCAAGTGGATGCCCGAGATTCTCGCAACCTTGGCTCGTCGTGCCGCGGGCGACCCTGGTGTGGTGGGTAAAGCAGCAAAGGGAATACTAAGCGAGTTCAAAAAGACTCGACAAGATAGCTGGACTGTGGACCAAAAGGTATGTCACAGCATCGATGATACGTTGGCGCACTAGTGGACTAATGAATGGTGGCAGTACTTTACACCTGAGCAATTGGAAGATCTGGAAGGTGTCTTGTGGAAGAGCTATTTTGCTTAGTCGAGAGCAAAATAAAATAAATTGTCACGGACTGGCCAACCCAAGTTCTTGGCAAAAACATGGCATTGGGTATGAATGACTTCCGGGTTATGTTTGAGTAATTGCCAAGTCGGCAGCATGTATATATGAGTGTTATAAATAAAAAGGAGTATTACTAGGGGTATGGTACCATTTGACTACAAGCATAAGTATATGTGATTTGATATATTACCTACTTAATTACTAGTTAAACTACAAAAATAAATTAGTAGTAAGACTTCAATTTAACAACTATTATCTCTTACTTAATAATAGAGTTGTATTATTTTATTACTTTACCACTAGCTACCTATAATCTCTCTCTTTAATTCCTTAAAATATCTCCCTTTACTTCCTTAAACGAGGCGTGGTGCGTTTGTTTTATATGCCGGTCAGGTAACTCTGGAACCAAGCAACAATAAAGCAAATAGAAGCGCCCTGGCGGGCGCCCTTTGCCCTCATGAGGGATTTCCCCGCGATAAATATTCATACATACATGCATACATGAAGCAAACAGGAAAATGTGCTCTGTTCTTGGCGAGCTTGCGGGCGCGCTTGTCGCGCGAGTTTCGGGGACATTCAACCTGTCCGATGAAATACATTGAGCCCTGTCGCTACGTCGCCATACCAGCCTGGCATATAAGACTCACCCATTTCACTTCGTAACAACCAGCAATCTTTAACTTTTTTCATCTCTCTAAGTGTTTACATGAATATTTTTAACTATTCTTCCCGACATGGCTAATTTATTCAAGATTGAAGTAGCTGAAGCATCGGCACGCATTCAAGGATACGTTCGCAGGACTTCGTGTGTATTTTCACCGCGCCTTTCTTATCTGGCTTCGAGCCGGGTCGGCCTTCGAAAGAAGATCAATGTGTTCATTAAAACCGAGAACGAACAAATCGCTGGCTCATTCAAGTACCGAGGGGCCATGAACAAGCTGCTGAAGCTAAACGAGAATCAGCTTCGTGCGGGATTGATCACATACAGTACAGGTTAGAGGTCTACACAGAGAGACAGCCATTGGCTAGCCTTACTAACATTCTCTACACAGGAAATCACGGAGTAGCCATCGCGAAAGCTGCAATGGACCTGATGAATGAAAGAGGATACGATATACCCGTTCATGTCGTGGTAAACCAAAGCAGCCTTGAGTCAAAAAGATCGAAACTCCAGGACAACGGCGCGCAAACCATACGCATCAATGGCAGTAGTATGATTGACTGCCGGACCACAGCACACGCCAGGGCAACAGAACACGGATACACGCTTATCGAGTCATTTGACCGCGATGTGATGATTGGACAAGCTACAGCCAGTCTGGAGGCTTCCCACCAGATTGAGGGATTGGAAGAAGGGCGCTTAGACGGCGTCATTGTTCCTTGTGGAGGGGGAGGTCTAACTACGGGCACTGCACTACTCTTGAATGGCAGCAGCACGTCCGTCTTTGCTGCTGAGCCGCTGGTTGGTGGCGCGCGTTTGGCTGCTAGTTTGCTGCAGGGGCAGCTGTGCGAGCGCGACATGGTCGGATATACGTGCGCTGACGGCTTGCGAACGTCGGTGTGGGAATCCAACTGGCAAGTGTTGAAAAGCACGGATTATTTAAAAGCATGCTTCCCAGTCACGGAAGGACAGATATCAGATGCTTTGAGAGAGCTTCGAGAGATATTAGGGCGTCCCATCGAACCCAGTGCTGCTGTCGGGCTTGCAGCGGCGCTGTACCACCCCGATTTGAGAGCCTTTGAGCCCCAGGAAGAGGTGAAGACGTGGAACATTGCGGTGATCCTGACAGGAGGTAATAGCTAGCAGTAACACATCATTGTATAGTGTAGCCTAGATAGAAACACATGTTGTCGCTCCGTCCTTGAGTTGGGCTTGCAATCTCACGTACAGCTGGTGCCGCTGCCATCTTATACTATGGAGAACAAGGTTAAGTTTCGCGTTTTTTTCATTGGCCAGGGTGGCCGTGAGCACGTCTTGGCTATTACGCTGCTAATGACTTTATATCCGCGATGGCGATGGTTGATAGCCTACCCACGGAAAGATTGGTTTGTAAGACAAGGAGTGTACATGTTTGCGACTGATCTCGAAGCAATCCGAGGACTTTAGCATTTTTTTACCGGAGAATCGATGCCTCGATGCCTCGACGGTGAAACCCGGTCATGATCGAAAAATACATCGAGGGGCTGGAGGTTAGCATTCGACGACTGTGGGCAATGGACAGCGTTGTCGCTGTTGACAGAGAACAGCTCGTTTATTCGTTTATCGCCCTATGGCACGGGCGCTGTTAATGACCTATCAGGCTGTTTCGCCTAGTCCCACCTCTCGGCCGACAAACGTGCATCAGGCCGACAATCAATAGCGCCCATTCTTCTGCTGTTGTGGTGTACAACAGATTCCAGAATCCCCGCCTTGGGCGCGCACTGGTGAACCAGAAGCAGAAGAGAATGATGGCCACACCGAGCAGACTACTGGCACGATTGCCACGGGTGTTGTTGACGCTCTCTTCCGTGACAAAGGAACCAACAAGCATGGAGGCACGATAAAGATTCTGATCAATGAGATGATGTACTGTTGTGTTTTGGCACGTCATTGTGTTTAGAAAAAGGACCCAAGGTACACTTGGGCATCCATGACTGTAGACTACAAGACGACAGCGTGGTGACGGCCAGGCGATGGTTACACAAGCCGGCCGGAAGGTGTTGTTGGCGTACGTACAAAGTGGCATTACTGCGGAGGCGGTGCAGGAGCTACTTTTTCCTGCTCTAATACCCAGGGCAAGCGATTTGGCAGAAGCCGTGGCGCTGGTGCATAGTTAACTAGTTAAGTTGTACAGAAAATTGGCGAGTTGGTGCACAACACAGCCTCGATAGGCAGTTTTTGGTGTGTACCTAGTCCCCCACAAACTGTCTACAATACATCCCATTTCCCGGCAAAACATTATACTACATTATAATCGAATATATTGATATATATATTGCAATTTATCATGATGAGAGCATTTGATTAGTGATCAGAGTTGGCGATACAAGCTCACATCAGTAGATAATCTAAGCTAGGTGGTCATTGAAGCCTGTGCTGCATCGAGCAAACGCGCGCTAGCGAACATCACAGTGCTACAAGGGCAACTGAAGGCTGGGGCGGTCTAAAAGCGGCGATGACTTGTTTTCCCTGCCGCTACCTTTCTCACAACCGCTCCAAATCAGAGGGCCGCCGCTATTGCGCTCATCTGGTCGAATGCAGCCCACGATTTCGCCTTGTCCTTGTCAACTCAAGACTCGCCGAGCCAATCGCCTGTCACTGCCACTGCCACACCTCAACACCGGACCAGCAATCTCGCTCTCAATTCAGACCCTGCGAGGCCGACAGCTTTCGCAGCCATTTTCTGACCGTAGTTCTGCATCCGCTTCCTCAAGCAGCCTGATTTGTCTCTCTCCGGAACTGCGCATTACAACCGGGCGGCGGCCGGGCCTACCAGCGCATTGACGAGCGGCAAACGACGCATGGCAGATCAGTCACGATATCCTCTCGCAGATAACTGAGAGATTTCTTGGATGGCTCAGCACCTTGCACAGTCTCGATGTCTTGTGTATTGAAATAATCTTTGTTCTACTTCCATCGATGATGCAACAAGTCGTTGCACCAACCCCTCCACCTACATGACAGCGCTTCCGCATCAGGCGCTCTCATTCACCACTTTGTTGTACATATAACAGCCGTACCGCCCTCTGAAACCCTTTTCTCTGAACGGCACAAGACAATGGCATGAGTCGCTTCCAAATAAAAATCGAAAAGCTCGCCAAACGCCTTCAAAGACAAATTTTTCCAAAGGCAAACATGACTTTCGACACTTCATTGCTGCAACAGCTGCATGAGGACTCAACTGACGACAAGCAAACCGCACAGGCAGTACTCGAAGCGACGCATGAAATGAGTCAGTTTCGTGCCCCTCTCAAGAGACAACGGTCGTCTCGGTCGTCTGCAAGCGCTGTCAGGACAAGGACCGACTTGCCGGCAGATGTGGACCGGTACATGGAAGACCGCAGCCAGCTCTGCGAGGCCGAAGCGTCCATTGGCTTTGAGCACCGCTGCCGTGTGCGCGCAACATCACTCGAGAAGACCGTCGACGGTATTCTTCACAGACTGCGCCGGCTCGACAAGGAGCAAGTCTACGACGCCGCCGAGGCGAGGCCGGGCCATGGCGGGCAGAGGCATCCTCGCTTCGCGGGCGATCATTTTCTAAGCAACGTCGACCTCATCCAAAAGACGCGTCTCTTCGATGTGGCGCGCCACATGCCCAAGGGTGCGCACTTGCATATCCATTTTAATGCGTGCCTGCCGCCTGACGTGCTTCTGGGCATCGCCAAGGAAACGGAGCGCATGTTCATCACGAGTAATTTGCCGTTGATAGAGGACAATGGGCGCGAAAACTACTCCAAGTGCGAGATTCAGTTTTCCCTGCTGAGCGTGGACAAGGAGAATGCCGCGCCAGGCAACTTGTTCAGTGCGCAGTATCAGCCGCGGCAGACGATGAAGTTTACGACGTTTCTAGAGCAATTTTCGCGCCATTGTCCTGGAGTTGATGCGCAAGAGTGGCTGCTGTCCAAACTCGTCTTTTCTGAGGATGAAGCTCACGGAGCATTACAGACGGCAGCTGGGTGAGTGGTGAAAGTCGCAACGAATATCGAAGCTTTGCAGTAACGCTAACATGCTGGATGAAAAGCGCCTGGGAAAAGTTCAATGGACGCACGAGAATGATGAAGGGCCTTTTCAACTATGAAAAGGCGTACAGAGAGTATACACGGCGGTGCCTCGAGGATTTCGTCCGCGACAACATTCAATACGCCGAGATACGGCCCAACTTTATGACCACCAACCAGTTGTACCACGACGACGGAACGGGACCCATTGACAACAAGGGCATCATGAATATCATTATAGACGAAGTCAAGGCCTTTCAGCAAGATATGGAGAAGCAGAGCCAGTACTTTGGCGGCATCAAGGTCATCTACTGCACGCCTCGCTCGATGCAGCCATCCGCCATCAAGAACGCACTAAAAGAGTGTCTCGAGTTTAAGAAGCAATGGCCCGAATGGATCGCCGGTACGCGACCCTCCCCTTGATACCCTCCCTTTCTTGTTTCTTCACAGCCATAGCTAATCCTTGCTTACGTTTCTAGGCTTTGACCTCGTCGGCGAGGAGGCGCAGGGACGCCCGCTGCGAGATTTCGTCGCCGAGCTGCTCGAGTTTCAGGAGGATTGCCGCAAGGCGGACGTCGAGATACCGTTCTTGTTCCACTGCGGCGAGACGCTCGATGTGGGCGCGCCCGCTGATGGCAACCTCCTCGATGCGCTGCTGCTGCGCGCGCGGCGCATCGGGCACGGCTATGCGCTACCCAGACATCCGCTCGTCATGCAGCGCATGCGCGCCCAGGGCGTCTGTGTTGAACTATGCCCCATCTCAAATGAGATTCTCGGGCTGACGCCGCGCGTCGGCGGCCACGCCCTGTACTCGCTGCTGGCGAACAATGTGCATTGCGCCGTGAGCTCGGACAATGGCGCGCTCTTCAAGTACGTCAAATTGCCGCCCCCCCCCCCCCCCCTCCCCACACTCTCTCTCTCTCCGTTTTTTTGGTCTGTTCTAGTGTACTAAGTGAAGCAATGCAGATCGTCGCTCTCACACGACTTTTACCAGGTGCTCATTGGCAAGGCGGACATGGGCCTGTATGGCTGGAAGCAGCTCGTGCTCTGGAGCATAGAGCATGCGTGCCTCAGCGACGACGAGCGAGGAGCGGTCCTGCAGCAGTGGGAGCGCATGTGGGAGGACTTCCTGCAGTGGGTGGTGAAAACGTATGGCTCCGAGTAACCAGCCACGTCGTTCTGTGTTTGTTGGCTTTGCACTGCTTGGGAGGTTGTTCTGCTAATTTCAGCGTTGACCTTGATTTGGGGCCTTGGGCGTGTCCTGGACGAGCCATGAGGGGAAGGTAGTCCTGAATAACGTATTTATGCCTTTTTGTAAATCTATCATGATCATTTCTCAATGATGTGTAGCGGCGCGTGGGGGCAAACATAGTCCAGTTCTAATTCAAGACTTTTCTTTACTCGTAACGGGGAAAATGAGTAATATACAACTGCTTGATTGTAGTTTCATTTGTAAATTGGAGGAAACGCAGATTATAAACCCTATAAAAGCAATGAAATGTGTAGAGGACAAAAATCTAACCTCTAAGTGCAACCAAAAGAAAACACCACTTTTTTCGTCTCCCATGACGCCTTCATAAGCCAAAACAGCCAGATACAAAAGTTTATGCAGAAATCAGCATTAACGCGCCTCAAATATAAAATCTAGTCTTCAAAGTAGACGGCTTTTTTCTCGGTAATGTCAATGACGCCTCCGCGGAAGCTGCCCTTCTTCATCTTATTCTTTGCCTTTGTGAAGCCCTTGCCCTTTGTGATGATGAGGTCCTCGTGCGCGCGCTGCGAGTAGTCCATGGGCACCCACTCGTTGGAGGCGAAGCGCGCGTCGACCTTGATGTTTTTGGGGATGCGGGAAAAGGGCTCGTTTTGCTTGCGCTTGGCGACTGGCGCGGGGGGCAGAGGGGGCTCGGCCACGGGGGAGGCGCGGTCGAGGGTGACGGACGAGTCGGACGAGTCCTTTGTAGACTTCTCCTTTTTGACCTTTTTGGCCTGTGGTTTGGCTTCGTCTTCGGAACTGGAGGACGACAAATCGGAGTCGGAGGACGAGTCGGCGGAGGACGAGTCGCTGGAGGGGAGGGAGACAGCAGCAGCCTTTTCGACTTCAGAGGATGACGAGTCGCTGTCGCTGTCAGATTCGCTGTCAGAGTCGCTGTCAGAGTCGCTGTCAGAGTCGCTGTCGGAATCGGAATCGGAGTCCAAGTCGGATGAATCGCTGTCGCTGTCGCTGGCGGAGTCGATGTCCATCTTGTTATCGGACTCCCCCAGCTTGATGGTTATCGTTGTTTTTTGCTTCTTGGCCTGAGGCTTCTCCTCCTTGTCTTCTTCCTCGTCATCCGAGCTGTCACTCAGATCAGAATCCGAATCCTCTTCCGAAGAGTCACTGTCACTCTCTGGAGCCTTGCGCTTCAGTGACTTGGTCACCTCTTGCTTCTTGGTCACCTCTTCCTCGTCGCTGCTATCGTTTTCGTCGTCATCGGAGCTGTCGCTGCTTTCCGAGCTATCCGAACTGTCTGCACTGTCCTCATCGATCTTGGCCGCAGCCCTCTGCCACCACGCAAAGACCTCGTCAAGAGTCGGTCCAGCGACGACGATGTCCTTGTCCTTGGTGACCAGGCCCTTTTCTTTGCGCTGCGCACGAAACGCCTTGTGCGCGTCGGTGAAGGCATGATCCTTGAGAAACCTTTCCACAATGTCCATCAGCAAAGCCGGGGCCGCGGGCGCGGCGACGGCAGTGCTGCCACCCTTCTTTCCCATCGTTCTGGTGGAGGGGCGGTCTGGCGTCGTTTTGGGATCGGCGGCGGTAGGTGTCGCGGCGGCGACGGCGTCGGAGTTGTTAGAGAAGAGCCAAGCTGGCGGCGCGGACATGTGAGTGTAGAATAGATCAGTGAGCAAAGTCTCGAGGAAAGTCTGAGTATGAATCATTCAAAAAAGCAAGGCGAGAGAAAGAAAACAGAGAGCAGGGGCACCGGGAGGATCAAAAAAGTTCCGAACTAGGAAAGAGAAAGAAAAGGCGGCGAGTGGCAGAAAAAAAAAAAAAGAATCCGTGACCGCCGATTGGATGTGGGGCCGATGTTCTCTTATCGATTTCTATCGAGGAGGCACCGGACAGGGAAGAAGCACAGTGAGCTTCAGCGGCTGAAGACACTGCAACGGGAGTTTCAACAGCGACAGTAAATTTGCGTAGCAGCGTCTGACAATTTACGTTTTTGAATTGTTTATATTAAATCAAGACCTTTTGGCCAACAAGAAACGAGGCGACGGTGCCATGATTTGCATAGCTTCACTAGATGTTCACTGAGACAAGCTGTAAGGCGCCGCACGCTCACAACCTGCAGCAACGCGCTTCGCTCCACTGTCCCAACGAGAGCAAACGGTCATGTCTTTTTTTCGCATCAGCAATCCGTTTCCGTACATGTCAACCCTCGCTGCTGTTTCATCCCTTCCTTTCTGACCCCGACGTTGGGCAGCATTCGAATACGAAGCTCCAGCCTGCCCCAGTCAGTCCCTGGCCTCGTTGCTGATTCATCCGTCCTGGGCGCCAACGTTTCGTGTCCCATTCCAGCTTGTTCTGTCCCTCCGGCGCCAAACCCTCGCTCGGTCCCCACGATGAACGCGACCAAGCGCAAGTTCAACGCCCTGCTCCAGGGCCTCAACAGCCCTCGACCCTCTCCGCCTGACCAAAAGCCCAGAAAGACGGCCGACATTACCGCTGGAACCGCCGCGTCGTCGTCCCTGCCGTCGTCGCCTCTGTCCACCATCGCACAAAAGAAGCGCCGCATGGGCGTCGCCCCCGCCGCCGACACGGCGTCATCCTCGTCGCTGTTGTCCCTGGCGTCCATTGCGTCGCTGCGTAGGCCGCTGCAGACGCCTCCGCCCGCCGCCGGCCCCCCGGAAGTCGCCGCCAGATACTGCCCCGGAGACAGAGAGCAGCTGCTGCGACGGCTCGCGTCCTTTCAGGAAATCACCAGCTGGACACCCAAGCCCGACCGCGTCGGCGAGGTCGAGTGGGCGAAGCGTGGATGGGTGTGCCACGGTAAGGAACGCGTCCGATGCGCGTTATGCCACAAGGAGCTGGTGGTCAAGCTCAACCGCAAGGAGCAAGACGGGAAGGAGGTGTCTGTGTTGATTGCGTCGGAAATTGGTAAGTTCTCGTCGCTTGGCATACGGCGCAATTGCTAACATGACGTCAAGAGGAAGCGCTCGTCGAAAAATATGCGGACCTTATCGTTTCTTCACATCAACCGGACTGTCTATGGAAAAAACGTGGATGCGATGGTATGTGCTCATCTACACGCCTCCTGAATCACTCGTCACTTATATCAACACTTTCTAGACTCGCTTTTACGAATATCCTTTTCCAATTCCAGCAGCACTCTCGAAAGCCTAAGGCAGCGTTACGATGAACTTTGTTCACGCCAATCTTTCCTCCCTTACGAATTCAACCTCCGCCTTCCTGAAGACCTCGTCCTTGATACGGTACTCAAACAACTTCCAGAAAACTTCTTCACCCACCCCCCTCCCGCTGCCGCTGCCACCACTGGACAGTCTCCCAACCGCGCCGCGTTGGCTCTGGCTCTCACTGGATGGCAGGGTCTGTCCAATGTGCGTATCGGCGCCGTTCCCAACAGCGCCTCGTGTCACACATGTCAACGACGTCTTGGACTATGGATGTTCAAAAGCAAAGAGGTGGATGAGAATGGAAAAGTACTAGTGCCAGCGGCTATGGACCATCTCGACCCCATTCGTGAGCACCGGTTCTTCTGTCCATGGAAGAACCCAGAGGCCCAAAGTAGAGTCGGTGCGACTGGAAAAGACGCGCAAGCCACTGCATGGATGTCCTTGCTTCAGATGCTCAAGAATGAGTCTGAGCTACGCAGTATATACCAAGGGCACCACAGAAAATCTCTCGCTGGCGAAGCCCCTCCTGTGCCTGAGAAAGATAACGTGAACCCCTCTACACCTCAAAAAGCAGTCCCAGTGTTACTGGAACCCATGTCCAATGCATCAGCCAAAACGACCGCTCCCGAGCTTGATGAGGCAGATCGTGACGCCAAGGATAAAGAGAGATGGGCTCGCTTGCGAAAGGTCAAGAGCCTATTTGACGCAAAAGCGAGCCGAAAGTCCAAGATACCAGAGACACCGCAGTCAAACAAGGCAGCAACGCCTCAGAAATGATGGCGGGGTATATATATTGTATATTGTACATAGTCTATTATAATTTCCGTCTCATGATCGTGAGACTCTCACTATAACCTTGTTCCTTCATTTCAAGATCGCACTATACACGTCTCCCTTCATCAAGATTTCCATACAATGTCGTCAAAGGATACAATCTTGCCGGTGTAGGAAATGTTTTGGGGCTGCTGGTCAGCACCATTATCTTTCACCGCGAGCCCAACCATTTCCAGAATCGCCGCTCGCACGGCGCCCATGCCCGCCTTGTCGCTCATGTCATGCGCAACCACACAGTCGCCCGCATCGCGCGTCCTTTTGGACGCCTTCTTGCCCGGCGGCAGGCATCCCGCCGCCGTCACGAACACGTCCGACGACCAGCCCGCGCCCTCCTTCCAGCCCGTACCCGCGCCCCTCTCCACGCGGCGCATCTCCTCCCGCATCTCCTCGGCCTTGGCTGCGCACGGCCCCGCCCAGAACCCGCCCTGTTTGTCGCGGCGCGCCGCCGCCTTGTCCGCCTTGTCCGCCTTGGTCACGACGACGAGCGTGCGCACGTCGGCGTCGGCCAGCGCCTCGAGCACCCAGCGATCGCCGGGCGTGAGCCGCTTCTCCGCCGAGACGAGAACAACGGCGCCGCGAAGGGCCTTGCGCGATCCGAGGTAGCGCACCACGGTCTCGCCCCATGTCGCCTGGCTGCGGAAGCCGTAGCCCGGCGTGTCGACGACGATGAGGCTGTGCTGCGGCGATGGCGAAGAAGGAGGAGGAGGAGGTGTTGTCGTCGCCGTCGTCGTGCTGTCGGGGGGAGAAGACGGCGGCGGAGGCGGCGGCGCGGGGCCGAGACCGTACGCATTCATGAGCGTCGTGTGGCCGGGCCGCGCGCTGGTGCGCGCTATGCCAGGTCGGCCGGCCAGCGCATTGAGAAAGGTCGACTTGCCGACGTTGGAGGAGCCGAGAATGACTACCTCGGGCACTTGCACATTGTACGGATGGTCCTTGAAATCGGCGGCCGAGTAGAGGAAACTCGCAGCCTTGAAAAAGTCTCTGGCACGGCGGGTGTTGGACCCTACAGGGCAATCCGTGCTGAGCGTCGAGGGCGACGATGCATACGAGACAAGGCTGCTGAATACGGCGGGAGAGTCAAGCGACTGCCGTGGTGGACGTTTCGTGGGAGGGCTTTGAGTGTTTTGAGGGTTTTGAGGGTTGGTCGGGTTTGGTGCGGGCGGTATTTGGCTTCGAGATGTATATTTGCGTGTGCTGGCTCTGATGGAGGCTGCTACGGGCGTTCGCCATAAAAGCGAGGATGCGCGTCGAGACATATTCGGAAGGTGAAGCATGACTCTAGCGTGCAGTCAATAACATAGTGATAATCTTTGACCAATATTTTATGAATTGGTGCTCAGAAATATGGGTTCAAGGAAAGAAAAGTTCACGGTATTGCGGATTTGTGATTGAACAGTTGATGAAGCTGGCCCATCTGAATATGAGAATCTCATACGGTAGTGCTCTTAGGTAAGGTTTTTCCACCTCCACGGGCACCCACCCTGTAACTACCACACATCAGCAAAAATCACTTCTAGGCCTTGGCTTCAACTTTCCGCCTATAACAGAGCGTGTCTTTTGTTACGTTGAACTAGGTGCGGGTATTTTGAGCGATTTCGCAGACGACAGCTGCTCCGGGAAACACTCTACACCGGTTCATACACCTGGCTACGTTGTCTCTTTGACAAGAGTGATATACAGTCACTGCAGACGTCAAAAATCCACCACCGAACTTATATGCGCGGCAGGATGGTAGCAATAACAGAAATAGACGCTCATGAGCAGCCGACGGAAAAGATGAGGGCAAACTGGAAATCCTGGGCCAGAATGGACGCAAAGCAAGTGAAAGATCATCCACGCATAGACGACCCATACAAACCACCTGAAGAAAGCGGCTTCATCCAGACGAGCAGCATCACCAAAGAACAAAGACGAGTGGCATTTTCGCAATTTGGCGAGGAATACGCCGACGAAGCCCAAGAAGACGTTGCCGTTCTTCACCACCCCCTACTACCAGGCAAGTACTCGTCGCTCACACCACTAACTCATACCATTCATCATTCATTGTCTAACAAAATATATACTCGCAGGCCTCTTGGTTGTGCCGGCTCTCGTGCCGCCCGCCGTGCAAAAAGTCGTCCTCGAGAGGATGCTGCACCGGGACCTCAGCAACCCCGACCACCAGACCAACCTGCACCTGCACTACCACCTCCCCTACCCCTCGGGCGAGACCACCAACGCGCGGTCCCTCTTCGCCCTCGCGCCCACGGCCCCGGCGCTCTTCACGCCGCGCGACCCCTCGGTGCACAAGCCGCTGACGCCGCAGCAGGTGCTGTCGCGGCGCCTGCACTGGGTCACGCTCGGCGGGCAGTACGACTGGACCGCGCGCGTGTACCCGGCGCGGCCTCCGCCGGCCTTTCCCGCGGACCTGGCGCGGTTTCTGGGGGCGCTGTTCCCCGCGACGGACGCGCAGGCCGCCATTGTCAACCTCTACACGCCGGGCGACACCATGATGATGCACCGCGACGTCAGCGAGCTCACCGACAAGGGCCTCGTGAGCTTGAGTTTTGGCTGCGACGGGCTTTTTATGATTGCGCCCAACAAAGTGGCGACGGCGACGGCGACGACGACGACGACGACGACGACGACGACGACGATGGATGAGGGCAAGGCTGCGGCGGCTGCAGACGACGAAAAAGACTACCTGCTGCTGAGGCTGCGGTCGGGGGACGCCATCTACATGACGCAAGAGTCGAGGTGCGCGTGGCATGGTGTGCCCAAGATTGTGCCGGACACGTGTCCAGAGTATCTAGAGAACTGGCCGGCGCAAGAGGACGGGCAGTTTAGCGCTTGGGAGGGCTGGATGAAGACCAAGAGAATCAATCTCAACGTCAGACAGATGCAAGACTAGCCTCTGTCAAAGAAAGTATGAGTAGGAATACACGTTAACATGATCACGCACACGAGCCTCGAAGTTATTGTACATCGCATCTATTGATCTGAATATCGACTGGAAACTAAAAAAGAATGAAGAAAAGAAAACTCGCTCATGGAAGAACCATATACATGAGCCCCGGGGATCAGGACTCCGCTGTATGCTTTTTTTAGGGTAAATACTGTTCTGGCACAAGAGATGGGTGGCCGCTCCGCTTCTTGACCATGATCTACGCAAAACCAAAGCCCTGCGCATTCTCCAGTGCCATGGCTAGACGCTCCCGCAGCACCTCTTTATCACGATACTCGGGTAGCAGAAGCGTACCGTAGCACGTGTACGCCGTCGGCAGGTGGCCACCCTCGCCCTCCTCGCCATTCTTTTGTATGATGAATTGGACATTCTTGAGGCCACTGACAGGCACGCGGTCCGAGGCCGTGACGAATTCGAGCAGCTTGCGCTTCATGCGGTCGTCGTAGCGCTTGACAATGGACCAGAAATCGCGAATCGTGTGGTGCGATGGGTCCCATCCCACGTAGCGCGTGTAGCGGCGCAGCTCTGAAATGTCAATCTCCTGCACCCCCTCAACGACGGACTGCAGAATGGACGGAGTGAGCAGCGTCAGCGACTTTTCGGGAAGGCAGGCGACGAAACCGCGACGGAAGCAGTCAAACTGACGGTGGACAGAGTAGTCGGTGAGGTAGCGAATGTAATCTGCGACAAAATCGTCGCGATTTTCGTTGGTGACGTACGGGGCTTCTGACATATCCGCGTCGGCGCTTATGGGCGAGCCGGGCTGTTCCTTGTGCTTGTCCTCGAGCATGTGTATGGTCAAATCTTTGCCTATGCCCGGAACAGAGAATTCATAGGTTCGCGCAAAAATATCCTCAATGAGACCATCCTTTTCGTCCCACTCCAGGAGCGTAGTCAAGCCGCTTGTGAGCTCAGGCCAACCGTCGGCAATATGATAAAGTTGATCGACGGGTTGTTTGAGCAGCTTGCGGTAAAACGCCTTGGGGAAGTTGACAGGTAGCGTCAAGCCATTGTACACTGCAAGGGATAGAAGCAAACCCATGAGCTCAAACTTCCAGTCCTCGACTGCGGAATGGGGTTTGAACCATGCCATGTGATTTCTATCATCCACTGTAAAGGCTCCGTACACGGGGTCAAGACACTCCGCGATCGCAAGACGAAAGAACTCTTGCTGCACACCGCCAGAGTCAAACCCTTCCTCGCCAGCATCCTCGCCGAGGTGAATCTTGAGAGGACGCAACAACTCTCGCTTCTGACGTCGCCAAAGCTGATCAAAAGCATCGCGAAGAACACTGGTTCGGCCGATATCCAAAACAAGGTACTTTGATACGGCGGTTCTCATCATGTCCTTCAAGACAACCTTGTGATGCGGATTCGTGATCAAACTCCCAGGATCAACAATTGCGCTCATGCGACGTTTCAAAGAGCTAGCTTCTTCGAATGTGCGGCTCATGCATGCAAAGTTGATGGATCGGAAATACGTAACGAGAGTTTCGGGTCGGAAGAGATAGGGGTAGTCGAGAATATTTCCCACATCATCTGTTGGCCTTGTCGTTATCCATTGAATCGGTACACGCATGGTATCGAGACGTTCGGAAAAGTATTCTACCCGAAACTGTACTTCTCCCAACAGCAGAACATTTCTGTTTGAATCTGCTTATAATTAGCAATTTTGTCCTTCAAACAGTATTGGTTCAAGACTCACAAAAAGTGTCCATAAACGATAATGCGCCGTAAAAAGTACCGTCCTTGTAGAACGGAGCCTTGCCATCCCACTCGTGCAACAAGACGGCCCTAGCCCAGTCAAGCAGGAGAGTCGGTACTCTTGTTTCATGCAAAAGTCGCTCTTCTTGGGTGAATTTGAGAATGCGCTCCAGCCCAGTGTTTCGTAAATCAAGCTGCTCCAGCAAGGATCCAAGCGGCGCCTTGCTATGCTGTTGACGAATTGTGATGGCGAGGAAAAGCCGGCGTGCTAGGCGCAAAGCTAGGCTATTGGAAAATGCGTCGTCGTATTTCAAGCAAAGGCCAGATGAGCGGCGGTACGATGAACAGCTATTCGCCAGTGCGAGGCCATGCGAGCGTGTGCGGGAGAGGTCGTATAATATTTTCGAGTCTGAGACAACCGGGACGAGTGCGACAAGGGCGTGAAAGCATATTGACACAATGCTTTCTGCTTGACACACTGATGACTGTCGCGTCTTACCCTTTTCGCCACGATTGATGGTGTCTGGCAACGAGAACAAGCTAGCCGCCGACAACCACAGGCTATGAAGAACAAGACTTGGCGATGCCCTGGTAAGGCGCACCATGCAATACCACAAACTCTGCGAGTCGAATAATCTGCCATCCTTGGAAAATGACGAAACCAATGCTTCTGGGTCACTGAGAACGCTAAAGAGAGTTTGTTCGTGGAAATCTTTCCATGCTTTCTTGCACATGGCATCTCTCTGCTGGGGCGTCCTTACCAGACGCTCATGCCTACGCAGTGGTTCTGGGTAGTTGCGGTCAATGTCTAATGTGGCATGACAATAATCTTCTGATGTTTCGTCCTCCATATAGGTGTCGCAGATGAAGTCAACAATCTCGATATTGAGCTGTGACAATGTCTGTGGAAGCGAACACTCTATGGCTTTCGTGTCGTTGAGATCCTCGTCTTGTACTTCTTCAGTCGACTGTTGTTTCTGTCTGTGTTCGTGGTTGCTGCCGGGCCGCGTGGGCTTGGACAACTCTTCTTTCGTACTCTCCTCGCCGTCTGATGAAGTGACAGTCACTTCGTCAGCAACGGATGGGGGTATAGGCACATTTTCGAAAAATGTGGGCTTGAAAGTTATGGTAGTCGGAGACTTTGTCCTCCGTGATAGCTTGTCAGGATGGTATCCGTTGATACGACTCGGTCGGTGAAGCGCAGCGTTGTCAGTCTCGGCTGTGACGCAGACAGGTTCGATAGATTTGCGCCGTGGTGTTTCAGCAGTCGGTTTGGAGCGGAATGCTGGCTTAGAATTCCGCTTCGAGGTAGGCTGCTGCTCCCTACTGCTACGTGAGTCTGCAGCGCCGGGCACATCGGGCTGCAGCGAAGACTTGTGGGGAGGGGCCGAAGAGTCTCGATCATCATCATGGTCGCGTGCTTCCTTGCCCGTAGCTGGCCGACTCTCGGGCGAAGGAATACGCGCTGCTTTTGGGCCTGGTTGCGACGAGGAATCGAGATAGGATATTTTTCGAGATAGAGCTTCTAGCGAGTTCGGTGTCAGCCATTCGATCATCTTGAATGCGACAGTGCCGAACGTCGTGGCGGCGAAAGACCGATAGTCTCGTGTAACGGGCCGCTCCGAGACGCAAATTTCTGTCAGTGATTGTGAAGCATCGGATTTGTTGGTCGCGTCATCGTTGGACGTCTCTCGCAGCTGTGCGTCTTGCGGTTCAAGAGAGCCGTGCCTGAGCTGTGACTTGTTGGGTGCTCTCGTACTAGTGTCTCGGGTATCGCCATCGGCTGATTTTGGGCTTTCTTTCTGGCTGACGGGTTTTGAAATGGAGCATTTCGAAAATACCAAATTGTTGACTGCAGGGGTGGTAGTGTTGGAGCGTTTCAGCGATGGGCAGATACCCCTTTCCGGGTTGTCTTGGCTGGCGAGATATACGGCCAACGTCCTGGCGCTCGTAGGATTGTATCGTCGGATGGGTGATTTTCCGGCGAGACGCTTCCGGCAGCTCAAGCATGTAGGCGTAGCGCAAGTGGCGCTACCGCATCCATCGCGCAGCTGATGAATATAGAGTTGAACGAGGAGCTGAAAGTCGTGGCGACGACTGGCGCGGTGGATTGCGTAAACGCGGCGAGGGTTTTCGATGTCGCGGACGAAGGAATTTAGTTGATGAGGCGCATCGGACGGAAGCCTAGCAAAAGGTGCTTCTTGCCATAGGCCAGCGAACAGATCATATCGGTCGTCGTCGTCATCGTCTGGCCCATCATGGGGGCGGTTCGACTCGCTGGCGCTGCGCTGAGGCAGCCGGGGTGCCTGGGCACTCATGGTGGTGACGGCTAGCGGCTCATCGGAGAGTAGTGACCAAGTCTGTGTTACTGGGCAGAGGGTGCAGAGAAGGGTGTCAAACAGAGCAGTAATAAACGCTGGCGATGGAAGTCGAGTATGATGGATGGTGGAACGAAGGTCTATGCTTGAGTCGACGACGGGCTCTGGCCGAAGCGCGGCCTTAGTTGCACATTTGCACAGTGCCCGGTTGTCAGTTGCCAGTTTTCCCAGCGGTAGGTAGCCCAGTGGCTCCAAACCGGCGTTGGCGGCGGGGGGGGGGGCTTGACCAAGTTGGGTTCTCAGCCCGGTTGCGTCGTGGCCAGTCTACGCAGATACCAACGCCTTTGTTGGACTCTTTAATAATATGATGAGGCGATTAATCAATACTGTACGCTAGACACCGACAACCATTTCAAGGCGGACATTGAACGACTGGTCATGAGCTACAGCGCGTTCGCCACCCACAAATCAAAAGGCACACACGTTGACGACGTTGCAGATTTTGCGCGATGCAATAACGTTTTGCTGGGTTAGATTAAATGGTCGGCGTGTTGGCCACCCTTTCTCGGCATACATATTTCATCATGCTTTAATGCTGACCGATGCTGACCTGAAACAGATTTACGCTACGACTCCCAGTGCCGTGACTTGTAATGCAGACTTTTCAGACGAACATCGTACTAGCAGCCGATTCCTGATATATCCTGGAAAGATATAGAATCCTATGGCGAATCGAGGATCGGATGGCTTGCCGATTAGGTTCCTCAAAGGCATTTTAGGGCAGCATCATGTACTGGCTGCAGTTCAACTTTCAATCTGGGTTACAAGTTCTTCTGGCTTCGGCCAATTCCAACGTGAAGAGAGGTCGTGTATGTTGGTAATCAATCTGTTAGAAGATGTGCAAAATGCTCTTGCATCGGCCAAAGTAAACTGCAAGACTCTCAAGGGTTTTCCGCTGATACTATTGTTTGAATTCTGGCAAAAGCTTTGGCATGGCGTTGTCGTCATAACTTTCCGGCAGGGTTCGGCTCCACTATACCCTTCCCACCTTGGTAAGCGGTGACGGGAAAATGGAAGTGACCCCGCCACCAAAAACCTATCGCCACAAGCAACGCAGTATTAATAATTCTGCCCCCGCCAAGCCATATCCTTTTCATTTTCTTGACTTTGTGCGGGAAGCGCGGATCATCTCCTTTCTCTCTGCCATCTTTGATCTGCGAAAGAGTCAAGTTCTTCTTCCAGGGATTATTTTCTGGCATCACAATATGGCGAGCGTTCAGCCTGCGGCGGGTGCCGGAGCGCCAGCGTCTCACCCGTACACGTGCAACACCTGTCAGGTTGCCTACAGAAATATTGACTTACAAAAAGCACACATGAAGAGTGACTGGCAGTGAGAAATTTTCCGATCCTGGTTCAAGTCGTTGGATAGTTCCCTAACAACAAGCAGCCGATATAACCTCCAGCGCCGCGTCGCTACCCTCCCCCCCATCTCCGCCGAAGTTTTCAGCGAAAAAGTGTTACAGGCCCGAGCCGCTACCACCGCCCAAACCGACAAGGCTTATTTTGAAAAGTCTTGCGACGCCTGCAGCAAGACATATTATAGCGAAAATGCTTACCAAAATCATATTCTCAGCCAAAAACACAAGCAGAACGAGGCTGCTGCTGGACCCCGCAACGAGGAGGAAACCAAGTCCGTTGTCAGCTCTACCTTTTCTCTGGGCGAGTCCGTTCCCGCTGCCAAGAACGGCGACGTCGATTCTGACGCCGAGGACGAGTTCAACCAGGTGATCAAAGGTCTTCAGAAAGCCAAATTGTCTCAGCAGCGGCCCTCGCCCGTTAAGCGCCCCAACAACCCTGGCCCGACTGATGAAGCCAGCGAAGATGCTGATGATGGGGCGACTGAAAATGGAACTGCCAACGGCACTGCTCCAGAGCCAGTTTGGACCCTCAAGTCTTGTCTTTTCTGCAACTACGAGTCGCCCAGCGTACCCCTCAACGCCCAGCACATGGAAAAGTTTCACGGCATGTTCATTCCTGAAAAGCCCTACTTGGTAGATTTGGATGGTTTATTGCAGCAGCTCCAGTCCAAGATTGGACAAGGTCACGCGTGCTTGTTCTGCGACAAGGTCAAGGCTTCTGTATACGCTACGCAGACGCATATGCGCGATACTGGCCACTGCAAGATTCCTTACAGCACTGAGGAGGAGCAACTCGATATCGGTGACTTTTACGATTTCCGTGCGACATATTCTGACCCCGAGGGCTCGGACAGTGATGACGAGATGGCCGACGAGGACGCGGGTGGTGCTCGTGTTTCCAAGGCCAAGGCCAACGGCGATGATGACAAGGAGGATGGTGATGTGGACGGTGACGGGTGGGAAACTGATAGCTCCGCATCGTCGCTGGACTCTGCAGACCTCACGGCTGTACCGGCAGAGGGCCATTACCACCAATATGATAGACTCAGCAAGCACCCTCATCACGCGCACGACGACCCACGGCCAAGACATCAGGCCGACGGGTGGCATTCGCGCGCGCACAAGCATACGCATGCCGTCTTTCACGACGACTATGAACTTCATTTGCCTTCGGGCAAATCGGTTGGACACCGCTCGCTGAACAAGTACTACCGCCAGAACCTCACCAACTATCCCACGCCCGAGGAGCGCGCGGAGCGTCTGGCAATTGAGGGCTCGCAGCGCCCTGGCTCAGATGACGAGAGTGATGGCCGCTTGGTCCGCCGGGAGCGTGGCCGTGAACGCGCAGTGGTTCCGAGGGGAGCTGCTGGTATGATGGGGGCCTCTGACGATGCAAAGAAGGCTGTTCGCAAGCAAGAGGTGCGCGCGCGCAAGCTGGAGAATTACCAGACAAAGAAGCGAAGCCTCAATCTCGGGGAGATCAACAACAACCAGAAGTGCTACTACTACCGCTACGACGGTGGTGGTTAGACGATACATAAAAGCCATGATTATAGACCCGGGGAGGCGTTGGACGTGTTGTGCTTTGCTTGCTGAATAAATCATGATTACTGATGACTTGGAATTCCACACTTGTGTTCTCAATATTACGGCGCAGACTAACAAAATCAAGACAGTCAAGCGTATGTAATAAAGATGTGCAAAGTCACGGTGGCGAAACGCGAACTCAGACAACGCGCACTCAACGCGATGCCAATCTCCGGAAGAGCATTTCCGACAGTCACGGATGGTTACAGCCTAGAAGGAAAGAAAAGCTCCGGTTTGTGCAGTGCTACATTTTCGACATGTGACGTGAAACAATGACAACGATCTGCCGCAACCACATACTAGCATTCAAGCCGGCAGTCTTCCAAATTCGGCCCGAGAGTGGTCTTGAAGGCTTGGACGAATGGATTGAGCGGCGGATGCAGACTGTACGAGGAAGGTGGCCAGGCATGGCAGGCATGGCAGGCATGGTTTAGGCAAAAGACGAAGAGTTGAAGTGAGATGAAAGAACACATGATGCCGTTGTCGCCCAGGCAGGTCATCTGCGCAAATGTAAATATTCTTTTGGTGTATACTGAAGCAAGCGAATTCTATATGTCACTATGCATATCGGAGATGAAAGCGCGTGGAATGCAGGGGCAAGATGTATGGCATATTGAAAGCGTGGGGTATACGGGCTAATTTATAGCAGGTATCCTTGGTATACTAGTAATATTACAGTGGCAGCCTGTTGAAGTTTGGAGACTACCTAGGTAATAATAGAGACTCCCTGTTGTCGGTGCGACTTTGGAGGGCCGTGTACTGAGTAAATGTTGAATGGTACGGTACCTCCTTGCGAGTTATTGAGATGGCTGCTGTTTTTGGCCAAACTAATTAAATCATGCATGAGAACAGAAAAAATTGCTTGGCCAAGATTTGGACAAGTCGTGTGCTTTGAGTTCTTGCTTGCCGGTTTTCACAGCTCTGGCAAGTTTCCGTTTACCGCCTCTTGCTCCTCGCCCTCGATGATGCTGCTCCTTGCTCTTCTCGTCTAAGTCTGTTCTGAGTTGTCTCTCCGCAACTCCACACGAATACCAGACTACAAGGCGTATCAGAGACAATGAAGGGGTGAAAAAAAAAAAAAAACGACAAAAAAGATTGCAAGGTTTCCCCGCGGCTGCATTTCGCCGTAATGAATCTGATTGGCAAAAGGGAGGCTTGGCTTGGGACTTTTCTTCTTCACTCGGCGCAATCTCGTGCCAATTCCTGCACCTACGTCAAGGGACAACGAAGCAGGTCTGGTTCGAATTTGACGAATATGACCAACGACCAATCGAATCATTCAGAAAAAGTACAATCTTACCAGAAAAATCAAGGCTAGGCCTTGGGAAAAGTGGCGGCGCGGGCAGAGACACTAAAACAAGATTGACACCCGAGGGGGGATCGGCCTCACGACTCACGAGACCCATTGTCTCTTTACCTTGGGCGCCAAGTTACCTTGCAACCTCTTTCCGCTCTCTGAACACAACAGAACTAATCAGGCCACCCGGTGACATCGCGCCCCCGCGTCCTTTGTGCTGCATCTATTGAATTCCTGGTTCCCCTCCCCCGCATTCGATCACCCCAATCAGCGTCGTCGTAGTTCTCTTGTCTGCGTGTCTGCGGGCGCGTTCTGCCTCCCCAGTCTTGGTCGTGGTGGTGGTCTGCCGTGCGCGCGCGCGCATCCGTATCCCCCCCCCCCCCTCCCCGCGCGTCTCTCCTGCCGTCGCTGGACGGAGATTGATATCATGTTGTTTGGGGATAAAAGTAAGGCCTCTCGCTGCCGTTGTGCTCCTGCCCTCTTTTCTGTGAAGCCACCGCATGTCTGCCTTGCCCCTGCTTCGTGTTGCAATCCTGGCTTGTCCAACCCCTCGAGACAAGACGAGGCGAGACATATATACGGGCACATATTTCTGCGGCTTTGCTGCTTTCTTTCCCTGTCATTTTATATTGCTTATTTCACATCATGAAGCTGACACACACTGCTCTAGTTGCGCAGACGGTGCTAGGTTTGGCTTCGGCTAACGACAAACGTATGTTGATCACAGCCAATCGTGATTGAGACTTGCATGCATGAGATGCAGCTGACCATTGCGAACCAACACAGTCAAGCCATGGACATATGCTCCCCTGCCCGTTGGACATGTCAAACCTGCTGGATGGCTTCTAGGCGAAATGCAAGCCATGGCCACTGGTCTTCCCGGCCATGAGCATGACTTTTATAGATTTGTGAACGAGTCGTCATGGCTCCACAAACCGGGCAGCGGCGGCTCCGAATACAGCAGCCTGAATGAGGCTTTACCATATTGGTTCAATGGCCTGGTTCCGACTGCGTACCTTCTGGGTGATAGCAGACTCAAGCGCCAGGTGCACCATGTTGCCGCCCAGGTGCTCAGCTTCCAGGCCGATGATGGCTGGATCGGTCCCGAGACGGGTGACAACCGCAACTTTTGGGCGCGCACACCCTTTTTTCTCGGTCTCATTCAGCTCGCTGAGGCAGACAAGCAATGGGAGCAACGCATTGTCGCCGCTCTGCAAAAGTTCTTCCAGCTCGCAAACAAGATGCTGCGCAATGACAGCCAGGGCTTCACTCGCTGCACCAAAGACGTCGACTGTGACTGGGGCCAGGTCCGCGTTGCAGACATGATCATCACCATACAGTGGCTGCTGGAGAACCATGCCTCCAAGAACGACAACCAGCTCTGGGACACTATGAACCTGTTTTACGACCAGACAAATTACAAGTGGGATGCTTGGTACGATCCTGCCACCTATCGCAAAGTTGTCGACCCCAGCGATAAAACCATTACGCCGTACATCCACGGTGTCAACGTTGGACAAGGCAAGTTGATGCCGGGAGCATCTACAAACCCGATGGCTAACAAGATGTTTCTAGGCCTCAAAGCATCTAGTGTCATGTGGCGATTCAAGGGCCATGATTACTACCGCGAGCGAAGCAAGAATGCTGTTGATCTGACCTTTACCTACCACGGCAGCGCGTCCGGTACCATTCTCGCAGACGAGTGGCAGCGTGACGACTCGCAATACATTGGAAGTGAACTTTGCACTGCTGTCGAGACTAGCTACTCCCTTGCCTACATGTATCAAGTTCTCGGAGACAACAACTTTGCAGACCGCGCCGAGACTACGCTTTTCAACGCCATGCCTGTCATGATGACTGGCGACAAGTGGGCTCATCAGTACATGTCCTCGCCCAACATGCCTTTTGCCGTCAGCACCATTCAGCCAGACGGCAGCGTGCCACCGGTGTTCACTACGGCCAATAGTGGCGTCGCTACCACGTACGGCCTGGAGCCTTTGTACCCATGCTGCACGGTCAACCATCCCCAAGGCTATCCCAAATTTGTCACGCACAGTTGGGTCTTGGTTGGCAACAAGGGTCTCGGTCATGCTCTTCTCGGTCCTACAAATGTCCAGACCAAGGTCAATGGTGGCGACGTGTTAATCAACTGCACAACCAACTATCCATTCACCAACACGCTGACGTACGAAGTTTATGCTACCAAAAGATTTGACTTGTACCTCCGCATACCCGAGTGGATCAATCTACAGGTGTCAACGATTTCAATGGCGAGTACTGAGGATCACAAGACTTTGGAGACTTCTACCACTCTCGAAGCAAGCAATGGCAAAGGCATGAAGAAAGTCTCCATCTCCAAAGGAAGCACGACGATTAGCTATAGCCTCGGCATGGGCCCACGAGTGGTAAGACTTGCCGACAAGACCGTCGCCATCTTCTACGGCAATCTGCTTTACGCGCTCGATGTTGGCTACAACAAGACGACGAGCCTCCCTCACTCGTACAATGACCCTCGGGGCCCTGGTCTCGACGGACTGCCTTTTAAAGAACTGCGCGACGAATTCGTCACCAGCACCAAGGAGTGGAACGTTGCGATTGATCCGTCAACTATCAGATACAATGGTATCGGCGACGACGACGAAATGGCCGACCCCATCTTTGAGCACAATGCGCCGGCCAATTTCATGACGGTCGACGGTTGCCAAATAAAGTGGGATTTGAAAATGGGTGTCACTCCTGATCGAGTACCAACTGACCGGACCTGCATCAGCGAGAGGAAGACATATCGACTAATTCCGTACGGAGCGGCCAAGGTGCACATGTCTCATTTGCCAACGGTGAGGTTGTAGGAGTAGTGGTGATTATTTTTGATCTTGTTCACTCCGTTATGCTGTATGCATACTATGTATAAATTGTTTTGGAAAGAGCATGCTACAGATGGCGTATTACGATTAACGATGGGTTGAGAATGAAGACGCTTTGTGTTTTGTAAATCCTGGTACTATGTGTGAGCCCATCCATGACTGATGTGCATGCCGATATTGGTGCGTACAATCCGATGCAACAGTATGCGCCGCGCGCATTGGTTGTGTTTGAGATTGATCCGAGCCGATCAGTACGGAATAAGTAAAGGCGTGTGCCTCGATTGGTTTAATGTTGGAGGAGATTGACATTGCAGAAGTCTAACAATACGACAGCCTATCAGTATAGGCGCTTACAGGGTAACAACTATTCTGCAGGCCAGGCGTCAACTACTTTGCCGGTCGGCAAGAAAAGGCGGCCGGGGTAATTAACAGTAATGTCTCGCTGTCTTGATTCTTGAAATATGCCTACAAGCATCGGGGTGACCGACGCAGGCTTGTCTGCAATTCCTGCCCAGGAGATGCCCGGAGGAGCCGCCGACAGATTAAATATGCAGACTTTGCAGGAGATGGGTCGGAAACAGAGTTGCCGGTGTGCAGCGTTTAGGTAGGCGAGGATGCGCTGGCGCTGCAGTTACTTGTAACTACTCGGTAATCCTGCCTACCTATTTAAATAGTTGGCAGTCAAGTACGGATTTGTGCAGTCAAGCAATGCAGTTGAGCAGTCAACGGCGGTTAACCGGGGGGGGGGGGGGGGAGGGTTGTATGGCTGCATGGAAAGGTGGAAACTTGTAGCTAAGAATAAGTTTTGGCGTCATTCATTGCTTTGTTTTCTTCTTCTTCAATATTAGCCTGCAGGGAGGTGGTGCGTGGCTGACCTGGATGAGTTTGGTTGGTTGGGCAGGCAGCCTTGTTCTAACATACTTTTTTGCGATGAGTTGGGAGTTGCCGCTGGACGGCGGGAAAGATGTGTAATTTTTTTTTTCGCTCGTGATATCAAATGATCGCTATTGTATATCCCATCTTGGAGAATAAAACCGACCACTGGAAACGAATAGAGATCGAGAAGAATCATTTCAAGATTAGGATAGGTGTGCCCCACCCCCGCCCGCATGCTGGTTGGGTCGGGAAGGGCTTTTATCATTATTAGCTGCTCCAAAAAACTGTAATTAGCTCCCGCCGCCGATCCCTCCCAACCACGCACCCACCAGGGCCACCACCCCCAGATTGTTCCAGGCCGCAAGGCCGGGCCGCCCCAGGCCTGCCATGGTGAAAAAAAAAAAAGAAGAATTGGGCAGAAGAGTTTCTCCCTATTCTTCGTCTCTCAATCCGTGTCCGTTTTTTTTTATATTCCAGCGCGAGCAATTATTTTCTTTTCTTTTGAAAGCGAGACAAGACGCAAGTGTTGCAGTACCGCGCGCGAAACGTCTGATTGGCATTCACAGTCCATCCCCCCCCCCCCGGGCGCCCATCTTGTTAGCGCCAAACCATACAAAACGGTTCATACAACAAGGCTGACGGAACTTTGCACCTTGCCGTTTGCTGCCGACTTCTTCTAGCTTGGAAGCTGCATATTTTTCTTCTTCTTGGCTTTTTCATCACTTTTCAATCCTTTATTCACATTCATGTGAACCAAACTGGACCTTTTTCTTCTTTCCTCTTCTTTTCGAAAAAGAAGAAGAAAAGAAACGTCCTCAACGACTCCCCAAACTCTCCCACTTACACACCATCAACCAACCATCACCACATCCAACATCCAACATCCAACATCCAACATCCAACATCATGACCAGACCACGCGGTCTGGCCAGCAGGGCATTTCCCCGCCTCCTCTTACTTTTTCTTCTCGCCGCCCCGTCCGCCCTCGCCCTGGATGCCTCGTTTGAGTTTTACCCCAAGGCGGCGCAGTCGTGCCTGTCCAAGGCCGCCACGTCGTCCGCGTGCAGCGGCGACACGTCCAAGGAGCTCAACGCCTGCCTGTGCAGCAACGGCGGCCAGTTTGTCGAAAAGGCCATTCAGTGCCTGGCGCAAGAAAACAACGATGTCATGGGCGACGTCTTTACAACCATGGACGATGCGTGCACTACATCGGGCACGCCCCTCTCGTGGAAGTGGTCCGACTGGGTCGACGCCGCCAAAAGCGCGACTTCTTCTTCTTCCAGCAGCACAACGACGACTTCGACTGAAACTTCGACCACGACCGTGACCAAGACATCCTCGACAACCGCGACAGAGTCCACGTCGACGACGTTGACCACCGCAACTGCCAGCAGCACCTCTTCTGGTTCCTCTTCCCCGTCTTCCATAGCCACCGCCACCACCACAAACTCGCCTACATCCTCCCCGTCCCCGTCCCCCGGAGAAAGCAGCAGCAGCGACCTCTCCACCACCGCCACCATTGGCATCGCAGCCGGCGTCTCCGTCGCCGGCGTCGCGGCCATTGCCGCTCTCGCCTTCTTCCTCGTCCGCAAACGCAAGCGCGCCTCCCAGCCCCCAATGTCCTACTCCATGCTGACTCCCGAAAAATACAACGGCGCAGGCGGCGCCGGTGCCGCCGCCTCGTACCCGCCCCACGGTCCCTCACCATCAAACCTAGGCGGCGGTGGTGGTGGTGGTGGTGGAGGCGCTGCCGGCGGCTTTGACAGCGAGGCCAACGAGACGCCCCTATACACCCTCCCGGCGTACGTTTCCAAGTTGCAGAGCAAGCAGAGCTACACGGCCCTGTCCAGCACGAGCCCAGACTCGGCGCTGGAACAGCAGAAGAAGCAGCACAACTTCTTGTCGGGGTGGGAGCCGCCCACCCATGCGACGCAGTACACCGGGCCGTACGCCCCGCCTCAGACCGGTCCGGTTGAGCTCCCACTGCAGATGCAGCCCGTGATGTCCAATGTCTTTGAGCTCGACGCGCATGGTGTGGGTGCCGCTCCGCGGCCGGCGCAGCCAGCTTTGCAGCCAATTGCGGAGCGGCAGCGCGAGTCCAGAATGTACAGACCGTACATGCCAACGTGATGAACGGCTTTTTGTTTTGGCACTGTTACTGGGGGCATATATTAACATGACTTAGCCCTCTTCTTCTTTTCTCTATTGACGACATTGAGCAACCGGCGGAACAGTACGTGGCACACAGTGATTCGATCGTGTATCTTGAAGGCTTTCATGCCTTCAAGTAATCATATTTGCATAATCAAGCTAGCGAAGCCACTATATTTTATACAAGTAATTTCTGTTTTGTAATACTGTCATTTCACTGTCTTCATTTCTTCCGGTGTCTTCACCCTGCAAGACAACAGCTGGGCCAACAATTGCCCTAATTGTACATAATTGTACAAAAGTATACAAATTGGCTTCCTTTTTCACTGGGGAGCCAACATCCACCAAAATGCCAACCCATGTAGCCGCTCTTGACTTAATACTTGGTCCCAAGGCGTTTAAACGGATGTGCTTCTGTATTCAACACCCATTTGTCGAGGTCAATCAGTGTCGGCTCCGAATAAATTAGGTAGAAATATTTGAGCGTCTCGGCTAGCCAGAAACTCTCCATCGAATCCTGCTTTCTGGCATCACTGGAATCCACATTGTCCACGGCGCTGTTGGCCAGGTCTGTTTTTGTGAGGCCGTCAATGGCCTGCCACATGGCCCACGCCTTTTCCTGCCATTCCTTATCTCCCGTGACACGATACATGATAAAGACACTCTCAATGGCCTCGGGCCGCAAGATGTACTCCTTGGACATAATTTTAGCCATGCCTTTGGGAGGCAGTTTGTCGTCTGCAACATCGTCGCCCACTGCTTCACGCCACGCCGTCTCGTTCCATGCACAGTGCACCTTGTCGTCACAGGGTACACCGAGCAGTCTCTCACCCATGACGCCCGACCTGGTCGCATTGTATGCCCACACGCACCCATCAGCCAGGCGGCGACCAATATCGACGTCCGAGTCGTTGGACGTGAGACGTCCACCGAGGGCGTACATGCCGCCAGCGAAGCACGTCAGGTGCTCCGTCACAGCCTCTAGTGTTGACTGCCCGCTGGTGGCGTCCTTGGACCTAGCATTACCCGTCATGAGGATGTCGGCGTCACCGGGAACCATTGGACGGTAGATGAGGTGCTCTTGTGTGGCGGCCATGCTGCGCTTATACAAACGCTCGTACATCGGATCAAGATTGTCGAGGAGAGCCATCATCTTGGGGAAATATTCATACGCGCTGTCGGCACCGCCACCCATCGAGTAGGAAGAGCCCGCGTCGAAAAGTGCCTGGCTAGGGTCTACCGAGATGGACCAAAGGCCGGGAAGTTTTGTCTTCATCTGCGAAGCGTCCAGTAGGTCACTGATATGTTGAGTAACGTCGTGGTACCGTGCATCGCCCGTAATTAGACTCAATCGTGTGAGCTCGAGAACTAAGGTGCCAATCTCGGCCAGGCTGGTTGTGGAAGGAGCTGTCTGGTTCCTATTCTCGGCGGCTTCCTTGATATTCCATTGCCCAACCGGCATGTGGTTAGGTGTATCAAAAGCTTTGAGGATCATGTCACCGGCGTCGGTCGCCTTCTGCTTCAGTCGCGCGTCGCCACTCAGGTCGTAGGCGGAGACCAGCCCGCCTAGGTAGCGAATGTTTGTTTCGAACAAGCTGATGACATTGCCAGACGACGAGCTGGCAAATGAAATGTCCTTGTCCACAGCGGCTACAGCCTCCTCGAATTCGTCGCGCATATCCATGATCCACATCGTGTCGAGGGCGTCTACCAAAGTCGCCGCCCAGCCGCCAAATGTGTCCTTGAATCCACCACTTACAGGCTTGAGCTCGTCGTGGAGCCATGCTCGGTCTTTGTACGAAGTCCAACATCGCTCAAAGGCTTTCTTTACAGCATCGCGCCGTTCGAGTCGCGTTCTCTTGTCGTCGTCCGTCTCGCCATCGAACTTGAATTGCACCGCAGGTAAGGGCTTGGTACCCTGGGTTGGCAGCGGTCGTGGCGTATCCAGGGGATTGTTCCACGGGAGTCTTCGCCAAATCAGGTCGCCATTCCTTTGTCCTCCAGAGCTGCTCGTATCCGAAGCCTCGCCCGAACGTTGACGCGAAGTCTTCCGGTCGGTAAAGTGCCAGCTCAGCGTCGCAATAAGCACAATACAGACAATTACTGTCAAGAGCGTGCCCCAAAACCGCCGCCGCCGCGGAGTCAACCATCTAGAGTCGCGCAGACGCATGCTGAGCGACGGGCCGACCCAGGTTTCAACAGCCGAGAATAACAAGTTTCGCCAGAAACAGGGCCTTGAAAGACCCAGGCACGTCAGGCAATTGTCTTTGAGTGGTAAAGTAATGTGATTTGCAGGCTTCCAGTGCTAAATTACGCTATATTTCCGTTTACAAGGTTTCTCAAATCTTGGGGAAAGCTGACAAGGCTCTTGTCAGGTAGGAGCGGGCAGAATCAGGCCGGGCTTTCCCAAAAGAGACGAATTGGCTCCACGTCTCAATCTCGTTTTGCCTCGTATTATTTCAGATGAATAATAATTGACATGTAACATCAAGAAGGCTGTGGCTGCCACACATGTCAATTGTGGCTTGGCCAATTTTCTATGCAAGGACTCTCTGTTCATGTTCCCCGGTGAAATACTTGGTGTCACACGTGAAGGCTGTTGGCAATGAGTAATTGCCGATAAATAAAAGACTAATGTTCTTCAGTGGTACTGCATCACCCATCATTCTTATAATCCAGACAAGATCGGCGTCGTTCTTTGTCGAGCGAGCGCCCGCAACTTGGAGTTTGCGTGCCCAGTGCACCCAAGGATTTGGCCGCGCAAGCTGCATTAACCTGCTCAGGCTTGACAAGGGCAGGTCGCGGGCAGTATATCCATACACAGTGGCACCTCGCAGTACGGAATATTTCCGTCATAGGTAGTTATCGAGCCCAGCCCATCGTGCAAGTCAAGCCGTGCCAAGGATCGATGCTGAAGACGTATTAGGCGACTTGCATCACCTTTGTTACCTCCTCCCTGTCTGCCACGATGCCACTGACATTGCCCAACGCTGCGAAAAGTATGTACAGGTCGGTGCCATAATATGCGCCGCTGGTCGAATACAGACGTGTCGCCAAAGTAGCGCCGCCAGGCCCAGGCCGCCACGTCGTGTTTGTCGCGCGCATTCGCCTGGTACGCAATTTGGCAGGTACAAGAATTGAGATGAAACGAGTCGATCTGTGGCTGGGTTAGCACAATACTCTTGCTGTACGCAGATATCCTATAGTAGCAGCCATCTTCATTGTTGTGGTTACCCGGGAATACAGGGAGTCGGGCAAGTGTGCTCAATTAGTGCGTTTGCTGTAGTTGAGAAACACAGTCTCTTTCATCCGTAATAAAGTCGAACGGTGTTACGGAGTGCAAGGTACTGCTGCTATCACGTGGCGTGACTGATGCGGCAGCTGCTTTGTTTGACCTTGCGCCAGTCGGCCATTCGTACACACTGATACACATTTTTCTTGTGACAATATTCCACCTGCTTGGTCATTTGCTCGAATCTTTCCGAAGCGCTACCTTGAGGCTACACTGAAAAGCTGAATACCGTACCGGAGATGACTTGTAACGACTTGTGAGTATTTCCGATGACAAATTCTACAAAAATGAGCCCTGGAGCCACACACGTCTTCGAATCAATTTCGTCACTCACCACCACCGCGGCCGTTGTCTTGGACAAAGTACCCAGAGTCAAGTCATCTTTGCTTTGATTGGTGCCCGAGCTCCAATCAAGATACGACAGAACTCGTGGTGCTTGCGGCGTCATGCAAGGATATTCTACGGACGGCATGGGTGTCAGCGGGCAGTCATATCCGAACTCCGCCGCCTCGTACGATTATCGTGTGTCTGAACGCTCTGGTAGCACAAACCACAACTTCTCGACAAGTAGCTTGGCGTACGTATGGAATGTGGCATTGAGCAGGTTGTTCGCGGGCATGGCCAGTCGCTGGTTCCTTCGTCGTCTTGATAGTTAAGGCTGTCAGCTTCCATGGCCCGACTTCAGTTCCGCCTTGACGGCGGTGAGTACTGATACCAACACCCTTCTTGTCAACCGCATCGTGACGAAGCTCGGAAAAATGCAGTTTGACTGTGACGCCAAGGGGCAAAAAGCAAACACCCGCGCCCGGAGATAGATTCTAGGTAGGCACCGGCCCTAGCGCGTGTCTCAACCGTAGTTGAACATTGTAATCTTCGAGTTATTAATAAACGCTTCACATTACAGTCAAGTCTGCTTGTCTGAACCCCGCAACGCGTAAGGGACCCCGGCCTCCAAGAAACAGCCGAGAGATTTATCAATGCTGATCAGGGAAATGTTACCGGCCGAGTGCCCAAGAACTGGGGAGCTTTCGGGCTTTGAAAGGAAAATTATTATCTTAGCCATCTGCGGAAATTTGTCCGCCAGTCGAGGAACAGGTCAGTTACGCTAGCAGGGGTTCCTTCGAGGAATGATGCATTGAAGGCTGAGAAAAAAGCCTGGCAAGCAGAACTCCAGAATCGTAAGGTGCCAATCTGCAACCTTCCATTCTCAGCTGGAAAGTGTGCTGATTGTTGCGCCTCACCTGAGGGCAGCCGTTTGTTCTTTTAGGTATACACGCTACGGCATGTTCAACCGCTGTAGCCGTACAGCGTCCCGCATATTGATGGATCTTTGAGGAAGAAAGAACATGTGCCCTCATCTGATATCGGAAGGGTGGAGAGTGGCTGAAGTATCACGAGACGTCATGCCCCTGAGACAGCCTCCTTGGCCAGCGGGCGCCGTGGTTGGGAGTTGCGCCCTAAGGTGAACCAACAGGCTGGCTCTTCAGTCAAGCAGACAGGGTCCAGCCAAGTGGAACAAGGGCAGGTCGCTCGTTCTGGAAAACAAGGCCGAAAGAAAGTCAGCCTCGCCGCCTCGTCAGCGTCCACGAGGCCTGATTTTCTTTCTTTCGGGTGCCCAGCAAGGCTATGAACACACTCGAGTCCCTCCGATCTCGAGTGCACTGTGCAGGGCAGCTTATTTGTCCAACTCACTGATGAGTGGCGTACGCCACGAGGCAAAGGACCGGGTTTGACTCGGGAGAACGTGCACCCCGGGATTCGAAAGTTCAGCGTCACACCCAGACCGGGTGTCAGTGTCGCTTGACCCTCTTTGAGGGGTCAAGGGTCTCTCTCTCAAAACGAAGCTAGCGGGTTCCTCGGTAAGTCGGCCGAGTCCGAGTGCATCGACAATGCATTTGTTTGATCGGTTGTCTGTCTGGATATATACAGGGTTCCTTATTAACACTGCAACCCTCCGAAGCGAGCATCTCAAGAGCAAGAAAGAGCGTCAGAACAGCAGAAACCATCAAAAACCCCTGCTATATATCAACGCCTCCATCTACAAGAGAAGGTATCGACATGAGCGTGCTCGACACTACCATTAGTGGCACCTGAAACATTCACTGCAAAGCTGCCACTGGCAGGGTAATGCAGTTGTGCCGAGAATGGCACTACAACATGCTCAACAAATGACAGTCGGAGGCCGCGCGATGGGATTTCCCACCAGCGAATACGGCAATGACGGTTGGAAATTATACATTACGTCGCTGGTTATGATTATTTGCGCCGGTATCATTGTGACTGCCCGATGTTCAACACGGTTTTGGTTGGCAAAGCTTGGGTGGGATGATGTTGTGATTATCGCTTCATACGTATGTTCGTTCGTTTTGGAGTCTTGAAAAGTGACTGTTGTGCTAAACTGACGCTCTTGGTAGTGCTCATCGGTAATCGTCTCCGTCACTGTGCAATTAGCAATATCACATGGGTACGGGATGCACAAGGCAGATCTGTCCAAGGATGATTTGCACATGGCTTTGAAGTTTTTCTTCATAGCACAAGCGCCATGCAAAATCACGAATTGTCTGAACAAAGTGGCAATGATCATGATATATTTGCGACAGTTTCCTTCCTCGAGATTTCGAGTCGCGGCCTTTACGACCCTCGGTGTCGTTGTATTGGGGAGCGTAGGATCTATATGTGCTACCATCTTCCAATGCGTCCCTGTCGCGGGGGCATGGGACGAGTCGATTGAAGCCAAATGCATCCATTTTGGCCACTTCTGGGTGGCAAATTCCGTCATGAACATCCTTACCAATGTCATGATGATTGCTCTACCGACTCCAATGGTCCAGAAACTGAAATTGGGCAAGCACGACAAGGCTATGCTATTTGGTCTATTTCTTCTGGGGGGGTTGTAAGTTGGACACAATACTTGCCAACAGCTAGCGATACATGCTAACATGTCTCTCAGCGTAACAATCACTTCGATTCTACGGACCACCTCTGTCCAGCATCCGTTGAAAAACAGAATGGACATTACATTCGACTTCATCACACGCGGCATCTGGACGCTGATTGAGGCGAACCTGGGCACCATTATTCCGTGTCTGGTAGTGTTGAGGCAGGAGCTTGTAGTTGTGTCTCCGCGATCGCTTAGAAAATCTCGAGCTGCACAGCCCGGTCGCGATGACGAGAAGGGCTTCGCATTGTCAGACCTCCGCGCAGGGCAGACAGGCGGTCTATGGCGAGGCACAAATCTAGCCCAGCAAAGCGTGTTCATCAGCGGTCCCGGGACACAAGCCGGGCGGCGTAGTGATGAATGTTGCATCTTTTCCAATATATCCAGGGACAGCAATAGCGATGATGGCAAATCGCCTGAAATAACAGGGGGCATATCCAAAAAGGTAGAAGTGACAAGGACGTCGATTCACCTCCAACCAGGCCGAGAATTTGCGTTTTCGAGTCCATTGGGGAATTTTATAATTTAACATTGTTCGGAATTGCTTAATAACCATCTCGGTCCAAGGTGTCGTCGTAATGTACGCAGATCAGGGGACCTTTGTATGTATGAGTGACCACGTTATCGAGAGCAATCCTCACCCATGAACGCCAAAGCCAATCATCATTTCCCCACCCTCATGTTGCAAGTGCATCAAGGTTCTTCATAATGAAGTCGAAGCCAAGTCGCATTGCGCCGAAGCCGAGTCGCATTGCACTCGGGTTAAGGCAGAATAACTTCCGGGCTAAGAAATGATTAGCAGATACAATGATCGGTCGCTAGGTTTCGACCCGTGGCTCCGCCCCCAGAGTTTTAGCTCGACAAAGATTACAGCCAATCGGTTTCCCCGGACTTTAGGGGATAAGAAAGGATAAGAAAGACAAACAAACATTAACACTTCATCAATCCCACCAAGATCCAGAAAGGTGTCAACAAATTCGTTCATTTCACAAACTCATTTGCCATTGAAACATGAGCGACAGCACAAAATACGTCTTGATTACCGGGTGAGCTGCCACAAACAAAGCCCCGACTGCGCAGGGTCGGATCTAACTAATATTTCTATCAAAAGCTGCTCTCCTGGTGGCATCGGTCACGCCATTGCAACTGAATTCCAGAAAAATGGTGAGATGAGAGTCAATCAATACGGCACGCTCCTTCATATACTGATGGGCGATGTAAAGGATATCACGTCATTGCCACGGCGCGTCGAGCCGAGGTCCTTGAAGAGTTGCGCAAGACGGGCATGAGCGTAGTCTCGCTGGATGTTTGCGACAAAGCCAGCATCCAAAGATGCAAGGAAGAGGTCGCGCAGATTACCGCCGGAAAACTCGACATTCTTGTCAACAACGCGTGAGAATCCCCCCCCCACCCGGGCTCGTCACTGGCGCGCGCGCATGGACGCGGAACCCCTGAAGCTGACCGAGATTGAAAAAAACAGCGGCGTCAACCACACTATTCCCGCTACTGACATTGACATTGATGATGTCAAACAGACCTTCAACGCCAATGTCTTTGGCCCGATGCTCATGTGCCAAGCTTTCGTGCCGCTCCTCATCCCTGCCCGTGGCCTCATCATCAACATCTCTTCCGTGTCGGCCATTGTCCCGTACCTCTTTGCATCCGTCTACTCGTCGACAAAGGCTGCGCTCGACGGCTACTCGCGCACGCTGCGTCTGGAGCTGAAGCCGTTCAACGTACGCGTCATGGTGGCCATGACGGGCACCGTAAAGTCCAACATCACCTCGCACTTTGTGCGGGAGCTGCCGAGCAGCTCGCTCTATCAGCCCGTCAGGGACATGTATGATGAGCGCATACATTTTAGCCAGAAGAACTCGCCCATGGACGCCGACGTCTATGCGAAGAAGCTGGTCGCGGCGGCGCTCAAGGGCGAGGGCTGGTTTGGCGGCTTGTTCGGAAGGACGCCCGATTGGTTCTGGGCAGGCGGCCTCGCAAATGTCGCATGGTTTGGACAGACATTCTTTCCGCGGCGGTTTGCCGAGTTTCTTACGTCCATTACTTTCAAAATTTCAAAGATGGCCTATATAATTGCCGAGGCCAGAGCCAAGAGGAATTGAATGAGGAGAATGGACACCATAAGTTATCTGAACAATGACGACAAAACTGTTTAATGTCTTGCAATTCAATTGATACAGCTAATGATGGCCTCTAACGATGTATCTTATTCCGCTGAAAGGGGGCGGAAATGATGTGCTAACCTGCGTATCCCGCCCGCTTTACTCCTTGTTCGTCCAGACGCACACAGGCAGCTTCTTCATCAGTTGACTCGGCTTTTTTGCCATTGCGAGCAATCCAGAAGCAACCCAAGAGAGTGAGAGCCGCAGACTGCTCTGGCAAGAAAACAAGCACCACGCGGACAGCAAGAGTGCCTGTGACCGGGTTCAGCGACTTATTCTGAGAGACCAAAGCAACTAGTGTATGCAGAACACGGGTGCCGATGAAAACAAGAGTGGGTGCGACGCCGATAAGGATCTGGCATCACGTTAGCATTCTCGGTCGCACTATATTTGCGTCCAGCCAGCAGACCTTCCGCCCGGCACGGGACGCCTCCGCATGCAGAGTATTGCCTCGTCGAAACCACGAATTCACAGTCCATCCGATGAGAAATTTCCAGCCAATAGTCAGGAGCGCGATCCCAGCCTTACCCATTTTCAACTCAGAAGGTAGCGGGGACGAGCTTTGTAGATCCGGGGTACCGACTGCGAGGATGGTGGTCGCGCCAGCAATGAGGATGTGGAAGGCAAGCATAACAGCCCATTCGAGTTTCGCACCACCCACTTTCCGTAGGGAGTTTCTGCAACGTCGTGGTTAGCTTGCGCAGTGGTTTTTTGACACAGACCGAGAGATGGATGAAGCAAACTTACGAAGAATGGAGAATGCTGGAGGCGCCCAGAATCAAGGGCGACATTTTAAAATTGGTGATTATGGTGGCGGTCTTCTCGCTGAGTTTAGTGGCACCAAGGCAAATCGCCAGCACGTAAAAGACCATGATATATAACCCTCCCAAAATGTCCGGTTGGCCATGTTTCACTAACAAGTTGAGTACCCGGAAGATCATTGCTGTCGTGACTGAGTTGATCTTTGGACGCAGTTGTTGTGCGTGTTTTTGCGTGGATTCTGACTGCAGACGTTTTGACTGCAGACGTTTTGGCTGCAGACAAAAGTCAGTTGAGGAAGTCGCGAGCTCCTGTTTAACGAAACTCAGGATTAGATCGGACTACTTCTTTCCCATTTAGGTAAGTAATACTTGTACTCGGACGCAACTGCGCTCCTTTAGCGGCCCTCGACTGAGGACGCCCCTGATTTCGTCTAAAAGAGCTGACGTGAAGCAAATGAGAATTTGAAGTCCAAGTCTACGTAACTTGATGGAATCTTACATACCTCAAGATCTGCAGTTTTTCTAGAGTTGCTCGTCGTTCAACGGCTCTCTCTCACCTAGCGCGCGGCCTCACCACGCTGAGAGGCCAGGCAAGCTCATGGCGATACTGTGGCGCTAAAAATTCTTCCAAAGCAAGAATTTCTTTCTTGGGGATATCGCCAACCCAGGCAGATGCTTGACAGTGTGCCGCAACTGCAAAAAAGTGCGCAAGAATCACCAGGGCACGCGGCCGGTGCTCGTCCAACAATGCGACGAAGCGTTGCGGAAAGAGCACTGGATAGATGACCAAGCGGCGCGTGATGGCATCCATATGCTCGCCCGCATCAGCAGCGCTTTGGATGGCGCCGATATAACTCACAGTGTCAATGTAGGCAGCATCGTCTTCATCTGAATCTTCCGGTCGCCGAACGAGCAGCGCAGGGAACTGATTTCTGTTCGCCTCGCACAGAATTTTAGAAGGCTCGACAAACGGACCGCTGGTGGCGACAATCTTATTGATGTTGGCCTCTGCATCGCCCCCGAGGAGCTGAAGCGTCACTCGAAAAACTTGCGTGACGCCCTTGCATAGCTGCAGCCACTGCACTGGGGCCGTATAGTCGCCGAATTCACGGTCGCGCAGACTCGCAAAGGCATCCAGCGACAAGACGACCGATGTGAAGCTTGCAGCGTCTGCAACGGCTGTGGTCAAAGTAACAACGACTTTGCGATACTCCTGCAACGTCGCTTCGAGGTACTGAGCGTGGTAAAGTTTGATTTTGTCTAGTGGCGCAATATCTTGACAGCCGGTGCAGAGCATATGCCGCAAAGAGAGTGCCATGATGGCATGTAGGAGAGCATCGTAGCTGATCGCGAGCCTGGGGACGACGACTGTCCAGATCTGGCGGATTCCGGGAAAATATGTTCCGGGCAAAGAAGAACATACGCTGAAGCAGAAGTAATTCATGAGCTGCAGCTCCAAGAGGCGCCGTTCCCTTGTCTCAGATGCCGGCTGGGCCAAAGGCGAGGCCACAGACTGTAGACTAAGCCTCATTGCGGCTGACTGCGGATTCCGTGGTGCTCGATCATAGAGACACTCGTGGTTGTGGGCTTTGCATTTACTCTATTATTCCTGTGAGCGAGTTGGGTACAGCACAGGCGATCCATCGAGCTGCCTTACGCATGCTGGGCGAGTTTCATCGCACTGAGCAGTGTTAGCCGTGCGCTTGGAAGGGAAAAGTATGACCTCTACCTTGACGCGTCTTTGGCGACATAGTTGACAGCCTGTCCTAGATTTTCGATGGTACAATCTGGGTGGCATTTTGTGCTTCTACGAGGCAGAGGCAGTGGCTGCGGTGGATGGCCAAAGCTATCGCTCGAGAATAGCGGCAGAGTCGCAGGAAGAGCCAAAGGAAACGGTATCGCACACATGTGATGCGCTATTCGACGGAGTTTGGTTCGTCTACATGGCAATAACAGAGCCTCAATTTGGCGGATTCATGTCAACTGACTAGCGGCAAGTTCATGGCAGTGGTTAACGATGGCGCTGACTGCACGTGATGAATTCGCAGTGACTGGACGCAAGCGCGGTTCCCGTGCGATTAAAGCCACCAATGACACTGAGACAAAGAATTATCGATTGTTTTTATGCCTGGCTTTCAAGTGATTACAGCACCAGCTGCCGTTAGTGTAGCATTCCCCAACAAGCCCGTACGCGTATTGCAACAGGAAAAAAAAAAAAATTTAGTGTCCGACTGTTCACTGGCACACTGGGGTCTGGTAAGGCTGTGCTCGGCGATTGGGCGGAACCGGCACTAGCGTAGTTGAATTCCGCCCGACAATGATGAGAATGAAATGAGAAATGGGGGGCAGCTGTTGTTATAATAATCTGATTGGGGCTTGATGAGACTTGATGTGCACTGCTGACTGCTGGTCTCACGTCGGCCTTCGGATAGCCGGGCCCTGCCACAATCCCGCTTGGGCACAAACAATGATTCAATGGGCCAATTCAGCCTTCAAGGAGGCTGTGGCAAGTGTGGTTCTGGCTGTGGATTTGCAATAAGACGTCACTGGAGCTCCTTGACTCTCGCACGGAGTACACAAACCAGGGAGCGTACGTGGCCCTGGGATCCGACCCTCCCGATCGTTTCAACGCCGCTATCACTGGTTGACTTGCACTCTGATTGGGGCGTATAGTTTCAGGGTCGCCTGCATAGCGCCACCCGTCCGTCAGCTCCCTTTTTCTTACTGCAGCGACAGACCCTGGGGCCCATCATGCTGCATCCCGGCACGAGTTATGTCGAGACAGCCACATTCATGTGCGACGTCACCAAGGTGGTGAACAAGTCAGTCATGGCACGAGATGCCACTTTTGCGCAGTCAGCCCAGGGATATGGTATCATACATGTTAGAGTTTTCTAGACAGCGTTTCCCGTTGGCGCTGTCAACGGCCCCCGCGGAATTCTCGGACAGGTTCTGCCCAATTTTGACCAGAAAGAAGAGTGGGCGGCGCCAATTCAATCCCGCTAACTTTTTAGGGGCATGTTTTTGTGAGTTTGAGATGAATACCGGACCGGACCTGTCGCCTGCGGCCCTATTTGGCTTGGCTGATCAGGCTGTGAAAGTAATCAGAGTCGTGAAAAGCCCGCATTTGGATATCCACGGACCACGGGGCAGAACTGGGCCTCGCATCCAAACGAGCACAGCCCACCCATGCGACGTGCTGCAAGCCTGCAACTAAGTATGATGGAAGTATAATATCCGTCTTGTCCCCTTCGGACCCCTGGCCGTCAGACAAGTCGTAACTCGGCGAGTAAACAAAAGTGGTGGATAGTTTTGACTGATTCGCTGTCGACCGTCTCTGCTATGCGCCAACCACAATTTTTGGTGGCAGCTACGGCTCTGGCATTGGCCAGTCCGTCTTTTGCTGGAGTTGCCGACGCTAACGCTCTAGGTATGATGACTTTGATCCCATATAAATATTCTCACATTTGCTAATAGAACGCCAGCTCTTCGAACTGCAGATCTGACTCCAGAGGATGTTGACTTCTTGGTTCGCCGAGCTACAGCGCAAGCGCCAGACGGATATGCGCCTTCTGAAGTTACTTGTCCCGGCACGAGGCCGTTCATTCGGGATAGCTCCAGTTCGGTCCTGAGCCCAGAAGAAAAGGCATGGCTTCCTATTCGCCGCCAAGAAACAATCACACACATCAAGGATTTCCTCAAGCGTGCAGCCATCCCCAACTTCGACAGCGCCAAGTATTTGGTTAATGTCGACTCCAACTCAACGGCCCTGCCCAACATCGGCATTGCCGTCTCTGGCGGCGGCTACCGTGCAATGCTTAATGGCGCTGGTGCAATTAAGGCTTTTGACAGTCGTTCAACCGGCAGTACGGATAAAGGCAACCTCGGCGGTTTGCTGCAAAGTGCCACCTACCTTTCCGGCCTGTCCGGAGGCGGCTGGCTTGTAGGGAGCATTTTCACCAACAACTTTACCACTGTCCAGGATGCCGTCGCCTCCAAAGACATCTGGCAATTTGGTGAATCAATTCTTGAGGGTTAGTCTACTTAAGTAACCATGCTGAAAAAATCAGCTATATGCTAACGCAGGTTTGGTCAAAGGTCCCGAGAATATTGGCATAGTAGACTACTACTCTACCATCATCGACGAACTGGAAAAGAAGCGCGACGCAGGCTTTAATCGTTCCATTACCGACATTTGGGGCCGTATGTTGTCATTTCAGCTGGTGAAAGCAAAGCATGGCGGTCCCCGTTATACTTTTTCGTCCATCGCCAATGATACCGAGTTTGCTGCGGGAAGGACGCCACTCCCTATACTGGTTGCCGACAGCAGAGCCCCGGGCGAAAAGAACACCACGATTGAGTCTGTCCTGTTCGAATTCAACCCCTGGGAGCTCGGATCCACGGATCCTGGCATGACTGGCTTCGCGCCGCTCAAGTATACCGGCTCCAAGTTTGACGGTGGAAAGCTATCGAGTGATGCCAAATGCATCAATGGCTTTGACAATGTCGGTTACGTTATGGGAACATCTAGCAGTCTGTTCAACCAAATTATTCTTCGCATGAAGAGTGATCCCGCCAAGTATCAGCCCAAAAATATCCCCAAGACTGTCGTGGCTTTCATCACCGACCTTCTTACCACATTGGGCGACCGCAGCGACGACGTCGCAGACTGGACTCCAAACCCCTTCAAGAACTGGAACTCGGGCAAGAATTATGTTGCCAGTTCCGATAGGCTGACTTTGGTCGACGGAGGAGAGGACGGACAGAATGTTCCCTTCCACCCTCACACTGTCCACGAGCGAAGAGTCGACGTTGTCTTTGCCGTGGACTCGAGTGCCGACACGAGCAATTGGCCCGACGGCGCCTCTGCGCTTGCAACATATCAGCGAACCATGAGCAATTCGTCGGCTGGCACGTCTTTCCCTGTCGTCCCCGACAAGAACACATTTATAAACCTTGGGTTGAATACGCGCCCAACTTTCTTTGGTTGTGATACCAGCAAATCGAGCGGCCCAGTACCCCCACTGGTCGTTTACCTGCCCAACTATCCATACGTCTTCCACTCGAACTTATCCACGTTCACGATGAGCATCAATGATACCGAAAGAGACGCCATCATATCAAATGGCTGGGCCGTTGTCACTCAAATGAACAGCACGCGCGACACCAACTGGCCGACTTGCGTCAGCTGCGCCATGCTGTCACGCAGCTTCGACCGCACCAAGACTGAGGTTCCGGCTGCCTGCAAGGATTGTTTTACCTCATACTGTTGGAATGGCACTGTCGACAGCAGCCAACCTGCTACGGCTTACGCACCCAAGATGTGGAGTAACACTACAATCGATGTTGCTTCCAAGAAGGACAGTGCTGGCGCTCGAACCACGAGTGGCTCTGCCACGTTGATTGCATTGGCCATCGCCTCGGCTATGTTGTTGCTCTAATTCGTGTGTGTGCTATCATTGGATAGAGCATTGTGCTGTTCTGTACAAATATTAGACCCTTTTTTTTTTTCGCAGTCAAAAGTTACAATACCCGACAGAATTATAATATTTATAAATGTGCTGGAAACTTGCTTACTGTAAAAGACGCGACTCTGTTAGGTGACTTTGCTCAGTATCCGCACCTTTCCCCCGTCAATCGTGCTCTAGTCATAGCGGACCGGAGCGATGCAATTCTTGGAGCTCATACGAATTTTCAAGATTGCTAAAGTGAAAACAATAATGCCTGGGTAGTGTTCGGCGAATGAGGCTAATAATAGAAGCTGTACTTGTCAAGGGGTGCTGATGACTAAGGTTCATTACTTGGCAGGCTGTGTACGTGGGAACCTTGAAACCCTTAAATCAGGAGGGAATCTGCAGTCACTTTCTCCTCTCTCATAATTCTTTTCTAGCCAAATCGTTGGCTTCTTATCAAATTTTATCAACAACACCGCTCCGAGGTATACTGAGCGTGCTAATTATACCGCATCAACACAATGCCCCGACGATCGAGATACGACGACGATGAAGAGCGTCTCCCTGAGGGCATGACACGTGTCGGCTATGATGCCGACACAGGCGTCTATACTTTCCAAGATTCAGACGGTTCCTATTGGGAGGGCGCTTCTGGCTCACGATATGGCCAGCTGACTCGAGTTGGCCATGAGCTTGCGGGTGAAGACGACGATGCACAGCCATTTTTGCCTAGCAATGCTCACGCTGGCCCAAAGGTATCCTGGAGACACGAACTCATGCCGCTGCTCAACTTTGGAGTCATTATTGGCGTCGCCCTGCTGCTCTTATGGTGGTACCTCCACGTCGCCGCAGGCCCCGATAAAGGCAGCGCGCAGGACTGTCCCAGCGGCACGAAACCCTACACTATCCATCAAGGGGATACATGTTGGGACATTGCGGAAAGCCACAGTGTCGGTGTCGATGACATCTTGACGCTCAACCCCGAACTCGACTGTGACAAGCTGTCGATCGGTTCACAGATCTGCCTCAAGGACTGAATGGCTCGGTATGGGAACCCGACAGTCGGGTTTTGGGGTTTTCTGCAACTCACAATGGTGGGCCATCGACTCGACAGGAAATCTACATGTCTCGACCAAGTTGATGCAGCCCGCCGATATGACTGGCCTACATGCAATGCTTCGACGCGAGACAGCTACCAGGCTATCACGCGGAGCTGTCGAGCTGCCATCAAAAACCGGGTCTGCCTCAGGCCTGTCCCAGATTGACCCAGCCAAGCACAGCGGCCCAGTGAAGTAACCAAGCTTGACCCAGCACGCCGAGGGTAGGTGCTACAAGTACCAAAAGGCGCCTAAATTGCGCAACTGGTACTTCAGGCACAGACCAGCCGCCTTCTCTGCTCCTAGGTACGTCTAAGTAATAGGTAAGGTACCAAAACAGGCGGGGCCGATTATTTATGACCCCTCCTCGAATTTTTTTGGCGACCCTGGCTCAACAGCAAATTTTTTTTCCTTCCTCTTCACACATCTTCTCATTCTCACAAAATTTCACATCTCTCGTAAGGGCTTTGCCAACGAGTGACGAGTGAAAATGGACAAGGATAAGCTTGTTCAGCTGCTGCAGGCCAGCCAAGTCCGTATGTTTTTTCCTCTTCGCGACACCACCTTTCGACTCGTCTCTAACTATGTTTTCTTCAGCCGACACGGAACAGGTCAAGGCCGTTACAGCTGATCTCCAGAAGAACTACTACTCCAAGCCCGAGTCTCTTCTGCTCCTCGTCGAGATTGCCCTTACCCATGGCGATGCTCCCATTCGACAGCTCGCCTCTGTCCAGGCCGCCCGCATCGCTCCCAAACATTGGGACAATGTGCCGGGCGACCAGAAGTCGATGTGCCGCAGTCATCTTCTCGAGGGCTCTCTCAAGGAGACTTCTGCTGCCAATCGTCACTCTCTGGCTCGTCTGATTGCTGACCTTGTCACTCTCGACATGGAAAACAAGCAAGGCGAGGATTTCCTTCAGCAGATCATTCCTCTGAACAACCACGACAACGTCGTGGCTCGCGAAGTTGGCTCTTACCTCATCTACGCCATCTTGGAGAACGACCCCATTCACTTCAGCGATCACACACACCAGCTTCTGCAGCTGTTTCATTCTCGCATCGAAGATCCGGACAGCAAGGATGTCCGTATCAACGTCGTCCGTGGTGTGGGCGCTATTCTGCAAAACATTATTCCTGAGGAGGATCCCAAGGCTGTGGAGGCTGTTGCTAGCTTCATTCCTAGCATGGTCAACATTCTCAAAGCTACTGTCGAGGCCGAGGATGAGGAGAACTATAAGGTTGTCTTTGAAGTTTTCCATAACTTCGTTGCTTTCGACTCTGCTCTCTTTGGTTCGCACCTGCCGGAGCTTCTCCAGTTCATGATGGATCTCGCCGGCAACAAGCAGGCCGAAGACGACGCTCGTTCGCAAGCCGTTGCTTTCCTCATTCAGACCGTTCACTTCCGCCCCCGCAAACTGCAGGCAATGGGCGACGTGCCATCCCGCATGATGGTCGGTGCCATGCACATTGTCGCCGAGCTTGAAGATGATGATGACGACGAGGACATGTCTCCTGCCAGATCTGCCATTGGTCTCGTTGACGAGCTTGCAAACTCGCTTCCCCCTCGACAAGTCATTGTCCCCTTGCTGGAGCAGTTCCCTACTTTTGCAGCCCACCAAGACCCTAGCTACAGAATGTCTGCCATGCTCTCTCTCGGTAACGCCGCTGCCGGGGCTCCCGACTTTATCTCTACTCAGCTTGAGCCTCTTCTACCCGCCATTGTCAGCCTTCTTGTTGATAGTGAGCTGAAAGTTCGCCACGCCGCCCTTGTTGGCCTCATCCACCTTGCCGAGGAGATGGTCGATGAGATGGCCTCTCACCATGAACAAATCCTCTCCGCTGTGCTCAAGAACCTCGAGTCTGCTTCTGATGCTGGCAATGACAAGAAGAATGTTGCCATCATTCGTTGCGCTTGTGGTGCTCTCGACACATTTGGTGATGGTGTTGAGAACAAAGTCATGGCCCAATACGGCCCCAACTTGATTGCTCCCATGGTCAAGCTTCTTAGCCACGACGACTTTGGCGTTCGTGCTGGCGCTGCTTCTGCGATTGGCGCCATCTCCTCTTCCATGGAGGGTGACTTCAAGCCATACTTTGAGGAAGTGATGCAGGCGCTCGGCAAGTTTGTCATGATCAAGGACAGCGAAGAAGAGATGAACCTCCGCAGTGCCACTTGCGACAGTTTGGGCCGCATCGCCACAGCTGTTGGCGCCGAAGCTTTCCAACCATATGTCATGGATCTCATGAAGGCTAGTGAGGAGGCTCTTCACCTTGACAACCCCAGACTCAAGGAGACTAGCTTCATTCTGTGGTCCAGCCTCTCCAAGGTCTACAAGGAGCAATTCGGCCACTTTTTGGATGGCGTGTTCAATGGCCTTTTTGCCTCGCTTGATCTTGAGGAGGAGGAGATTGATCTCCCCGGTGTCGACGCCAGCCAGCTTGGCGAAGGCTCCATCGTCGTCGGCGGCAAGAAGATCAAGGTCAAGACCAACTCTAGCGTGGAAGATGTTGCCATTGCGACTGGGGGTGCTGATGAGGATGAGTGGGATGACCTCGAGGACTTTGAGGACCTTGGTGCCGTCACCGCCGTTGCTCTCGAGCAGGAAATTGCTCTTGACGTCCTCGGTGACGTGATTGCCAACTCTTGCAACAGCAGCAACCTCGAGACATACACCGAAAAGACTATCGAGAAGATTACACCCTTCGCTGAACATACATACGAAGGCTGTCGCAAGTCTGCCGTCTCGACACTTTGGAGAATCTACACTCGCGTCTTCCAGGTCTGGGAGACGGGTGCTGGTATCAAGTGGGAGCCTGGCATGCCCCCCAAGCACACGCCGCCTGCTTCCATTGTCAGCATAGGACAGGCTCTACAGCAAATCACTAACAACCTCTGGGCCGAGGATGGCGAACGGTACGTAATATTCTTCTGTTTTGTTGTCAACTTTTGCATGATGAATACCTTGCGTTATACCCAGCTCACTCAGACGCATATTGCGGTTGCTGAGAAAACGTCTAATCTACTCCTGACTTGCGAATTTATCTACTCCTTTGTCTCTGGCGTTGTGTAACAGGTCATTGCTAATGAAATGTACTTATAGGAGCGTCATTACCGATATAAACCGCAATGTTGCTGCCGCTCTCAAGGCTTGTGGTCCTGCTGTACTCGCCTCCAACTCTGAGATGCTTCAGGAGATTGTTTCTGTTGTCACATTGATCATTACCCGATCGCACCCTTGCCAGCAAGATCTCGGTGATGAGGAAGCTGAGCAGGACATCGATGCTGGCTCATCCGAGTACGACTGGCTTGTTGTCGATACTGCTCTTGATGTCGTCATCGGCCTTGCTACTGCTCTCGGACACTCCTTCGCTGAACTTTGGAAGATCTTTGAGAAGCCTGTTCTCAAGCTTTCCAGCTCCACCGAGGACCTTCATCGCTCTACGGCTGTCGGCACCATTGCCGAGATTCTCAAACACGCCGGCGAGGCCATGACTCCCTTCACTGAGTCTCTTGGCCAAGCTCTGGGTCGTCGTCTCACCGATCCTGACCCTCTGGCTAAATCGAATGCTGCCTACGCCATTGGACTTCTTGTCTTCACTTCTTCCGACACCTCGAAGACTTACCCTCTATACCCTCAGATTTGGGAGAAGCTCGAGCCCCTCATCGCCGTCCGTGAAATGCGTCTCACTGACAATGTTGCTGGTGCGCTGTGTCGCATGATGATGAAGAACCCGGATGCTGGCTTCGTCAGCGAGGCTCTACCTGCTGTCGTCAATGTTCTACCACTTGAGGAGGATTACGAGGAGAATGAGCCAATCTACAAGTGTATTTACAGTCTGTACGAGCAGTCCAACCAAACTGTTCAGCAGCTTACGCCTCAGCTCCTTGCCGTCTTCGAGCGGGTTTTGTCACCTCCTGAGGAGCAGCTCGAGCCCAGCAGCCGCGAGATTCTTCAGCGCGTCGTCGGCATCCTCTACAAGGCCCAGCCGGACTTACTTGCTAACCACCCCGGTTTACTGAAGCTCGCGGGTCTGCAGTAAGCTTCTCTCGACATGAGTGAAGACAATGACATCCATTTGGAAAAGGAACAAGGGTGGCAGCACATTGGGCGTGAATTTAAAGAACATACATAGCATCGTAGGGATCTGGCTTTTGATGATTTGGACCATGAAGCGATGATTGCAATGCACATTTGATGAGCTTGAGGGTAAAAAGGTATACCTTGGGAATAAGAATAATAGAGCGACGACATGAACCCTTTTCGGGCTTAGAAATTGATTTGATATGACACAGACTTTGGCCGTTGATTATGCTTCGTGTATGAACATGACATTCGTTACCAGCACCCGTGTATATGCTATAATGACGATGAGAATACTTGAAATACTTATCAAGTGCAAGAATGGATTGACGCCAAAAAGAATGTCAAGCTACAGTACAAGATGTTGAAAGCGGCAATTGTGTGGACCGCTCGATGCCAAGCAAGACTTGGTAATAACTATATGCAGAGGAAGAATTTCTACGCCCCTAAATTCATGCGGTATACGCTGCGCTTTTGCGGCTGCGCATCCAGCAACCGTCTACCAGATGCGTTTATTGACCATGTCGTAGCGAAAGACGCCGTTATAATCCGGCTCTGGCGGCTTCTTGTCCTCGCCGGGTCGCCTGCCGCCGGGGCCCTTGCCGCCCTTGAGGCCCTCGGTCTTGTCGGCGTGAATCCAGCGCTGGCGGTCGTCGCCGAGCTCGACGTCGCCGTGGCCGCCGACGCGCCTACCCTTTGCGTCGTAGTCGTCACGCTCGATGGCGCCGCGGGCGACGAGCAGCTCCTTGTGCTTCATGGCGGCGTAGCGGGCGCGGCTGTACTTGAGGAGAGCCATGCCGAGGAGCAGCTTGAGGATGAGGAGCACGAGGAAGGCGATGAAGAAGACGACGACCATGGTGAGGGCGGCGACGAGATCGTCCGAGGTCCAGGCGTACCAGGGCCGCTGGTGGTGGTGGGGGTGGTGCGCGCCGCCGAGGGGCGGCGGGCTGCCGTAGGTGGCGCGGCCGAGCGAGTCCCGGATCAGCGCGTCGAAGCGGTTCAGCGCTGCCATCATGGCGGGCGAAGAGGGGCGTGCGGATTCCTCGGCGAGCGATGTCTGCGTGGAGGCGGGCAGCGGCATCGGGAGGTAGGTTGCGAGGAACATGTGGTAGGTCTGGACGGAGGCGCGGATGAAGAGGCACGACAGCGGGATAACAGCGAGGCCGAGACGGCGGGTGAGGGACGGACTGGTAAAGGCCTATCGTTGTGTGTGAGTTCGGGCAAGATCAAGAACTAGTGGGAACAGGTAGGGCAGGGTGGTGGCTTACATGGGTGTAGTAGTCCTTGCAGAGAATGTCGAGCGTGCGCGAGTAAAAGTGCGGCTTAATGTTGTTGAACTTGGTGACGTAGGCATGCTTGATGGTGTCGACCAGCATCTCACTGCCGACGACGATGAGAAACGGCGAGAGTACCTCGCCGGACCACATCCATGACGGTAACGCGGTGAAGCTGTGCGGCAGAATGGACGAGTTGTGCAGCGGCGCGCTGCCGCCGCTCCCGTCAACGTCCGTCTCACCGACGCCGGCGCCAGGCACGGAGAAGCCACCGACCTCGACAATGTTGCGCATGGCGATGATTAGGAGCATGATCCAGAGGTGGAAGCGCTCGACAATATCGGCGCAGGTGAGCTGGAAGAGGTTGTCCTTTTCGAAGCGCTTGAAGACGGTGCTCTTGATCTCGACAAACTGGTTGGAGAGGAGCAGCGTCAGCAGCGCGTTGGAATACGAGTTGACGGCCACGTTGAGCGTGATGACCTGGTAGTAGAGCGCGACCGAGTGCAGGCAGTTGTAGGCGAGGGCGAGCAGGAACATGCCGAGCGGGAGCAGAATCTTGGAGCGGCCCGACGCGTTCCTAGACAGAGTCTCGGTGCTGAAGAGGCACTCGAGAATGTCCTGGCCAATGGCGGAGAGCAGGCGGTCGCCCACCTCGAGAATGTTGAAGATGACATAGAGCTTGATGGCCGACTGCGCACGTATAAAGTGGTACATGCGGCTGGCGTCGAGCTTCATCAGCACAAAGGAGCTGCAGAGAATGACGGCGCCCTGCAGTAGATCGGCCTTGTGGTAGGTGGAGAGGTTGGAGGGTATGGACTTTGTTCGTCGGTGGCGAAAGACGCCTGAATTGGGGCCGGGGCCTTGCTCACGAGTCTGCGCTGAGGTGCGCCGAAGCGTCGTCGCCGTGCCGAGCGGCACGTCGCCTTGCCCATCTGCGCCTACCGCACTGGCAGCTTCGCTTGCTAGACTGATACTCCGCGACCGGTCCCCAGTTGTCGATCCGCTGACCGTACGGCCCCTAGTCGCGCGTCCTCGCCGCCATAGGCGGCCGATGCCGTCCCGGACAAAGCCCAGCAGCCACCTCGTTTCCTTGCAAACAATGTATGCCCACCAGCGTACCAGCACGCCAATGGCCATGAAGAACCGTATCGGCAATATGGTGAATGTGTGGAGCCAGGCGTCGAGACAAGCGAGTGCGCCAAAGTATAACGTTCTCTCGAGGTAGGGCGGGATGAGGAGGACGTTGCGTAGGCGCTCAAACTTGACGGCGCTGGATTCGTACGGGATGTCGCTCGTATGGGAGTGGTAAATGTATAGGGGGCTCGGCCGCTGTGCAGCAAGCTCGAGCTGCAGGTGCGTTGGTAGCGACATGGGCGGCAGTGGAATCATGGGCGGCATCGGTGACGGTGCGCGGCTGCTTTTCGGTCCTCTATGCTCCGTCGCCGCGGCGCACGGCACCGCCGCTGTCGGGGCGGCCCCGATGGCGGGTGAGGGCAGCATGCCGTTTACGCGCTGCTTTTCCGCGCCTGTGTCGTTGTCCATGTGCAGACTGGGTAGCGGCGGACGCTGTGGCACCGACGGCCGGGGCATGACGGCTGAGTACGGCGGAAGGTCAAAGGTCTTGGCCCTGCCTACAGGAGGAGTAGACACTGTACGCGGAGACCCGGATCGCGGTATTTCGGTGCGTGGGTAGCGGGCTTCCGCGCCGCGCCCTTCGTATATACTGAGCCCATTGCCTTGGTTATGCTGATGTTGGTATTGGTGTAGGTGTTGATTTTGGTGTGGGTGGTGGTAGTGATGGTGGCTGCCGTCGCGGGAGGCGCGCAGCTCGGGCTGCGCGAGCAGCGACTGGCGAATAGCTTCTTTTTGCTGCGAAAACTTGCCGTGGTCAAACGACGGACGGGTGCTGGGCGGCGCGGGACCAATCGGTAGCGATTGCGGCGACGACATGAGCTCATGGATTTCCGAGGCGGGCAGGCGCTGGACGTTGTTGTCGACAGAGCCAGCCTTGGCGCTGGAGCTTCCCCTTCGAGACTTTGTCTGCGGCTGTAGCTGCGGCGACGGCAGCGGAGGATGAGGCTCGTCGTCCTGAGGCGGCGGTGTGTGCTGCTGCCGCTGGTTATGCTGCGGTGATTCTGGATTCTCCAGTCGAGGCGTGTCGCTTCGGCCCCGGTCGATACCTCCTCCGTTCGCGAAGCTGCTGCTGTTGGCGCCGTTGAGGAGTTGCTGCTGCTCTGTCCATGTGCGTACCGGGCTGCTGGCTGTCCGTGAGCGCACGTCCATGCCACTAGTGCGCGTCGCCCATAGCTGCGGTGATTCGCCCGTGCGTGTCGTGGGCGTCGGAGCGTCTGTCGATGAGGACGGGGCGCAGGCGGCGGTCAGGTGCGGCGACAGTCGCGGGCTGATTGGGTCAGCGGTTACAGCCATTGCTAGATTCTGGACGGCATTTTCTTCTCAGCAGATAGGGCTCGAAATTGTAAGAATTTCCTTAGCGCGTAGGCGAGAGAGATGCGACAAGGCTGGATGGCGAGAGAGAGGACAAGGCTAGATGGCGTTTGGAAAGTGGCTGATGATGATGCCAGCTGGACGTTTTAGCTTACCTGTCAGCGCAACGGCCCGGTCACCCAAACTTGTCACTCAGATGGCAGGCAGGTTGTGGGGCAGCACAGAGTCTCTGGCGCTGACATCTTCACCATTGGCCTGCTGGAACCGAACACTGTCGCGAGTAGAGGTGAGATGCATTTTATGTCTTTTTTTCTCTTTCCTTTTTTTACTTTGAATTTGCATTTATTAGTTGGTATAGATATCGTTATTCGGCGCATCTTTTGCAATACACCATTACAGCTTATTCCTCCCTTGCAGTCAGCCCAGGTACGTGTCGAACCAGGTGACCGCCTGCAAAAATGCCTGCTCCTTGGCAAACTTTTGCTGCTTCTTGCTCAAGTCGCCGCGGACCGCGAAGCCGTGCTCGGTAGCGGAAAAGAGGTTGATCTGGTAAGGCTGCCCGGTCTTGGCAAGAATCTCCTCCGACTTGTGGCGCTTGTCCGCCGGGAAAATGGAGTCGGTCTCGGCGGCGGATATGGCAAAGGGGCCGGTGATGGCGGCGAGCTCGTCCTCGTCGACAAAAGACGGGTGCGCCGCGTAGCCGACCTCGATACCGTCCTTGTAGTGGCGGACGACGTACTGTCAAGATTTTATTGCTGTTAGCATTGCGCTCCTTTTAACTACTTCCACGAAGAGAGGGGGCGGGGAGGGTGTGGCAAGCAAGCGTACCTTGGCACCGAAACAATAGCCCACCGCGCCAATGTGCTTGACGCCCATCTCTCGCAGGGCCTGGATCGCCTTTTCGACAATCGGATCGATGGTCTCCTTGGTGTGCGGGTTGTCGCCGTTGCTGCCGTGCGCCAGCCACTTGCCAAAATCGAAGCCCTTGGGAGGGTTGAGCGACACAGGGTCGCCGTTGAAGAGGTCAATCACGACCGTCAGGTATCCGCGCTCGGCAAACGAATCGGCCATGAGCTTGCTGTTCTGCCAAATGCTGATTACGTCGGGCAGGTACAGGATGCCGACATCCTTGCGGGCCGTCTTCTCGGCTGGGGTGGCGACGTAGGCCTCGATGGTGTTGTCAATCTTGATGATTTTGCCCTTGGGTTCACCCCTGCATCCCGTATTAGTCTTCATGCCTCTTTTCTACCTCCCTCCCTTCCTGTTCGTTTGCTTTTTTTTTTTTTTTGGCTGTCTCTTGGCGGGTGACGCTAGCGTGCGAAGCTACCATCGTTGGTGACCGCTCGTCATGGAGGGGTAGGTATCCGTCTTCGAGGTTTCTCGCGGAAACAGGTATACGGGTCATATTGGTCAACAAGTGGTATCAAACTTACTCATGGAGCGTTCCCAGAGTGCAGCAGCGAGCGGGAGGATGAGAAGCCATTTTTTTTGTCGCGCTGTTGCCGGTCGTAAGTAGTCAAGTCTACAGTCCGGAAGCAAGTTCAATCACTAAACACATTGTGAGCAGTGACGTGGGATTGGAACCTTTTATGCGTCTCAGCTTTACTAATAGCTACCCTTTCCAAACCGTGTCAGCCACCCTCTTTTTAATCCCTCTTATCCCACCGAAAAACACCATTACTGCGGCCCGAGGCAGTGGAACCCCAAAACAGCTCGACATGAATGGTGTACGCAACGTTGGTGACGCCAACGCTTGTCCCTTCTCCCGCTAACTAACTAATTAGTGTCAGCAGCGATAACACACCGAAGATGCCAGGATAAGCTACATTGATGATTGGTGAATCTATTCCTCCTCATTCAAAGCCGTGGCTACTGCACATTTGACTGATGGCTTAAATATCACAGCTATATCAGGAGCCTCTCCACAAGAGAATGCATCACGTCGGGGAGTTTTCTTCAGCAATAAGTCGGCGCTGGTTGGCCCATCGCGGGGCAAACTTGCATTTCGGAGTTGAGCCTTCGGGAGCGACCTCGGCAAATCAAGCTCAGAGCTACTTACCTTTTACAACGCAACCTATGCCAGCGTCTCCATTATTCGCATGACGAAGCCTAGTAAATTTGCTTCGTTGCCTCGCTCCCATCGGTGCCTCTGGTCCTGTAGTGTTCTCGGCTAAGATGGCGGCTTAATTCCATTTAGCCCTCTTTTCTCGTCGCCCTCGGCGGCGTTAAGCCCGTACCATTGCCGAACGATCAAGCGGGCCAAATGGGCACAGGCACCAATTTCGGTCGCGCAAATAATCAAGAGTATCAGTCAGAGGGCAACATTCTCTTGCAGCGCACATTGAAATGGATAAAGAAAGACTGTACAAGGGAAGCATATTGTGTATGCCAACGTCTATATTTGGGTATCATGTGAATCTTGGTATGCTCCTTCGACCAATCAATGGCGTCAGCAAATGTACAAATTACGAATCGAAGAAGAACAAATGGGCTATTTGGTCCGCAAACCCTTAGGTTTCCTCTTCTTGAACACTACCGCGCCCACTGCCGAGTCTGCATCTTCCGACTTGGTCGCTATTGCTGTAATGCAACCCGCGGCCGTGTCAGGCTCCTCCTTGACAGCAGGCTCCAGCTTCACATCTATGCCATCTTCTGTTTTGTCCTCCACCTTCTTCTCCTCCTCCTCCTCCTCCTCCTCCGCCTCCTCTTCCTTCACATCATCCTCAGCCACTGGCTGCTTCTTCACCAGCGACCCGCTCAGCAGCGCATCCAGTTCTGCATCCTGATCGTCCGGCATCCCTTTCGAATCGCGTCCCCAGCGCTTCGCCTTCTTGAAGAGCCCACGTACCGCCTCTTCCTCCTCTTTTTCCTCCTCATTCTCCTCGCGCTTGCGTACGCCCGAAGCGCGGGCCTCGACCGCACCGGAGTCATTGCCGCCGCCCCGCCGCGTTTCAACCACGCGCGTGCTCGTCACCGTCCACTCACCCGGCATAGCCATCTCGGGCCGGAAACTACTCGGTATCGCGACGCCCAGCTCTGCGAGTTGCTCACGCTGCTTTTTTAGCGACGCCTCGGTCGCCGTGGGCGGCGGCGCGGGCCTCGACGACCCGGGTGTGTGCGTTGACGACGACGTCGAGGTCAAGGGTGCGGGGGTTCCCGAGGAGGATGCGTTGCCGCTGGGAACTACGCCATTGAGACGATCAATTTCTCGCTTGGCTCGCTCCTTATCTCGCTCGTCTCGGTCGTGGCTGCGGTGCAAGTCGCGCAGAGAGCGCTTGATGGCGCCCTGGTGCCTGGCTGTTGACTCGTGGTTTGCGCGCTCGAGCTTGGTGTCGCGCACATAGACGGCGCAGTACTTGCACCAGTACCGAGGTGTGGATTTCCAGTATTCTGACATGATTTGGCCGTTTAAAAACGGTACTTTTGTGTTGTGTGTGTTTCAAGCAAGAGCTACAGGAAAAAGCCGTTCACAAGCTTGGCTTGGCTGGTTCTGAATTGGCCGATTACGTCAGCAGATCAAGCCGCTAGTCGCAACGACGCGTGTGCCAAGATCAATAGTTTCCATTACCACCAGTGATCAATACAAAAACCCCCATTCCGAGTACCCGTCAATTAAGGAGAGTCAATTTCTTCCCATTTGTACTTATGACTATGTGTGTTATATATTATACCCACGCACGGAGGAGGCGTGAGCGTCCGCCACGAATGCGACAACAGATCAAAAGACAAGATTCCACAGCCAGATTAGGTCCATCAAATAACAAAAAGCAGTTCCATCCGAGCAGCAAAGCCACTAAACCGGTCTTTTTTTTCAAACGCGTGGTAATTCAAAACATGATGATTCGTGTGCAGCTTGTAAATCAAGGTCGAGGGGTCAAGGTCAAAGGCGGGTTCCACCCTAACGACAATGACAACTCATCATTCCATTTCAGCAGCCTATGGTTTCAAGGCGCCTACAGGAAGAGGGCGGCAGCAAGACCGGCAGCGGCGAGGCCGGGGAGGGCCTTGGCACCAGCAGCGATGGGAACGGTGGTGCCAGTGGGAGCCTGGACCTGGCCATCAGAGATCTGGGTGACGATAGCACCAGTACCAGAGGGAGCCTGGATCTGGCCATCAGTGATTTGGGTGACGGGAGCACCAGTAGCAGAGGGAGCCTGGATCTGGCCGTCGGTGATCTGGGTGACGGGAGCACCAGTGGCAGAGGGAACCTGAATCTGGCCGTCGGAGATCTGGGAAACAGGGGGCAGGTTGGTGGGAGCCTGGAGCTGTCCGTCAGAAATCTGGCTGATGGGAGCGCCGGGAGCCTGGTCGCAAGGGGTGCTGTGAGCCTGAATCTGGCCGTCACCGATCTGGCACATGGGGACAGGAACAGTGGTGGTCTTGACCTGGGGCTGGCCATCGTCGAGAGCGGCGACAATGGTGGTGACAGCCAGGCTGGTGGCGATGGGAGACTGCATGGGGCTCCCGCCGTTGTCCTTCTGGCTGCTGCAAGGCATGGCGACAATCTCGACGGGCTCGCACTGCTCGGCCCAGTGGCGGTCGTAGAGGTTGTAGAAGTCACCAGAGCGGCACTGGTAGAAAACGGTGGAAGGGCCAATGGCCAGGGAGCCGTTCTGGCAGGTAGAGAAACCAGCAGTGTAGAGAGCACCAGCCTGGGCGGGAGGGCCGTCGAACTGGAACTGGTAGTTGGAGACGATGGAGCCGATGCGGCCCTTGCTGTCGGTCAGGACACCATCCTTGAGATCGAGAACGAGGGCCTTGTCGCCGGAGCAGTCACGCTTCTTTTTGGCCGTTAATACCGTGTCAAAGATTGGGAGTATTGTGCATTGGAACACAGAATTTCGATACATACCTCGATAGAGCGCTTGCTGGAGCCAGCAAGCTTGAAGATGCTGACCTCAAACTTGCCGTTGTAAGTGCCAGTGCAGCCCTGGGGAGCAGAGCCCTCGGGCTTGAGGCCGGAGGGGGCGCCTTGAGGAACAGCGGCGACGGTGGCAGCGAGGCCAAGAGCGGCAGCAGTCCACTTCATTTTAGCTGTGAAAAGAATTAGCAAGATGTTGCTGGCGAACGAATTGGTGAGTGTCGAAGCCGCAAGGTATGAAACCACGCGCGCGTGGTCGATCAAGCCGCGACGAGATTCCGGTAGCCAGGACACTGGTGGTCCCTTGTAGGTGAATTGATGCCGGAAAAAGAAGAAGTCGATATCAGCAGTATCGAGCATCTGCAACGTACCTTTATTAGAATTAAGTTGTGAGAACGAGAAATGATCCGAATCAGCGACGGGATGACGAAAGTCGAGACTTGTTTAACCGAAACGACTGGTGGAAACAAGATGCTATCGTCTGAAGAGCGAAGGTAGAAACTGCGTATGCAAGAAACAAGAACAGGATGTGACAAGGAAAAGAACAGATGGGTGGAGAGAAAGGATCGACTTGGGTACATATATTCGTGTTCTCGCGGTGCTGGGTCCCGAGTCGTCTGGAGCATTGTTCGGCCGTTTGGCTGGGAAACTCTGAACAGGGGGGCGTGAACCATGGTGGACGTGTGCTTGGGAAGAAGGGGGGGGGGCGTGAGGAGGCTACGTTGATGGGCAAGCCAAACGACCGACGGAACAGTTGACAACTATCAGTATGACAGTATGTATGAGTAGATACGACAACAAGCAAGAAAAGGAGCTAGAACAGAAGGACCCGCAGACTAAAAAGGCCCCATTATCTGGACAGTCGGACGGTTTAGCCTGCCTGCTTAACGACGAATATCGCGGCAGCCGTAGAAGTAGCGTTGTGGGCTTGCTTGGATGGTCTAGGACGAGGCTTGCAAGAAATGATCGCACCAGAGGTGGCCGAAGAGAGGCAGTCGGAGGAGGTGAGTGCAGGGAGAGAGAGAAAGAATTCATTGTCTTGGTGTTGATGATTGAGTGGATGAGTGGGTGAGGGGATTGTACCCTTGGTACTCCGTACATAGGTAATACTTACCTAGGTACTCAAGTACTGTCTGTCAAGAGCACAAAAGAGAAGGAGAGTACCTGTGAGGTGCAAGGTGTTGGGACAGGGGGCAGAGCGGCAGACTGGCTAGCGTTGTCAGAAAACCCCGTTATAAAAGGCTGTTGACTGATGATTGAACATAGATTGACAGTTACCGGGCCGGTACTGAGTACACAAAAGATGGAAAAACCTGGCGGAGCGTGGAGCAATTGATCCTCTTCAAAAGCGACAAACAGCAAAGCACGAGCCGCACTTGCTGCATTGCAGGGGTTGGCTTTGAAAATATGGGGAACCCTGGCCGGGTGGATAGCGACCCACAAGGTGGCGCAGGGGGTGGTTGGGCGGCATGGCGGCGCGAAGGCCCCATGCGGGCTGGCACTGGCAGCACCGCACGGCATAGAAGTGAGCCGGCCGACGGGAGAAACTGCCAGCTGCCAGTGGGCAAACGCCGCAGCTGGCAACGGAGTGCTGCCATGGTGAATGTTCTCCAACGCTAAGAACAACACCATACCCCATCCAGGACTATTTACGCCGCTGCCACGGCGCTAAACGGGCAAACTGATATTCTCTGCTGTGGGCGGTGGATGCACTGCACATCGGCTGCGTAATAGTTCCAAATCCAGATATCAAAAGCTGCTTCGCTGCCAACGTGTCATGTCTCTGGGGCTGGTATTCATCTCTACTGGCACAGCAGTTTCCATGAGCCTTCAGCATGTAACTATATTACCGAATAATAATTTGCTTTTAGCTGCCTGCCCAGCTGCGGTCAGGCCAGCCCCCCTGCACATAGTCTCGGATGGACGCCGGCCTCGGCTGCTCGCTGGCTGGGCGATGGATCGTGCGGGGTGCCCAGTGTCGTGTCTTGTCCTTGCTGGCTGGCTCTTGGCGTCGACGCCTCAGATCGTCACTGGGCTGACGATCGAGGTAGAGAAACAGTTACACGACACAAACCAAAAATGTATTCACGTCGAGTCCTGAGCTTGTTCAATTGCTGGAAAAGGGGGAATGTCCTGACAATAGCAGGGCAGCACCAAGAATGCGAGTTCTTCTAGTGTCCCTCTCTCCCTATTTTCGTGCTCGCTGGCCTGCCCATAGGTGGAGCAGCCCAAACCTTCTTCACGAATGGGCCGAGCCACAAGTAATAACTGGGGACGGAAGGCTCGGCGGCTGCGAAAATCAAAAGGCCGCATCAACATTGCATCAACATTGCATCTCCCAGCAAGCTGGCAGCACCTGCTTTCTTCCTCTCGCCGCTGATGTTTGCCATGCTCAAAAGCTCTACCAATTGTTAGAGCATGCTGTTCTCATGAGCAGTGCTAGCTATTCGCACGCGACCGAATGGCTCCCGCTGCCGATAACTCGCCTCCTTTCCTGTGGAACCCGCCCATCAAAGTGGTTGGTGCATCCTTTTGGTGGTGCTTCGCCAGACTAAAATCAGGTAAAGTTTGGTCTTTCCTGCACCACAGTCGGTCCATTGTCCGCCGTTGACTTGTCTCAGCGCTTTTTAACCCAGTCAAAAAGCGGTTGCACTCTTGGGCCGATTCCAAAGAGAGTCATGGACCAGCCACCAGCGCATGGCAACCAAAACGCACCAGATGAATCATGTCCACGACAGCGGCCCCGACCGATCCATCTGTCATGCCAGACAGATGAGGCTCAAAATAGAGGTCGTCCAATCGTTTTCCAAATGTAGTTTTCCGTTGTGGAATGCCATGCACTCGGTTCTTCATCCGCCTCGAACGGTGGCAGGATTCACACTGCAAGGGAAAAAGAGGTTCCAACTTCTTTACTTCTGAATATTCTCCTTGGTCACAATTTTCCACAACAGTTTCTTCTCCAATAATAAAGGGGAGTTGACTTATTCTGCTCCTCTATTTCTACGAGGCCATTCATCCTCCACACCACCAGCAGACAGCAAGAAGATCGACTGATCGGCCAGTCTCCTCAAGCGTCCTCTATTTGTACGAGGCTGTCAAGCGGTATATCCTCCCACCTCTAATCCGTATACCCACAGCAGAAAGGCGAGAGGTTGGCCCAGTCTCCCCGAAAAATCCTTTGCCTGCCAAGAGCACGAGTGTGGGTGGGCTCATGTCATCGATAGTGCCACGCTTCTCGTTGTGGAATGTCGTCGAGTCTAGTCCCCGGATATGCGTTGCCTGGTCGATTTGAATACTCTCCTGCATGCTACTGTCAATTGGTGAGATTGTACAGTTTTTTTTTTTCTTTTTTTGGCATTCGCTCGTTGATAATCAATGTATTCACGCACGTTATAGTATTGTTACTTCGAACTAACTCTTACCACTACACGGCCGTCATGTACATAGTAGCAACTCGTCCGTCGCACCTCGGATAACCGCTCGTGCGCTCTTGGGGGACCGAGTTGTCCGGCGATCAGCGATCCCACCTCTCTGCACCATGAAAAACTCAATTCCAACTCAAATGTGTCAGAAAGCCCTAGCTGAGTTCGTACATGCTATTTCTTCTTTGGCATTTGGCATTGAGTTGGATCATTAGCACCCGTCCCAACGACATCTTTTACATGATTGTCCAGCAACTGCACCGCAAATGCACAAACAAGCCATGTCACCCTCGATGGCACTTACCACTTCCTTGTCAAGGCAATGTGACAGCTGCCTCTCACTTTCACCCTGCTCCTCTGCGAACCAGCCACAAATACCTCATCACTTCTTCTCGCAGCCGTCCCAGTCGTGGCAGCAACCTGGCCGCATGGGCGCTAGAGCGCATGCAATGTACGGGATGTATGGGGGCCGCAGTAGCGTGCCCGTCATGCAGCTCACGACTCTCTTTGCTCTCTTTCCGCACAACTTTGGCAAATTGGTCAACTAGTCAAAAGCTGCGTGGCAGAACCCAACAAGTGGGCTTCGGCATAGTGCGCAAGTGTGCTCCCCTGCATGCATGCAACGCGTCGCGCTCCCCTTTACTTCCTTCTCTTTGCTTATGGTACTGTCCTCTTTTCCTCTGCTTATTGTTTGGCTCAAAGAACCATGGCATGAGGCAAACCCGAGAATCAAAGTCAATTCATTTGTGCCATCGTTTCGTTGATAGCCCTGATGACCTTCCTCGTGCCGAGAGTTCAGACACACACATCACAGAGAAAGGTGAAGCTCGCTCTCGGGCCGTGCATGACTGCTTGAATAACAATGCCTGATCCGAGATTACCGTCGACTAGTAACTGTCCGCAGTTTGTAGCAATACGAGATGTTGACTAACTACATATCAGCTTCGATATGAAATACTGAGGTGTTTATTCCTTTGCATTTGCGACTTTTTTGCACAGCAACGATAGTTAGCGTTGGCTCCTCGGCATGTGCTATGAGAAAATTTAGAGGCGCTGCGTTGTTTTGATGAGCTCACAGGGGCCGCTGGCTATCGACGCATGAGCAAGCCATCATGGGCAGGATCTATCTGTATCATATATGCACCCCAAAGAATGCCAACCCTACATACCAGGGATCTCGGAAAGCATCATCAATGCGGCCAGGGTCTTGATGCCCGTATTCTGCACATGCTCCAGATTTTCATCCACTTTGTCATCCAACAGGCGCTACGTATCAAGAACTATTGCATTCTTCCATAATTAATTAGGTTACGGCCGACCAGGTCTCGAAGCACCATACGACCTTGTAATGTGTGTGGGCGACGGGCGACGGGCGACGGGGGGAAGGGACGCCAGCGTATTGCTGTTTTGGGGTTCGGCCAGCCAGGCACGCCAGGCACGCCAGGCACGCCAGGCACACCAATTCTGGGCAAGCAATTTTGGGCAAGCGCCTGCTCCTGATCCGAGCACCTTTGACTTTGACTTGATGGCTCGTTCCACCATCACGGCATTCCTGCGCTGTTGAGCACCCTGGTTCACAGCAGAGCCTGGGCCGAGATTGAGGTTCCTTTGTCCGAGGAGCTGTTGTCGAAAAGCTCTCAGAATGACCGCGATGGCAGCATGGGTTTCTCTTCACCTCGTTAATCCGGAGCATTGTCCAATCAACTCAAGCGTGGCAGCCTCGGAGCTTCGGGCCTAGCCTGTAGCGACGGTAGATCTCTTGAGAATTCCAGCAATTGATTACTCGATGAAAATACATTGAGAGCTCCTTTATCTCATTAGTATTGCATTCTAACCACTGCAAGCGATACACGACCTCGTTTGCTTCGTAGAAAGCCATGTCATGATGTTCAACATCCAAGATCTCATCAAAGTCACCGAACAGTCGTGGCAGAACCCCAGCAACCCGCTAACAGACAGTCATATTCATCAGGCCCATCTGCTTATTAGAGGAAGCCTTCTTCAGCGGTAATGACTACAAATTGGCTTAATGTGGCGGATCAAAGAGAGCGAGAGCGACGGAATCACACGGCGAGGCACGAGCTAAAGCAAAGACCTGATGAATGTGTGTATGTATCAGAGAAAGAGAAGAGAGGCTATCTAGAAGGTGTGGCGGCTGATGAGGGTCCTGGCTGAGTCAGCGAGCCGAGGCGTGCCTGCCAACACTTAAGATGGGTTTTTCCCCGTAGCAAATCCCGAGCACTGCAGTGAAATTGCCGCATAGAAAGGAAGGCCGCCTAATCACCCGAGCCTCGTATCAATCAGCATCAGAGACCAGGTAGTTTGCAAACCACGCTGGTGTCCTTGCTAGTGGCGCCACCAAACTGTCGAGTTGGGGGGTGCGCGTCTGGCAAGGACAAACCTCAGTCTCAAGCTCAAGTTCTGGCCCGTTTGTGCGGGCTTTCACTAATTCAACGACAGTCTGCGATGATAGCTGATACAGTGCCTCTAGGTATTTCAAGCAGTAATGTATGGAGGGTTTGATGGTAATCTGCTCCGATTTCCTCGTGACCACTGTACTAGCTACGCAGCCCATATTCATTGACGACCGTATTTTGACTCTGTGACGGAAACGTTGAACAGAGATTTCGCACGACGGAGCAAAAAAGCAGCTCAAGAAGCAGAGATATCGAATTTCAAAGCTAATACACATAGACAATGCCCCTTGGCAGAGTCTACAATAGTCCGCCGATTGCCATGTGCAGCCGTCAACCTAGACTGTAGGTCTGTCAATAGACACTGACAATGGGTTACCATGCCATGATACACGCCGCAACTATCCAGTTCTGTGAAGGGTTGGTGCATTATGATTGCCACGCCGTTGTCTCACTAACAAGCGCCAGAAGCGTCGTGATCCTGGCTCTATACTGTGTGGTATATCTTCGAGCTATGCATGCAAGCATAGTACCCAACTGCAATGGTCCTGCCAATATGGCAATTCATCTTATTAGACATTGGATACCCCTGAGAGAAGTCCTAGCTCAGGCAAGGTTTGTAGAGAGCCAGGGAAAGACACGAGAAATGTCTAAACTCGTATCCAGATTCGGTATGACGGCATTGTGAGACTTGGAGGGGGCGTGCAAGTTCTCAAAGTCTCCGCCTCAATTACAAAGGGCATCCAGAACCAAGCAGAAGACGACGGCTGGACGGGTAGAAATTACTTTGAACGGTACGGGATGAAAATATCTACCAAAACAATGTCGATGAAGGAGGTTGGTGAGTAGCCATGGCTGCAGCGTGAACTCCTACATCATAGAGATGGTAATAGCCTGAAGCCTCTTGTCAGAGGCTGGGACACAGATCGGCAGGACCACAGCCAACTCTGATTTATTTATATATGGTCAGCAGAGTAACCTTTCCGCGACTAGCCAGCAGCTGCAACAGAAACAACGCCTCATCTTGAGCTCGAAAATCAGGACCAATCAGAATTGCATACCGTGGCTGGGCCTCGCCAAACCTTCCGAAAGCTGGCTCTGCGAGGCGGCACGGTAGCGCCAGCACTAGGGACGAAATTGCAAGAAGACGGAATTTGCTTGCATCGCGAATTTTGAATGATAACAAAGTCTTGCAGAGCGGTTCAATTTATTGTGCGACACGACGTTAAACATTCCCCCCTCCCTTGCAGTTGGTCCTCCATCTCCCGTTGATCAGTGAAAGATTTCTCGCAAATCTAAAATCTTCTGAAGTGACGTGGACATGAGAGGTTCCTTTTTTTTTTCTCAAAATTCCCAAATTAGGCGAAATAGTTAAGGCCTAGGACAGCCGCTGACACCACCATGGCCAAGACAGTTCCCATGCCAGCCCAAGTTTGAGGCTTAATACTAACTAAGGTCAAAGGACTAATTTGGTAGGTACTAAGAGTGCCTTCGTGGTGTCGTACTACATATAATGCCAAGATCAGTGTCTCCGGAGGTCTCGTGCCGCCTGCCACACATTGGTACGTGGCATGTCTCAGTGCGAGCCCGCCAGCCCGCTCACCAACCTGTCTCACCGGGTGCTTCCCAGTTGTCGGGGATACGCACGTGTGGCCAGAGCCTCATCTTCAATACTTTTTTGTTGAATGTCTGGCTTCATCAAGAATTGGCAGACATATTCCTCCTTGTTCCTGGAATATGTACTACAGCGAGCGTGCGTGGTGATTAATTGTAAGACCCGAGCGATCTTGCCTTGAATCCATGCAAGACGGCAATCTGTTGGAAAAATTATATTTTAAGCTCATATATCGGCTCACCCTACCTAGTCTTTGTGGTTAATTCAAAGACTGCCAGCGGAAAGCACAACTTCTGTTGAAAGTGAGCCTGCTGCAGGGAGCTATCGCATTACTGCCCATTCCAACCAAGCC